ATCGTGCCCTAAAGAATCAACAAATCAGCTTGCTTATCTCTGCTTACCCTAGGCAAAAAATGCTCATCTTTGAACTCAATCATGACATTGACCTAGTGAACGCCTACACCAAGTTTGAACATTCTAGCTTAATTAGAAGGAGAGTTCTTGTGTTCCAAAGTCCCGGCCCTTCAAATTGCTTCTATTTTTCATTTTCAATTCAAAATGGTGACCATCACGTGACCGAAATCAAAATTCTGATCCGATAGATTTTTAGGTATTCCTTCCAGGATTCCGAAAATATGACGACCGAGTCTGTAAGTAAAATAGCAAAAAAGCCTTTTTGATTTTTCACGTTTAAAGATGGTGGCACTTCCGGTTCGATCGACAAACTCCATATTTTGTGTACGAATCAGTAATTACTTGTCTAGTATCGAATTTTTTTTTTAGGTCATTCTGACCTATATTTCGACGATTTTTTTGAAAACTTTGATCCTTAATTTCACCAAGGGGAGATAATTTAGAAAATTTCCAAGGACATCATTGAAGTCGCATTGGCAAGATCTACTAACATTCTAAATTTCACGAAAATCGCACAACTATTAAAGAAGTTGTCAAATTGATAATAACTTCCGGTTCGAAATGACAGCGACGAATTTTCGAAATGCCAAAATCCGAAATTGCAGATTTGAAGTAAATGTTTCAAGATACTCAAAGAAAAAAGAATTAGTAAAATAGGTCAAATAGTCACAGAGTTACAGCATTGTAGGTCAAATGCATTCCTTCGTAAAATTCGGTGATTTCGGATTCGTAAAACCTTTTGAAAATATATTTAATCAACAGCCACCACCCATTTTTGGGGGGATAGGTAAAAGTTTCAGAACGATCCTATGGTTAGATTCTGAGAAATCCGATTTGTGGACAAAACACAAAAAAAAAATAACAATAATAATCTTAACAGAAACAATAAGCTTTCATATGTAATATGAAAGCTTAATAATCTTAACAGAAACAATAAGCTTTCATATGTAATATGAAAGCTTAACTAGATCTGCTAAGCAGATATTAAAGCTTTCATATTCACAGTCACTGTCACATGTCATAGAAATAATATGAACAGAAAAAAAAATCATTATAATAAGTAAAAATATGGTGAAGTTAATTCGATTTTTCACTGGTAAATAATTAAATAGACAAGTGGCATAACTTGACCCGCATCCCATCAGCTATCCTGAAAAATGCTGGAAAAATTAAACAAGTAAATTGTGTTTAGTACTGGGTTAATTAAGACAGGCATATGCCTTTGTTATACAGGATGACATGAGGGAAATTTAGCTTGGGAGGTGTAGGCCTGCAGCCAAAATTTCTGGCTAGCTTAGAAACACAACTCCGCTACACGGTCTTCCATAAAAGAAAAACTATACATTTTTGGAAAGCTTATGATGCCAGGAAGACAAAATCTGGGAGTTCCAAGCAAAATGTTTGCAATTTATTGATGTAGGGCCAGATGAAATTCGTCAAAATTGTCAAATAAATGCTATTTGTGTACTAACAATTCTGAAGTTGACATAAAATTAAATAGTTGGTAAAACACCTCATGCCTTCATCCTTGGCAATGAACAGTTTATTGGACAGATTTTGATGTAAATAAAAATGCTCAAAACACAAATGTCATGGGTGAATAAAGAATTGTGGAAATCCATTAACGGTAAAAAAGAATTATCTCCCTTTCTGTCAAATGCCTGTAATTGATAGACTATCAGGTCTTGTATGAATCATAAGACCAGGTGTGGGCAAACAAGCCCAATAATTATTTTGTTTGTTGGATCTCAAAGGCCTGTTAGGGTTGGTTGTTGGATGTTTGCTCAGAAATTATCGCTTGTATGGAACATGCTAGAGTCGATTTGTAGCATATTCTAGCCAGGGGATATGTTTGACAGTAGTTGAGTGATATGCTTTTGAAATAATGGAGATCAGTAGCACTTTATAAGCATTGAACCACATGATTTTTTTCCACTAAGATAAACATTCTAAACCCACATACATGTTCCCTTTCAATTAGCCACTACAGTATTTTTACAACTGTACATGTAGCTGTGAACTACTATTTCGGATATGATTAATGGTCAAATTACAAACATACATGTAGATATAAGTTAAAAAAAAATAATTGTGTATCTGGGCTGGAATGAAGGGAAAGGTTAGAAAACAGGATGAACAGTTGTGAAATTATTTATTAAAGTGAAACAATCATTGAAAATCAAAATTAAACAGTTACTCTGCACATCAAATGTCATCAAAGTTAATCTTCATTATCATCATCACTGTCACTAAATGTATTAACATCAAATTCGGTCTCTTTAACAGTTTTTTTTTCATTTTCACATTGACTACACATGCACAGGTCTGTACAAGAAAGGGGGGTTGTGATGGCCTAGAGTGCCGCGCTTCGACCTCTAGCTGGTCGGTCACCTCTGGCTTGTGGCTGTGGCTTTGATCCCAGGTGTGAGCGTATGTGGCATGGAGATAGAGGCGTCTTCTCAACCTCGTGGGTTTCCTCCGGGAACTCCGGTTTCCTCTCACTGCTAAAGACCCATACGCGCAAGCGAATTATTGAAATAAAATTGAAACCGTATGTTAGTCCCAAAATGACCTAGTTTGTGTTGAGTGGACGTTAAACCCCATTTCTCTCTCTCTCTCTCTGTACAAGACAACTTTGCTGGCCATCTATATATGTATATGCATGCTTTATTTTACTTTACACGACCTCTAAAAGTGCCCCAAATCGTAAAAATACGACTTTTTGGATTTCGATCTCCTTTTTTCGGCTACCCCGGACATTTTCAAAAAATGATACAATAATTTCACACAACAGGCCAGCTATTAGCCTCTCGATTGACAAGAGTTTCATCGCCCTCCATTCATTATAACCAATGTCATCGTGCCCTAAAGAATCAACAAATCAGCTTGCTTATCTCTGCTTACCCTAGGCAAAAAATGCTCATCTTTGAACTCAATCATGACATTGACCTAGTGAACGCCTACACCAAGTTTGAACATTCTAGCTTAATTAGAAGGAGAGTTCTTGTGTTCCAAAGTCCCGGCCCTTCAAATTGCTTCTATTTTTCATTTTCAATTCAAAATGGTGACCATCACGTGACCGAAATCAAAATTCTGATCCGATAGATTTTTAGACATACCTTCCAGGATTCCGAAAATATGACGCCCGAGTCTGTAAGTAAAATAGCAAAAAAGCCTTTTTGATTTTTCACGTTTAAAGATGGTGGCACTTCCGGTTCGATCGACAAACTCCATATTTTGTGTACGAATCAGTAATTACTTGTCTAGTATCGAATTTTTTTTTTAGGTCATTCTGACCTATATTTCGACGATTTTTTTGAAAACTTTGATCCTTAATTTCACCAAGGGGAGATAATTTAGAAAATTTCCAAGGACATCATTGAAGTCGCATTGGCAAGATCTACTAACATTCTAAATTTCACGAAAATCGCACAACTATTAAAGAAGTTGTCAAATTGGTAATAACTTCCGGTTCGAAATGACAGCGACGAAAATATATTTTGAAAATATATTTAATCAACAGCCACCACCCATTTTTGGGGGGATAGGTAAAAGTTTCAGAACGATCCTATGGCTAGATTCTGAGAAATCCGATTTGTGGACAAAACACACAAAAAAAATAACAATAATAATCTTAACAGAAACAATAAGCTTTCATATGTAATATGAAAGCTTAATAATAAGAATAATTTTAACAAAAACAATAGTGTTTCACACAAGCTACGCAGTGTGAAACCCTAATTAGGGGGTGGAGAGAAAGACAAGTTGATTTTAAGTATTATAGTGTAATCTATTATGCATTGTAACCATATGTATCCAGTGTTTGATATAAAAATGTGCAAAAGAACTGTTGCATTGTTTTTTTTTTCTGGTAAAACACGCGTCTTAACTACTCAGATAGTAAGAATATACATAACGTGAGTCCTGGCCAAAAGAAAAGAATTAAAAGAATAACCAGAGATAATACTAGACGATCTCAAGAAGGATATTAAAATATGTAGCAGAAGAGAGTATGCCAGAAGAGAGTATGGGTCACACGTTGAATGTTGAGTTTTTGGCTTACTGGGTTTCCACATCTAGCTGGCGACGTATAGCATTAGGCATAGTACTATATATTCTGTGTCACATGACCAAAACTCATAGGATTTTACTTAATGCATGACCACAAAATCCTAGAAGATTTATCCTTTAAGACTTTGGTAAGGATAAGTCTTAAAGGAGATGAAATCAAAAATGCCTCAGTAATCTGTATTTTGTGATCTGTGATCCAATACGATCAGTTCCTGTTGCCCCCGTTGTATTGTTATAGGTTGGGGTAGGTGTGCAGTTGGAGGGTCGGATTAACCAGATATTTTCTCCAAAGAATGTGTAAATTTTTAGCATTATCATTAAAAACAATGAACTAAACTGCATTTATTGTTTTTTAAGGTTAAAATCTTTGAAATTCTAATTTCTTAGTCTGTTAATTAACTTATGGTAAGTTCTAACCATGGTAAATTGACTAACAGGTAGATTCCCGAGCCGATCAATTTCAGTCCCCCGAAAAAAACTATTACACTTTGCTATTATAAACCAATCTAAGAAAAAAATTGATGATTGTCCCGTTTCCTTCTGAAACAATCATCTACGAAATAAAGGATATAATATTACAAGTCATTTCAAAGAGAAAATTGACGATTATCTTTAAAATCGATCATTTTAGGGAAATTTAGGCCGCCATTTTAAATTTTCGCCATCTTGGATTTTGGAAACCCATTTTAAAAATTAAGTGACAAGGAGAACCCTATAAATTACTTATTACAAACCATATCAAACAATGAAATTACTATTATCTGACAAATCGGCCATTGCACGTGTTTGCCCCCAGGGCACTGAGTACCTGATCTAAAATGAAAAAAGTTAAGATTGAGTGGTATATGATATTATGATTTTATTTACAGACTTTAGCTACAGCTGTTATACAACTTTATTTATCAGAAGAACCAGAAAATAAAAAATGGAACAAACGATGTTGTGGTGTTGCTACTTTTATAAAAGACAATCCTCAAAAATCTTACTTTATTAGGGTTTATGATTTAAAAGTAAGAAATGATTATTGTTAATTATTTTTTCTCCAAAAAATTTAATGCTACTAAAGATATTACATATTACATAGGTTATAACTGTCAATTCGATATGTCCTACGGCCTAATTTATATTGTTTTTTGGGGTTTTTTTTATTATTTCAGACACAATCAATGATATGGGAACAAGAATTGTACACCCAGTTCCGATATAAATCACCACGAGATTATTTTCATACTTTTGAATGTGAAGTAAGATGAATTGTATTGCTTATAACCCAAACATTGTCAAAAAGCATGAGAACAGTCGACATTGATTAAAATTGACATGTCTGTTCTTACTTCTTAAATGCACGTCGATTGACGGACTTCGATTTTTGATGTGGCATCAGTATCATAATTCTGTTAAAGGTGCATTTGTGTAACACTGTAAGAGCTTAATCCGACATGGTGTGTGCAGCTCCGTTTTCTGACTTCAAATGTTATATAAATTATCATTTAGACATTTATTCAAATGAAAAGTAAAAGCCCATTGTCAACTCTCTAGATCACCAGATGGCTATGGTATTGACTGGATTAGACAGTGCCTGCCACATCTTCGTTAAACGTTGAGATGGACGACTACTATCTTCATTATCAGACTATTTACACTATTTCTTGTAAAAAATTTAAACATTCATAATTCCCCCAGAAAAGAGTAATTTGACAGAAATTTTCGATACATTCATTTTCCATTAGTTATTTTTGAACTAACATAGAAACAACGGTCAGTTCTTTTTTTTCTAAAACTTATATAGGCAACCATAGAGGCAACCGATAACATTTTGAAGTACGTTATTTGTCAATAGATACGTGGCTGATGTAATAATGCATACTATAATTATGGCGAGTGAATTACAGGCCTATTAAGCGAGTCCTAAAACTGAGCTTCAATACATTTCAAGAAAATCCACTCCAAAACACAATTCAGGGGTTCTGGGGCACCACCCTAAAACATATTCAAATGGACGTTATCCACGATTTACAAAAACTGAGGGATTTTTTTTCTGTGTGGTCTTGAAATTCAAAACATCCTACTATGGCTTTGGCTAACCCATGGTTTTCAACAAAAGATTAGTATGCTACATTACAGTAGTATTAAAACAATGTTATTTCTCCATGTGATTTCAGACTGTTCAAGCTGGCCTTAATTTTGCTAGTGAAGACGAGGCTAATTTATTTAAAAGTGCCATAGAACAAAAGCTGCTAGAGAGAAGTAACCGACGGACTGGTAAAATAAATATTTATAAAATAATATGCATAATTTGTAATTTTGTTTGTAGAAAGAAATAATAGATATCAAACACTTATGATTGAAATATTAATTATCACATCAGTATCCGTATTATAGGGCAAACAATGAAATTAAAAATCCTAATTCGTATATTAAATCAATGTATATTTTTAATTTATTGTTAATAGCAAGAAAAAAGAACACAGTGAAGAGTCCAAATCCACCAAACTTTCCGAATATTTCGCCTCTAGCAGTGTCGGGTGAGTATATTTTATTTTAAGTCGATTTCATACATGGCCAGAATAAAAAGGGCAACTTATATGTTGTACATGACTTATTTCATTCATTCACTACTTATAATACTAAATCACACGAACTCATTAACGAGCTGCTAGTTGTTTTCGCTATTTTAGAACCACTAACAAATCCAAATGTTGGTAAGGGCAAAGAAAGGAAAACCAGTACAGGAAGTGTTCAAAGTCTCAAGAAAAAGAAATTTAGCAAAGAAGATATTGGAAGTCCATCAAACTTCACGTAAATTTTCATTACGTTTTATTTTTTTTTATTATTATTTTTTTTTACCATGACCTGTTTCAATATATGCAAAGAATAATTAAACTATTTTGGAACGTCTTTATTTTGAAGAAATATTGAAGAAATAGAAAGATGGTTATAAAAATAAAACGTGATTTCTTATTTCCAGGCGTGTTGCTCATATTGGTTTTGATCCAATACAAGGATTTCAGGTACAGTCAGTTTATTTCTTTATTTGTAGAACCGTTACATAAAAATAGTTTGTTATTATAACGGATACACATTCGCAACTGCTCTTCATAAGTTTGTGACTCGATTAGCCTGACAAGACGGGGGACATGGTAACTAAAGCGATCTTGGTTGTTTAATACCTGATTCTACCATAGAGATATCGTGGACAAGAACCAGAAAGGCCGAAACTTGCTCCTGTAAAGAATATGATTATTTTGCAATCGTCCTATTTGTGGCGTATGGTCATTGTCCATGCCCTTAACCAGCCAGAATCGTTCTTACATGCGATATCCCCACAATAATAGCCACGCCTTTTGCTTAATCAAAACGTTCAAGTGATATGTCGATTTGGCAAGTAATAATGTTGTGCAGTATAAAAAAAATAAAACAGAACCTTATTTACATCTGATTTTAAGCAGATTGACTTTTCTCCGGTATACCGATTCGCGTCCACACCATTAGGTGGAGATGGAGTCTCGTCCCAGATATATTTAAGTTGCCAATTCAGATCCATTGAAATTTTATTATTCATTTTGTTAACCATGGTGTATCTGTGTTTTATCTTTGATGTAGATGAAGAATATGCAACCAGAAATGAGAAGATTATTCGAATCTGTTGGAATAACGCCTGATGATACAGCTGTAGACAATGACACAGTAGAGTTTATTTATGACTTTGTAGATCGACATGGCGGCATAAATGCCGTCAATCAAGAAATATCACTTGGACCTACTGCTATTGCCCCAGGTTTGTACTTAAAGGAATAAGTCCAAGTTTTCACACGGTCTCCGATAAGAAAATTTGTTAGTTCAAGTATTTAAATCAAACTACAAAATATAAGGAAATCATCGATTTTATCTTTTCTGAAGTTTCAGCTCAAAATATTGAGCCTTGCACAAATTTTTAAGTCGCTTGAAAATCTAGATTTCAATTCGTCGAGCAATCAATAATAACCATGTTTGTTTACAATCAATACTATAATGACATTTACAGTCCATATTCGGGATCGTGCAATTAACATTCTTCTTTTTATACATAGGAAAAAAGACTAGAGCTTTGCCCTCTATTCCCGGGGATGAAGCTTTGAAACCACATGATCCACCTAATCGAGTACCACCGAAAGTACCTAATCATAAACGACCAGCTCCAAAACCACCAATAGATCAAGTTCGAGGCCCGGGTTCAATACCAAATGGGCCTCCGCCTCCACCGCCCCCACCCCCGATAGGAGGAGGGCTACCACCACCACCACCACCTATAATAGGAGGTGGTTCTCATGCTCCGATACCACCATCATTACAGAGCAAGCCACCTGTGTCACCACAAGAATCAAACAATGGCCCTAGAGCTAACCTAATGGAATCTATTCGAATGGGTATGCAATTGAATTCGGTTGAAACTGATTGTGTAGAACCTGTTGATGGCGACCGGGGGAGTTTACTAAAGGCTATTCAATCTGGTGCTAATCTCAAGAAGGTAAATAAATATTATGATTATCCCACGTGTACCCAAAATAAATCCGATAAATTAGTCACCCGAGGCAGTCTCGGGTATTTTTTCTTTTCAGAAACTTCAAGATTATGTGCGTTTAAATTTTTAAAAAATTAAACAAAAAAATCCCCAACAACACAGAATCTCCTTTGTCTAAATTGAATTGTATTATTGATGTATTTTGTAGGTTGAACATGTACCCACTGCTAAACGTCCGACTGTAGAAGATGGGGGTGGAATAGTGGGAGCTTTAGCTAGAGCTCTAGCTGAAAGACAAAGAGCTGTTCATGGTTCAGGTAACTCAAAACTTGTGATAGTTACAATATCATGGGATGTAGACATTTACATATAGCTAACAAACTTTGGTTGGACTTGTATATATCGTGTCGACAGTAATGGTTTGCATAACTAAATTAAGATTTTGACTTTATTCTGAGCTAATATAAATTCAATTCTTATTATGTGACAATTGATTAAAATTTAAAAAAAAAAACACACCAGAGAAACACTAGTTAGGCACTTTCGAATAAATAAAATACGATCGATCTTAACCGACTGAAAAAAACCAAAAGATGTGTAAGAAACAAATTTGCCGTAATCATTGGATCCAGAGAAGAGTGTTTATTATTATACCTTAGCACAAAAAGATAGCAGTTCATTCTAATAATAATTACTGATATTAACGGTAATACAGACAAACATTAATATTTTTAAATATATATTACAGATGACGAAGATGATGATATTGATGGTATCGATGACGACGATGATTGGGATGATTAATAAGTTGACATTACATAATATTTAAATGTTGTCAATTAAAAACAAACGTTATGAATTAAATGGTCGCAGTTTCGAGACAGTCTACATTTCCTATTTGCTTCTTTGTATTCAGTTTTGTTTGTTTTTGTGACGGGTGGAACATGTGCCCTAAATGTATTCAATATACCTCGATACCATTGAATACCTAAACGTTTCTTGATTGATTTAGAGCATTCAGTTTAGACTACTTTTTTGTACATTTCATCGATGTGGTTACTTGTATAGTTGAATTTTACAACTATATGCTTACATTCGTATTTCTTGTAGCATATTGCAGATCATGACTCATACTGGCATTACACAATGGTTTCTTTGGGCTGTGTTCCTGATTGTTTTCAAATTTGAGTGAAGTCTGTGTTACTACAGGCCCGGGACTGTGGACGCTTACGGCTAACCCCCTAATCCATTCACTTTTTTTGAATTGTTTATTTATTTGTGGTTTCTGAGTATGATGTCTTATCCATGTATTTGTTTCTGTGTAAATTATGTGTGGTGCACTCCCCCTGCACTTACTATTAAATACATGCAATATTCACCATAGGCCTCTCCGTCTGAACAAAATTCATGTTGCGTGGGTTTTAAGTGTAGCGAGCCCTGAATGCTTATTGAAGACTCGGAACACCTTATTTACAAACTACCGAAGCCCCCACCCCTTTGCTTTGATAAATAACATGGAGTTCTGCTAGAGAGTCAAAGCATTCTGTAATATTAGGTTCCCTGTTTTTATCTATGCTTTGAAACTTATAACAAACTTATTTGTCTATATAACCTATATAAAGTTTTATTATTCTTTTATTAACGGCATTGCTATTACGAAATAATTATAACGCACGTATGTGTATTTAGAAGTAGGAGGAAACCGGTTTACCCGGAGAAAACATGGGGTAAGAACGAAAGGGAGTAAGCACATGTGCCTTCGCATAAAATAGAGATACAAGAAAATCAGCTTTCAAAAAGGAATTAGGAAAAACAAACTAACCGTTTTCGTTCTCCGTTTCAACACAAAAATAAATACATGACACTCATAGTTAATTGCACATTTGTGACATTTATATTATCATTCTTCTTAACCGGATCAGAAAATGCTAACTCAGACAAGGTATCCATCTGTATAATGGAACTATTCAGGGTCGATTTTGCATGGGGATCACGTGGCTAAGTGGGTAAGACGCTAGCTCGCTAGCCTGGAGGTCGGGTGTTCGATCCCTGCATTGGCCGAGAAAGTTCATCCAGATTTTCCGGCGTGGTTCTCCCTTGTCAGTTATGCAGGGCGGAGGGGCTGACAAGGAAAGCTGTCTAGTCGTTCGGATGGGACGAAAAACCGAGGTCCCGTGTACACATTGGCGTGCACGTAAAAGATCCCTTGGCAGTTGGAATTCGATATAAGAGTAGGCCGCTCTCCGGGCAAAATTTCCCTCATAGCACACTGTATGGCGTATGCCCGTATTCATTATCCCAGGTTAGGAGCAGAACAGTAGGACGTTAAACCCCATTTCATTTAATTTCATTTCGATTTTGCATATAAGCAACATTATCCTGTAGGACAAGTTCGGGTGACTGCTTGATTCGAGTGGAACATTCTACAGTCGACTTGAAGCATACCGGAGTCACATTATATGTTTGACACGGTTGGGAACTATGATTATGAAGTTATGAAGACCAGAATCATGAAAGTTCTTGACAAAGACTCCAGAAGAATCAAATTGCTCAGCCTAAGCAGAAACTGCCTACCATTAAACTTCATCAATACAGTCACAAAAAGAAAATCCGACTATCAACTGAGATTCTTACATCACTAGAATATGGAAACTCCTTCTATCATGCACATAAGGTGATAAAACTAGAGTTTATGTACTTATAGCCAGTGGTTACTATATACACGTTACGGCAAGTTCACACCAATCCGATTCAAATTATTCGACATATTAACGTTTAAGTATTGTGTGACACTATCCAGTGTCGTAGTACCAAACAAGAAGGTCAAGGTCAATGTGACTATCTAATCAGGAACTTCCAGAAAACGTCCCGTGATGCTAGGGTGACCCTATCGTCTAGGACTTTCTTTGACTTCACGTTGTGAGAACTATTTCCAATGACCAATTAAGTCTGAAACACTGTTTATGTTGTTACTAAGTTTATATAACAAATACAGCAAACTACAAAGTTAAATACAGGAAAACTACAACATCTATTATAGAAACTTTAGGCGTTATTAAAATATCTACGGTCTGAGTTTAGCATCCTTTACAACTTACACCTAACGGTTTAAATACTACATTTTGTCTCTATCCCAGCCTCTCCGCCGAGGCGGCCGTGGTTAAGATGTTCCCTCTCGCACTACTCTTATGATGTCTTCCCTACGGTCTCGTCATGATGTTTTCACCATAGCCTCTAAGCCGAGGAGGCTATGATGTTTCCCTCTCGGGCGGTTCTATGATGTCTGTATCCATGGCCTCTTAGCCGAGGAGTATGAAGTTCCCCTGAGCTCCAAATGATGTCTGAGAGTAAATCAAACCATCTCTCTCCTATATAGAGAGTAAAATGCGTCATCATCTGTTAGGGTGGGACAATTACCATTTTTGGGTAAGTGTTTCGTATAGGCACCGTTTTACGTCAACACTATTTTAGTTAATAATTGTACTAATCCGTGCATGAGATGACTGGACTATAGTACCCTACTTTCCAGAAATGGATACTGACATAACTGTCAATGGTGAGTTAGTCTAAGATAGTAGTAGAACGGTTGAACATTTAAAGTTTGCTAATGCGAATCTCGGCTTATGTGGAAGATTGCTGTTTAAGTATGATATGCAATATATACTAGATTTAAGTAGACTGTAAAACATACATTTTGGGGAATTGGTAATAAAATCATGCCATTCTTGAAGACTTACATCTCTAACACGCTGTTTAAAGCACAGCATAAATTGTGCAATATTAGCAACACCTTGATAAATCCAAACATGACCAATTCCGTATTAGTGCACTAATTTATTCTACCATGTACATCCAGATCATTTTGTAACACAATTTATACAATATAGGAGAAACCTTTGAATCAAATAGTTTGTATGGTCGCCATCTTTGAAATACCTTCATGTAGTGATGGAAAAATATCTGAAATATAGTCACGACCCCTACCAATATTCATACATTGCTAAATCACAGTTGATATGTCAATAACATTATAAATAAGGTGAAAATAAGTTGCAATATTATCGCAAAATGGCCTCTTTAAGTTTAGGTATGAGTGCTTTTCGGATTGAACGAACGTGATCTGAATAATATTCCGCAACCCCAAAAGTTGAACCTTTTAATAGTTGGCGGGCTTTGTTCGGTTAAATCTCTCGTTCGCAGCCTATGAAAAGACACTTTGATTGGACGCGGACGATTAGAGTTCAAAACCTTTTTACCGATTCGGTAGACACGGTCAATAAAGACTGAACTGTCATCTTCCGCACTCGTTAGTTTTAGTTCATCCCTTAGCACTTTTCTGACCAATGTTACACATTGATCATCTTTCCTCTCTTCTATTCCATAAAAAAATCAAATTTTTCTGTCTCAAAATATTGTCAGAGTGACCACTCAAGTATGAAGAGCACCACTCAAACACAACCTCTATAGATTGTGACTGGAATATTTTAGAGTGAATTTCAAAATGCCGTATCATGCCGTAGATCCATTCGTTCGTTCGTTCCTGGAGTTTTACGTCCACTTTCACAGGGGTGATATCGTAGACAATATAGATCCATTAGGCTAAACTTATTTAAATAGGCCATGTGGCAAACAAAGACGATCCCGGCATTTAGCGCATTAATTACCGGTAATTTGGATAACCCAGTAATACTTGATATCCTAAACTATTCTCTATAAGTACAGAAATACGAATGGTGCCATTCACTTGTCGATATATTCATTATTAGCTATATATCAATAATATTATAATCATTTCTATACACAAAGAACAACTTTTATCATAACTCCATTTGAAATTCACAGCGAATATGGAATTTTCCGATGACTATTCATAACAGTAGATCGCTCTCATTTCTCAACCAATCAACGCTGGGATTCTTATTACCATGTGCGGTTCCATTCATCTGAATTTTCGGACTTGGTTTCCCCTTGCTCGTGGTGCAGGTTAGAGGGCCTGACAATTAAGGATCAGTGCCTAGTCGTTTGTATGGGACGGAAAACCGAGGTCGGACGTGTAGGCGCATTGACATATTTTATGTAGCCTACGACCATTGACAGCATTCGATCGAAATAAGAGTGGGTCGTAGCTGTGCCGCTGCTCGGGAAAAATTTCCTTCTTAGTATGTATGCCCGTCTTCATCAACCTTGTTGGTGTAGAAAAGTAGGACGTTAAATCCCAATTTCTTGAAGCGCAAACGTTACCGATGTGGCAGTTTCAGATGGTCCCTGGTGTGTGATTACCGTTTGGCGCATGCGCAGTTGTAGGAGTCACCTCACACCGTTACAGACGCAGTGTGCATTGACTCCTCGTGATAGGATTTCCCCTAAGATGTTCTTACGGTCAAATCAATATATTATAGACTATATATTTACAATAATACCACTAAGAGAAGATGCAAATTGACGATCTTTATTATTATTATTTAGTATATATACCCGTCCACAATGCGAACATTCTCTCTTGTATTTGGGCTGTCTACATACATGCATGTTTGAATGTACGTATGGGATGGTGTAATAAATCTATATTTATGTTAAAGAAATCGGAATAAGAAATTCCATACTTTTATATTTGTGATAAATGAAGCCACGAAATATCAAAGGCCTTAATCTTCCTTTGGAGGTGAAATAATTGATAATTTCAAGCCAATCATCAATTTGTATGGTTTCCACTGATCGTACGTGTGTAGAACGACTAATCACTAAAAAAAAAAAACAACGGCAACAAATCACGAACGAAGTATCAATTTCAAGCCAATCAACTTAGATCCGTTGATCGTGTAACTACTGATCACTAAAACAATAGCTAATCACGTCAACAAGTATTTTATTAATGACAAAACTCTAATCAAGTACATGATATATTTTTTCCTGTACTGACCAGTGGTCAGGAACCAACTCACACTGCAGGAAGTAGATATAGTTTCGTTGTTACGGCAAACATCAGTTTCGGACATGCGCAAGTGCCCAGGAGAAAACACACACCAGGAGTCAACTCAAACTATCACACCGGGAGGTAACTCTGAAATTTCCGTGTTTATAAAGGTGGCGCTACTCTTTAATTACACGTGTTTTATACACCGGAAGATTGCGAACTGTCATACGTCGAAAAAAGTAAACATATTGTTTTGTTGTTTTTTTTACGCATACTAGATTATTTACTTTCTTATCAAAAATGAGAAGAGCAAATGCAGGTAATTGTATTATTTATTTTGGAATTGGAAATGTTTTATCTTTTTAAGTAAAATTATTAGATCTTGATAGACACTGAGTGACGTGACATTCTGACAAATTGAAATATTGAAATATTTTCTCTTCTCTCTGTCTCTATTTATAGTATTACCGGTCCATGGTATTACTAACTTGTCTGTGTATAGTATAGTAAGTTGTACCGGTTTTGAATAGATTAGGTTATCCTTCCATTATTTGTGGCCCTTGTAATGCTAGTAGGTATATGCTCTGTGTCTCCCTCCCTCCCTTCATTTTCAGTTATTTACTGCTCATCTTTACCAGGGCTGTAACTAGCTCAGAGCAACGATGGGGGTGGGGAGTGTTCTGAGGGGTGCTGTAAAATTGAAGGATAACGGTGACGGATAATATATGTACATGTATCTATGGTCGACAATGTCCCCTCCCCCCCCCTCCTAGTTACGGACCTGCCTATCTATAACTATAGTCAACAAACAATGTCAATACCCACCACAAATTTTAGTTACCGGTATCAGAATAAAATGTCTACTACCGGTACTGAGACTTAACATTAAAACATAGGCCTAACTCTGTGTGTATGGGCCAAGTTGTCACAATATTTTGGTGTCACGAGCAAGTTTGATTTTTCAGCCCACTTCTGATTAAGTTTTAAAAAATTGTCCATTGCACATAATTATGATATTGCCCATATCTAGTGAGTTGGATAATGAGTATCTTCTGCTTAGGTTAGTCTAATACTAATGGGCTATTTGATTGCTAAATGCTTTTACAAAAACATAAACATAAGTACCGGTAATTAATAATTGTCATCTAATATTTACTTTAGAATCTAGACAGAGTTCATCAGACTCATTTAATTTGGTCTAATCTTTTTCATATTAGGAAATGAACAGACATATGGATATACTCCAACTTCTCAGATGTTAGAAGATGAAAGTCAACAACTAGAAGATCAACTTTCCAGTAAAGTGTCAGCATTACGAACGGTAAAATATGACAAAATAATAATGTTTGATATTCACCAAGAAGATTTGCTTTGTGATAAGTAATTGTATTCCATACAATTGTGTCACATGATTTTTAAATTCAATTACTAAATGCCACTGAAGCAGTTTATTGTTTTTAATAATCAGTGAGGCATTAATGAGTACCACACTGTTGGTGCACATTTCTCCTGGCTGTTATGTAGATAGTGGCATGCAATGCAGAGGTTTGGTGATGCCCGGGGGCAACCACTTGATTGCATGCCCCCAAGACTAAGTATAGGAAATATGAGAAATGAAGACATGTTAAATATTTCAAAACAGAGGAAATAAACTTTTTATTCATCACTCTTTGATTGGATGCCAACGCCCCCCACTCTCTGCATGCATACTGATTCTGATGACAATATAACATGGACTATCCTATTTTAGTATTATAGCTACATTTAATTGGAAATTTTTTCTACCAATTGTTCAGTGTGACGACTTTCGGTGACCATATCTCAGTTAATTATGACTGAATTGGGATAAAAGTTAGCTAAAAATATAACTTGTAATATACTATGTTTTTTAAGAATAAATCTGCATATACATGTACATGTTCATATGTGCCCTTTAAAAATATGTTTGTTTGTTTTTTAGCTCACAATTGATATTGGTACTGAAGTGAGGAGTCAAAATAAAATGTTAAATGACATGGTAAGTGAAAGATGTTGAAAACTAAAAAAATCTTTAGATTAATGTCAATTTATAACAATGGAATTATGATATTAAAAATACATTATGCAAGAGCTAAATCTGCCTATTGCAGGTCTTTCTTTAGGCCAGAAATGTGATCTAAATTATTAATTAGACATTATATTAACTTATCCAGACCATAATCAACTCTAAATGTCATCGTTAGCCTGCAATATTTACTGGATTACGATTAGATTTGCTGCGTAACTTTCATTCATGATTTAATCATGAAATGAGTAATCAAGACTTATGTTTTTTAACGTACCGACTTTAGTAATGATGATCGAGGCTAGGCCGAAAATTCAATCCCTAAAATCTTGGTTCAGAGGGGATCAATTTGACTGAAATTTTCAGCAAATTCCCTTTACATTATCTAGTTTTTAACAATTATAGTGAGAACTGCCAGCTCTTTATCAAATCTCCCATAATGTATCTTTAATTAAAGGAGGAATTTAAATATATTAAGAGGAAGGGGGACAACTCTTTAAATTAGATTCATCCCCTCTTTCTATGCACCAGTGTACACATTGGCATACATTTGTCAAAACCTGTGATGATTTGACATTGCAAATATAACCATAGTATGTTATTCACAATTCCATTTTCTATTTAAATACATATTAACGCAAGGGTAACTACAAAGTTGATTCAGCTTTTCAGTTTTTTTATAACCATACCCTTCAATGAGAGGATACTAATAATATTTCGCTGCACTATGCAATGCTACTGTACCAAATTTCATTGATGGTCTCCTGTTTTTTCATGTTCGATAATTATCCGATCATAGACAATGCAACATTTTTGACTAATTACTGCCTTGTTTTCATTAATCTGCTGTTTTCAACGGAAATTTTTATTTAAAATTTAAAGCCTGATAATTAGTGATTAAACCAACAATTCCATTGGGTAATTCAAATATTGTGGCATGTCTTGATAGTTGTTTGCCAATCTGATTAAAACACAGATCCTATTTTGTTTTGTTTTTTATAGTTCAAAATTTTATTTTACTTGTCTTTGCTATACTAGGATCTGGAAAAGTTTTTGCTATACTAGGATCTGGAAAAGTTGTTCTATAACCAGCATTCTGGTTGATGTGAGGTATTAGCTAATGAAATTGTCTGTTACCACGCGTTTTTGGTGTTAAAAGCACAGAACTGTGGGTAACTCACCAGAAACATCATCTCTGACTGGTAAATCGAATGTCTGATGTCGTAGGGTCAAAAGCCGCTCGTATGACCTCTGTTACAACCTGTCAGATCTTCATGTGGTAAAGGCCATCGAAAGCATATAAAAAAACAAAATAAAATATAGATCTGTATTTTAATCAGATTGGTTGTCTGCAATATGCACATTTTTTTTCCAAAATTCAAGATGGCAAATGATATACCATGTATACTGTGTTACATGTACCGTGACTCAGGTGGAAAATGCTGTAATCATTGTATGTATTATTTTCTATTGTACAGGACAATGATTTTGACAAGTCTGGTGGATTATTGGCATCCTCTATGAATAGATTAAAAGCTATAGCAAAATCTGGTGGCCATAGATTTATATTTTATCTGCTATTATTTGCTTTATTTGTTTTTGGTGTATGCTGGATGATTGTTAAATTTCGGTGATAATGGTTTCAAAAACAATGAAAATTTAAATAATTTATTTTCAACTTAAAGGTACTGACAAGATCTATTAAAGAATAATAAGCTTGTCACATCTGATTAAGTTTTGTTTTAGTTTTGTATGAGAAATAATATTTCATGTTAGATTTGTTAATAAGAGAATTGCCCACAAATTTTTCTCTAAAAATAAACACGAAATACTGTTCAACATTAGACAAATGCATGATTAGAAAAAGAAGTTATAATATGTGAAATCACTATAAATACAATTTACAGTTTTGTAGTAAGTAAAATTATAATACATAACAGCTATGTATATAAAGATAATGAGTTTTCTAAAATCAAAAAGCATTCAAAATAGAAATCATCACTGTCATTAAATACATGTACTTGTATATATAGGGAATTGTTAAAGATTAATTTGCTCATCACAAAGCTTCCAACTGATATGTATAATGATGGCCAAAATCTATTTCATTGAATGATTTAATTTCTAAGTCTTTGGTTAAAGGAACCCTCCCAGATTTTGTTGAATCAAACAGATTGATTCTGTCTGGAAGACGCTTAGAAACCTTTTATACTAGTCCTGTACAACTATCTGAAGTTCAGTGGTTTCAGTTTGCACATGTTTTTAGAGATAAGTTTCAAAATTACATGCTGTCCTAAGTGCCTGTGGGTAGCCATGTCTACATGTACATACTTGCGTAAGTTAAAGTGTAAGTGAATGTTGTGATTACAAAGTCAATATGAACAATGAAATTCCTTAAATGAGTTACATTACCCTGTTAATTAAGGAAGCAAACTTTTCCAAACTGCTCAACCATTTGGGCCATTTCTCCACAGTTTGGCATTTCATTTGTATGCTTATCAATTATGGCGGTATATTAGATTCAAAATTCTAACATACTATCATCTAATTTCTAACTTCTGTTCATGTAATTTCTAACTTCTATTCATGTAATTTCTAAATTAAGACAATGTATCATCCAATTTCTATTATTAAGACGTAAAATGTCTACTTCATTGTCGCTTTACATGTTAAGCATGAATGTCGAACAAATTTAGAATTTTGATACTTCTACCTAGCAGCCATCATTATAATGTTGTTTGGTATTGCCACCGTGTGCTCAATTTGCGATTGAGCACCTGATCAAGACCATTATGTTGATACAAATAACTCACTCATGACTCGCTCTTCGTCAGGTTGAATGGTTTGGTGGAGTGTTAAAATTGAACAATTTCATTTTCATTTCTTAATTTCACTGAGTCGTTTATATCAACATTATGGTCCCAATCAGGTGCTCAACTACCAAATTAGCACGCAGTGGCAACACCAAACGAATTCATAATGATGGTTGCTCCGCAGAAGTGTAAATATTCTAAATTTGTTCGATATTCATGCTAACCGTGTAAATGAAGAAGACGTTGTTCGTCTCAATAATAAAAATAAGATGAAATAGAATTAAAATTTACACTGAACAAAAAAAGAAGTTAGATTATACATTGTCTTAATTTAAAAATTACATGAATAGAAGTTAGAAATTACATGAATAGAAGTTAGAAATTACATGAATAGAAGTTAGAAATTGGACGATAGCATGTTAGAATTTTGAATCTAATATACGGCCATAACCAATGCGTATCCTGAGAAGTCTAGCACTGCTGTTTTACAGTTACATGTGTGTACTGTGTTAGTGTATAATTGTTAACATGTTTTTAAATGAATGCTGATTTTGTAAATGGTAATAGTGGATGTTAATTAATTGAATATTTTCATATACATTTTGTTTTGAAAGTGATTTGGAATGTGGTATTTTATGTTTATGTCTGAAAATAGTGAGATTGTGTTTGACTCTCTTTAATCACATTTAATATTCCTGTTTTCATTGACAGTCCAAGATAAGTTGATCTTATGGTATTAATGAAACAATTCTTCATTTAATTTACCAGTATATATATTATTTGAATATTTACTTGTACATATTATGTTTTGCTTATGTATATATAAAAGTAGGCCTACATATAAATTTTAATACATAAACTGCGACCATTTTATACTTGGAATGATAATATTAACTTGATATCATTATTATGTGTGCATATTTATGTCACTCATATATTAGGTTAAAGGTTGGTTATTATTAAAATATTTTACAGAATTAATCATCTACTGGAGAAACAGTTTCTATTTTTCACTATTCTTTTAAAATATAACCATATTTGTTATGCAATTGTTTAGGTTTTCGGAAAAAAGAAATCAAATAACTGATAAGAGAATAAATATTTTTCAATGCCAGCTTTGTACCTTGTTATTTCTTGATAATAATACATCTGTATAATGAAGGTACATGTAGTTGTTGAATTAGATATGGATGCTGCAATGTTGTTTGTGTGGTGATGGGCTCAGCAGATTTTAGTTTGAGAAGCAAGGGTTGGCATTGATAGGAGTATTGTCTGCCGATTTGAGAACAGAGGTGTATAGTTGTTCACATTGGTCAAAAAACGATTGCCAGTCATCTAGACAGTAGACAATTTCAACAAAAGCAAATATAGGCATCATAAAGCATTTATTTGTTCAACATTGTTTAGATGAATGTTGGAGCAAAAAAAAAACGCTCTTAGTAGGGTTGGGGGTCTGGACCACTTGCACTAAGTTGCTAACCCCGCAAGACACTTGCCTGCATATTGGGTAGTAATAAAACTGCTCTGTTGAAAATATCCCTTTGAACTTTTATATTTCTAATGCTTTGGTAACCATAGAAAACATGTTTAAACTAGTTCAGCTGTTATATAAGCAAACAATTTTACAAGATAGAAAATACTGTATCAGTTTTGTGCCATCAACTTTTGAGTTGCCAAACGATTTCAAACCAGAGTTATTACCCGTTTTGCCGAAATCTTGTAAGCACCTTACAGGTCAGAGATTTGGAGACATGATTTTTTTTAATATGCTGGAATTGTTCCCCATAGTTACTGGCCCTGACGTCATTTGGAGTATGATGCTTTTATGACTCTACACTACCCCACCCTCATCTGTCTATTAGGAATTCGGGATATATCATAAACTAAAGTGTATTGAGGATATCAAGTACGAGGGTCTCTCATTTTGGATTGGGAGAAAAGCACACAGACGAATTCAACCAGTATGAAACTCCAAAACACACAATTTGTTTTTCTTTAATTGATAACATTATCCGCCACCATTTACATTGTCGAACTTCACAAAATATCAGGCTAACATCAATAACTTTCTTAAACTATCATAAAAACACTTGTAATAATTTTACACTGGGAATAAATAACTCCTAATAAATATATAATTGTTTAAATTCTCATGATAGGCATTTAGTAATTGAACGTATTTACAATTTTATGGTACATAATTACTGAATTTATTACTTGGGATGAAATGTTATTATTCCCACGATTCCACAACTCCGAGTGTTGGATTTACCATTAAGCAAAATAAGCACGGGCTAAGGCATCATAAATTTGCCGGATACTATAAGTTGCAAAATTGCAAATGGCCTGGTTCACGAAAAGCTCCTCTGTTGAAGTATATTGAAAATCCCAACAGAACGGCTGGATACCACGTAAATATGTTACTTACTTTGGAGGATCTGAACAAAGACTTTGCAATTAGGAGAAATTTTTCAATTAACACAAATAAACATTATTTTTAATCTTAATTTTAATTTGTTTAATTTCGAAAAAAATCTAATTTTATGGTTTATCATTTTGAATTATATATATAATGGTATGGGGGCACTAAAATCTTTTAAGTGCTTAAGGCCTCTATTGAGTTTCATTGTTATCATTGTTGCATACATAATTTGTCAACTATCCACATATTTAATCGTATGATTTGCATGATGAAGACCAGGGTATCTTCGTTGGAAAATTGCGTTGCAATAAATTCAGTATCAGTATTTATACGTACGTACCCATGAACTTGTGCCTTTTCATTTATCAATAAATAACGAAGGTTTAATACATGAAAATGTTGAAGATGCCGTTTAATAGTATCCATATTAGAATTTATGAGACATAATTAACAGACCAGCTAGCGGATCAATCGTTGGAATTTGAAGGAATGTGTGAAGATAAATCTAACAAAACTTGGGCAATTTCTGTCATACCTTTCATCTGAAAAAAAAAATGTTTTCATAGTGAAAAACTACGTGGTATGGTCATATAATTATTTGGGTTGTCAATAGCACAGGCACTTGAAGGGATTAAAATAAAACTTCTTACTACTCTTACTACTACAGGAAATAGGATAGGAGAAAGAAAAGACAGGAAAAAAAATGACAAACAACACACAAAAAGAAGTGTACTAGAATTCTCAAATTCATCTAATGATAGTGCTCTTCGGTCATTCTGTTATCTAATTGTATCAGGAAATCAAACATTTGCCTTCTTCTGCTTTGGTCTGAAATGCTTGGAAAATGGGTTTGCGGTTGTCAATTTTCAAAATTTTCCTTGGGGGAGAGCCCCAAAGACCCCCCTCGGACCGCGCTCGTGACACGCCTTCGGCGGGTACTTGTGTGGGCCTTGGTCAATGACCTGACAGGTGGGCTTTCGGCTCGCCAGTCCGGCACTGACGATTGTATACAGAGTGCAGTTAAAAGCCTGATTAAATAAATGTGTTTTAAGTGGGTTTTTTTTACGAATGTAGAGATGTACAACATCTTAAACTAAATGGTAGATTATTCTATAAAACAGGTGCTTGATAAGCGCTGACCATAAGAGACTAGTTGAACAGTTTTAGGCTTTAAAAGTAGTTTATATCTGATGTACGTAATGTTCGGCCAGGTGTATAAAGTTCTAAAAGATAGCTTTCTAAACGATTTAATGCAGAGTCACAAATACCGAATTTAAATTGAAGTCTACGTAGAAGAAGGGAAGGGTCCACCGTGTCGAAAGCAGCAGATAAATCTAATAAAATTAAAAATTGTACATTTTCTATTATCAATTTCCATTAAATATCATTTGAAACCCGTCCACTCAAGTGCCGACAGTGAAAATGAGATCCAGGTCCATACTGGCTTTCAAAGCCGGAACATTCTGATCAAATCGAGAGTATATACCCGAACCGCTGGACTACAAATACAGCTTCTATTACCAACAGCATCCCATCAAAGGAAAATTTTAAAACATATTATAGACTTACCTCAGTATCTATTGAACAGACCAATTGATTTCTTGAATCTTGGCTTGTGTTTGAACTGTATAGAAAAAACAAAAAATGACTAATAGGAACCAAGTAGCTATAATATTCGAACATAACACAAAACTGCCACTGGCTGCCATTGTAGACACGTGTAACATTTTTTGAATCCATCTGGATATGCACCGTTCAAGCAACAAGTCTACAAGATCTGATTAACAACAACCACCGAATTCGGGCATATGATGATGTGTGCAAATGTCCAAGATCTGCCTAAACAATTATCAAAATAGAGGCTTCTTGGCTAAATTGTAGGTTAGGGTTAGGGCTTGGGATTATTTACATCTCGTGACCTTTGACCAAAATTGAAGTTGACTTTATGAAATAGACCTAACTCTGGGTGGCGTATAAGGGTCCGCGTGATTTTTTAAATTTTGCTAATAATCGAATCTAAGGATATTTCATTAAACAATAATGCATAGATATACTATTTAAAAATACTTCGGTGGAAGTATATACCACTGCTTCACCAATAGCTCTCCCATATCCAAAATGCTCTTGTAATGGTTGTAGGCCGTTATACAAGTTAACGTGTGATTGAATTACCTAGGGGTTAGAAAGTCTGTTCTTTTCCAAATATGTTGGTCTCCGAAATGCGCAGAGCTTACGGAGGGGCGGCGGTGTAGTGACTCAACAGTACTGTATCTTGGCGATATTGTTGTAGACATACTTGGTTGGTACAGTGATGTAGGTGTTGACATGGCTACAGAATAGCTTGTATAGTACGGAACTACATAAACCATGTCACTGTTTACTTCTTGATGATCCTGGTTGTTGGGAGGTATATTAGATTCATGTTTTTGTGGCACCAAATCAGTACGGATGTCTGACAAAGCTGTAGGATATGGTTTATTTACAGTTTCCCGAATGCCATTCCAAAAACACCTTCCTTGAAAAGAGAAAAAAAAATAGAAATTTAACGTTGTTAATTTGCAAGATTAAATAATTATATTTCTAATACTGATTGATTCCGATGTGGTTTAGAATCCACAAACTGTTCGTAACGAATGTCTAATTTCGTAGATTTTCTCGGGTTTCTTCGCACTGCTTCAGCGAGTTAATGGCATAAGATTATAATAACCTTTTCAGAATAACAAATACTAGTAGATAAATGTGGATGTGGGTTTGGGTATGCGGGAATAATCCGGTGAGATAAGAAAGAAAATTTCATTGCAGTGGTAAAACTAGTTATCTTCCACATATTCTTAGGAATTCCAAGGAGTAAAATTCTTTTTACCTTTTAAGTTGTTGCAGATATTTTGCAGTGCCCCTAAGCTTTCAGAAGACTGGACAATTTCTTCTTTCAGTTGGTTAAAGGTGCTGGCATTATTACGCACCGATGATTTGGGGATACTGGAGGGTCTATTTTCTGAATCCATAGGGTTGAAGGTACTGGGGTGTTTATTGTTAATGTCAATGGCATCTGTTCTCGTGGTAGAACAACTGACACCAGGGCTACTTTCTTCATCTTCTTTTTCTTTCTGTTCACCAACATACTTCATTTTCTGAATGTTGGCAAGTATTACAGTGCCCCATTTATTTTCAGACGATTCACCGGGGTGTTGCTTTTGTCTACGCCGGGTATTAGACATCCATGTTTTAATTTGAAGTAGGGTGAGTCCAGTTTCTTTGGCAAGGTATGCCTTTTCTTCATGCGTTGGATATGGTAGGTCTATGTGTTCTGTGAACCATTGACGAAGAATTGTTAGAGCACTTGAGGGAAGCTTCAACGTTGGTCGAGTACCATCAACACATATTCCTTTAGGTGGGGGATTACTGAAAAAAGTAATAATTTGTCCTTGGAAATATGAACAATAATTTTGAACAGTTTAGTAATGAGTGCACGATTAAGTGTCATCGGTGTCATTAAATCTGTGTGAATTCTCGGAGAGATATTAAATCTGCGATCTTATTCAATTAAAGTAATTCAGAAATTATCTTTCGGACCAGTATGCATCGTACTACCATGCATATATAAATGAATTTATTTGCTAAAAAAAATATATATATTTTATGTATACCTCTGTCTTACTCGAAATCGTTTCACGGCATTCAATGGTCGTCCAATATCAACTTCTCGGAGTCTATAATGACTGGTATCCCACAATTTAAGCAATCCAGTTTTATCTTTAAAGTTGTGACTCTAAATTGAAAATTGCAAAAGTTTGGTGATTTTTGTTAATTTTAATCAGAAAACATCGGAGTAGGATGAAGAATTTGGTAAGTTTGACTTCCCAAGGGGCAGGGCCAAGAGAATATTTTCCCTTGACAATTATATTTTATTTTAAATTCCAGCTTTATTTAATTAGGATAAAAATAATTCTTCTGTGCCAGGACATGGCACTACAAAGACAATATTGTAAAAGACAATATTCAGATCGAAGTTTCTACTTTTATAGTTTGTGTCCAGCGTAGCTCGGACGGCAACTAAATTCATTAAATATAGTAGCAACATATAAATTCAATAAATTGGTCTATATTTATTGTAATGTTTGATATTATGACCTTGTACACAGATATAAAACCAATAAAATTGATTTTATTTTATTGTAAAGTTTTCTCGATTTTTACGAAATTAACACACCCCTTGTCTTGAAAAAATCCATTTGCAAAAAGCATAATTTTAAACTATAAAATCAAATGAAAGAAAATATTAATAGAACCAATCTATGTGAGATTTGTGAAATCTTATAATTATCTTGATAATGTAAAACAATACATATCGACTGTGTTGTTAAAGAAAAGAAACAATGCTGTACCCGATTTCTGTCTGATGGTTCAAGTCCTTTGACAAAATAATTCCTTGACGACTAATCGGTTGATTTACGGGGTTAGGACAATTGAAAGGCTAACTTACCTGTAAAAGGTCACATACATCATCGAATTTTCCTTGAAAAAATCGCAAAGATACCAAAGCTCTAGCAAATTTATCATTGTATTGTAATAAATATTGATATTCAACCGGGAGAAGGCTATTAATAAAATTGACGAATCTCTGGAAACAAGGAGTGTATTCCCTTGAGTTGAAAAATTTGAATAAAATGTCACATTCCTTTTCAAAATATTCCTGATTCTTTTGGTCAGTTCTTGTGATGGCTATACTATCATTAATGAAATAGTTCCTTATTATTTTCTGCATAATTAAATTTAGTTCTGGCGATTTAAAAGTTTCGGGCCAAAGTAATAAAGCAGTAAATGGTTGAGAAACTTGTAGACAAAACAGAAATTAAAATCTGTTTCATAAATATGTAGTCTGTTCCTTCATGACTACACAACATCATCAATTTATAAATATTGAAAAGGACATTATTAATGAAGTTTTGATGACGCGTGCGTGTCTGATGTGACACGCGTAATATTTTGAAAACATGTCATTTGATCAGTAGTGATGGCGACTTCTGATACCCACAACACTTGTAAGGTTTTCCACATAGGACTTTTTGCATGCAAGTCAAATTGTCGGCATTTGTCGGGATTTAGTTTGGCGACAAACTTTGAATAAAAGATAGGAACTGACAGTCTCGCAGAGCGATTATATTTATGGTTGCCATGAGTGTACGGAGTTGCTATGGAAGCTGTCATACGGCACGAAGATAGTGTAAAAAAAGCAATAACCCTTTCTGTTACGTCCAGATATATATATGTAGAACTTTATATTTCCCCAGACTGCCTTAAAAACGATAAAGTCATTTTACAAAACTACTTTTATTATTTACTGCAGAAATAATGTATAATGTTATAATTGCAAGATAAGGATGGGTAAAAGAATACATATAAAATAAGCAAAGTTATAGAAATAATTAATTAATAAATAAATAAACCTTTTGTACAATTGAGTACTCACTGTTTAGCCTAAATTTAAACTTATGTATATATTAAATTTTAAAAAAATATATATAAAATACAATAAAAATAACACTAGGCCTACAAATATAATGGCCAACAGAGTATTTATGACAGAAAAATAATCATATATTTACTAGGTCTTGAAGTTCTTTTTTCCTTTAAAAAGCTTAATTTGTTTGACTACCATCAGCAACTCACAGCTAAATTCAAATATTTAAACTTAAGACCATGCTCATTCAGACCCTTATTTATTCAGTTTTTAGTTTCTGTTCATCTTCTTAAATAAAAGTCTTTACAGTAATTTTGACCTATTATGATTTAGGGACACAATTATTTATTGCAAAATAAATTTAAAATTTTTAAATAACAAGTCTCCAAGCAGGGGACATTTAACAAGGCACAAATCCAATGAATGGGAATAAGAAACTATGCACTCCTGTTAATATCGAAAAAATGATATCATGGCAGTGATTTTTAGACTGAAAAATAAATCTACATGTATTTAGTCTGATATGGTCTCAATCCTGTGTTCTTCAAATGATACTCTACCCAATGTATGCTTTTTATAATAGCCATAATCACTTGCTTTCACATCAAAACCACACTTTAGATACATAGATAGAAACCATGCTAATATAAGTCTATCTACGCTCATTAAAGGGTGCAACCAGAGAATGAGGAAAAAACAAGTAGCTCCAGGATGTCTCATATGCCTATATAATTTCTGCATACCCTTTGATTTGTAAGATATTGGACTATTGTAACCCTTTAAACTGTAATACACCTAAAATATATAAAATGATGATTAACTTAATTCTAATTTAAACCTCTCTGATTTGGATCAAAAGTAAAATTTTCAATCTTTCTTCCTTGAGCATAACCAATTTTGCTTCCACTGTTAACAGAGCAAGCTAATAATTAAAATTATAACCAGTTCTATCACATATGTGATAATGACTGACACCAATATTGTCACTTGTATAATGCTGGTTAGTAATTTTTATCGACATGTTAAAGCTTTTAGATTTTATAATTTACCTGTTTCCAACCAATCAGTTCCATGGGTTCCATAATCAAAACTTCTAAGAAAATAATCAGCCAGGCAAAACAATGAACAAGATTAAAGAAGAACCATAAAATCCAGCTTTCATTGGTATCAATTAACCAGGCTGACAAACTATACACAGGCTGCCAAAAGTATATCATTGTCTGAAAAATTAAAAAAAAACCCCAACAAATCAATAGTTTATAGACTTGTATTTATTTAAAATTATTTCCTATCAATAAGAAAAATGAATTTAAACTAATAACTGAGTTTATTTATATATTTAGCAGTAATGCCATGTGATCATATCACTGCCTATGTTACCTTCAGTGGAACGAATCTGCCAATCGATTGCTGAATATAAAAGAGTTTTAAGATTCCCTATGACTATGATTCATGCGCATTTGGTATTCAAAAGTTTAGCTGAACAGTGCTTTGATTTAAGTAGGCCACTTTTGATGATTAGCCGAGTTTCAAGTTATTTATAGTTGTTAACACTAATAACAGTTCAATTTCCCTTTTAAGTAGCATACACAAGAGAAATCGCAACTTGAAATTATTTATTGCACTAATTGTTAATGTATAAAAATGTTTTCTAGGCAAGCTATAAATACACAAAAATTATTCACTTTTACCATTAATGTTAAACCAGTAAATACCACATAAATGCATCTTTCAACAGGTTTTAAACCACACTTGCTGATTCCATTTTTGAAGAAACTACATGCCATCAATGAATGTTGCAGAATGAATATAGCAATCAAACAGACATCAAAAATGATATGTCTAAATTCGGTGAAATCTACAATATAAACAGAAATAATCATATGATATAGTATTGTTTTTGACAACAAACATATATCTACCAATAGTTTTCCCAGATTTTGTTTTTCAACCATATTACAATCTTGGTGAATTCATTTTACTAAAAATGTTATGTGTGATTGGATTTTATATAACAGGTATTTAATATTGCCCGTCTCAGATCTATCTTAGTGAATCAAATGGGTTAATGTTCATACAAGACTCTTAGATTCCTTTATCCTAGTCTTGTGTAATTATCTTTATCTCTTGCGATAGCCTACTATTTCACAGGAAATACAAACTTTCAGTTTCTGTGATTGGCATGCTATTGATGCTAAGGTGCATGGATAGCCAATTCTACATACCAGCCAAGTTATATTTTGAGATTTAATTTGTACACACAACTATTATCATCGAGTACCCATAGATGAAATAAGTTTAATTATAGAATTTTCTGCCTCGGTACAAATTGGCTGATATTTTATTAATTTGGAGGCTAAACTTATATAACCACTTTTATCAATGGGTAACCTTAAATTGAGTACAGTAAGTTAAATTATAGAATATTCTGGTATGAAAATTGGATGATATATATGTCAGACATGTCATTGCAATGCATTTGCAGGACTGGTGCGAGGTCAGACTCTTCAGAGCCCTAATAAAGTAATTGGCCAAATACAGCTAGCTGCTTCTTATTGTATGTAGGTCTGGGCCTAATTGTGAACCTTTCCACCCTCATTCTGTTTTCATATTTTGTTGGTACAGCCATATTTTTTTGGTACTGTCTACTTTGATGCACGTATTGTAGTAATTGTATTGTACCCTACCTATAACTTCTTTATTAATATTATCATCATTATTATTATTATGTTGTTGATGAGATTCTGACTCTCCATCTCCCCCAATTTTAATTCCAACCCTCAACTGCTGGTTGGACAGGAAACAAACTAATGACATCACTGAACTTATTAGTATCGAACCCGATACTAATGGAAAAAATGCATAGATTAATGAACATAGCATGTTAACAATCAATATTTAATTCTGAATAAGAAAGTTCAGAAAAATCTCACAATAACAATATAAGGGAAGTCACTCTGTAAATAAGTCAGGGTTATCCAGACCAAATCCATGCTAAATGAACTTTGATCTGAAATTTGACAGTGCCAGTGGTCGGTGTTCTTGAAAATTAAGTCGAGTCTGGAAAAAGAAAGTATTCGTAAAGACGTTAATGTAAAAAGTTTCAGGTATTATTTATTTCGCCAGAGTTAAGCTTCTTTATGGCTGACACTTAATTTATCCAAAGATTGCATAGCCTATATCGGTAAACCACTGCAGTCAGTCATTAGTTACGATACTATCTCCATCAGACATATCGTTAAAGGGCTAAGCCCGATAATTTTTTGGAGAATAAAACTGTTTAATTTTGGTTCAAAATCCCTTAAAATCCTCTACCTAAGGGCCTAGCAACTAACTCAATATATGGGATAAGTTTTCAAATAACTGAAACCCGTCAATCTTATCTGGAAATGGAGACCAGTGCCCCAAGCTGTATTATGTGGTGTCTAGATAAAACCAGCCATTTTTTGTATAAAAATAATGTGTAGATGAAATTTACCGTTCGTTATCAAGTACAGCATTTGGGTCATTCACTGTATCTCTCTATATTTTGGCGCTTAAATTTCATACATACTCAGACTTTTATTTTTGAGACTCTGTTCAAATAAGGGATAGTCCCTTTAATACTACTTAGTAACTGGAGTAGTCATTCGTTACAGGCACAGGATTCCAATTAACTAAAACCAACATGCAAATACATTAACATGTATCTATCAACAGAGATGCGAACTTGAGTCCAGCGATTCAGACTTGAGTTTGACTAAAAGTTGCTACCGTATGTCTCTATAAAATAAATATCGTCCAAAGTCTTCGACATTGAAAACACAAATTATTTTTCAGTTTAAATCAACATTGATATTGTGATCTTACCAGGAAAAGATGGGCTTCTTTTATCCAAAAACATTTGGTCATTTATCGTGTACCATAATGCGTTTCAGCACCATTTGTAACCATTTTGAGACTTCTTGTGGCATATTTCGATGAACACAACTGATTAGAAATTACAGTAAATCAGTTTATTCATTTATATTACATTACTGTATGCGTTGTGACCCATTTGTGTCCATTTCTAGGTCACCAATATTAGCGATTTAGCTCCTTTAAGTTGCATCAAAGATCCGACTTGTATCGGACTTATGGCAGTTAAATTGTTACAACTCACAATTACTAACTAGTTGAGCTTAGTATTGGGGGTCGTGTTATTTTGGGCGTGTCTGTTAGGGGCAACCTACCGCACAAACTGTCTGGCAGTGGTCATTCATGATTCCTGTGGTGGTACTGAACAACTCCAAAGCTGTTTTAGGTGGTACAGGTTTGAGCTAATCTAGCCTAGCTTTGGTTTGGTTTGGTCTTGTCAGGGATACTCCATCACTACAAATGTTTGGCAATTACATAGCTCTGTCAGGGGTACCCCACCACTAGAAATGTCTGTCAAGAGTGTTTTTGTAATACCTGAAGATGTACGGTACATTTCTGTGCGATTTTCATGTGGTACACTTTTGAGCTAATCTAGACTAGTTAGAGGGCATGGCATTTTGGGCGTGGAATACCACACCCACCACCAGAAACCCGGCAGACTTACATTCTGATGATACCAGATATACATACATTGATACCATATAGGAGAAAATTGGTACACTTTTCAGCTAGGTTAACCCCCTGGGCTCCTGCTCTATATGTCCTTGATGAATTGGATCACAGCCACAAAATTTAGAATTTATATTTTGTTGTCAACTTAAATATACATGTATATAAGAACTTTGTCTATACTACTTCAGCATACAATGGCAGTCAGACAAATTCCAAGTGTAATGAGAAAAATTGTTGCAACAAAATTTAGTCCTAAGTTCCGTGAAGCAACAGAAATTATTGAGACACCAGTTCCATCCCCTGGCCCCTCAGAAATTCTTATAAAAAACAGGTGAGACTACATTTCTGATTGAAGGAAACTATGATATTATTTTAGAATTATATTAAAATCTGATATTTGATAAAAAAAAAAATTCAGGTATTAAATCCCAGATTACTAACTGGAGAAACTATTTTCAGGTTTAATTAAATGATATTTCAACAGCTGGTATTCAAACTGGTATTTATGAGCTAAACTTCTTTGAAAAAAAAAAGATGAATTTGGTTTATGGACGTGTTATTTCAATTAATGAAATTTTGATTTTGGTACAGTTAGCAAAAATCGGCTTGTTACAAATCTTTTAGTTACGGTATTTAATGTCGACTGTTGCACACACAATCAATTACATGTCAACAATGATGTAAATTCTTAAGATAGTTTTTCATATCACAAAATTCATTGAAATTGACCATGTCCTATCCTTTTATCCCTAGCCCGTTCCACTTTCTGAATGTTGATTTTTACTAAAATTCATTGAAATTGACAATTTGATTTTTGACCCAACTAAAAGATGTCCTATCCTTTCATGCTTAGCCTGCTCCCCAGTTATGATTTTTACTAAATAAAGATATTGTATAGAAAAATAAAATCTATTTACAGATATGTTGGTATTAATGCCAGTGATATAAACTACACAGCAGGAAGATATGACCAGAAATTAAAGCCTCCCTTTGATTGTGGATTTGAGGTATAAATAATTATTCATGTTAAAATGCCTTAAATAATTTTAGCTTGAAGATCCATTTCTTTAGTCATATAAATCTGTATAAGAAGCTCAAATTGATTTATTTTTGATATCAATTAAATGATTTCTTGGGCGTGATAATGCCATATAATGATATTCGTAAAAAATTTTTGTTTTTTTTGTTTAAAATAAAGATGCATCTTGTAAGAGCTCAATTTGCCTATTGAGATTTTTATTTAGACATTTATTCGCATGACAAGCCTATAATCAGCTCTCTAGATCATCCTATGGCTCAGATTTAAATAGATTTGAACACCCACTAGATTGAAAAAAAATAACGATAAAATGGAAAATCAAGACTTAATCAATAAAAGTAATTTTAATGAAATTTTCAATACATTAAAGACACATTGTCATGAAAGTTTTTATTAGGTGGTTATTTTCAATAAAAGTATGGCACATTTGGTATATATGGAAAGTACAGATGCCAAAAAACACCCATGGGGCAAGGACTGGGCAAAAATGTCAGGGTATCACTAACTGGCAACCCGATGGCTTTTCCGATATTTAGTTGAGTGAGGGAATGGTTGTTATTTCTTGATCGAATGGTTAAGCAGTTTTGGGAGCATTGAGAATGTAAACGTATAACAGACTCTGCAATTAAACGGCGAAAAAAAAGTTGGCAGAAAATAATTCAAGAATTTACTTAGGCCTCAATATGTTTTGTAAATGGTCAGTAAGTAATGATAAATACATTCTGAAAAATGGACCCTCCCTCAATCAAATTAGGTGACAAACATGGCTTCTAAAAACATATTTTTTTATAGCTTGGGGTATCTCCCCATGAATACAAAGTTTTGAGAAGGTTTTGAAGCAAATTTTTGATAGATTTTTAGCCCAATAATATCATCAAATCACACAGTTTGTATCTTTAATGTTCCATTATCTATTTTTGAATTATTATAGCAAGAACGGCCAGCTCTTTATCTAAGTCTTACATTATATACCTTTAATGCTGGGAAAAAAAAAAGAGTTTGATGTCTGTTTGCTTTTAGGGTATTGGGGAAGTTGTTGCTGCAGGAGATCAAAGTAGTGTGAATGTTGGACAATCAGTTCTGTATATGAATATGGGTGCTTTCTCTGAATACAAGGTATGGAGGAGACTTAATTATTTATTTAGCCTTTACTATTTTAAATGTAGATCATCACTTGTACAAAGAAAAATGATGTCGTTAATTTGATGTAACGTGATGTTGAAAAAAAAAACCATCTTGAATATCAAAACTGGTTTACTTATAGAACAAACCATTTGCATAAACGTGATCCGATTTCTTTCCAAATCACTATAAAATTTCTATGACTTTTAAATTGAATCGTAGAATCTAAGGATTGACACACATCTCAAAATTTGCACATAACAGTAATTTATTTGCATGATTGAACTATATTGTTAAATCATGTTGAATCGGAAATAAAAAAGTTTCAGTCAGCGATGAATTCCACATAACAACTCTGCTTTTATATGAGGTAGAATGTTTAAACTTGTAGATGTTCATTAGGTGAATGTCTTGAATGAGTTCAATGATTAACATTTCAAGATAAAACGCAGCAGATCTAAGAAATTTCATTGGTCGATACACTTCCTGAAAATTATTTAACTGATTTTAGCCATGGGTAGTATAATAATGTTACTGCAATGGTTAGCTGTATGTATCGTAGAAAGAGACACCTGCTGTCCAAGATTTATATCTCCCTAACCACACACACACACACACACACACATGGTAACATTGTGTTAGTATGCACACTTATGTTTTGATTTTGGACTTTACTACTCCATTTAGTTGCTCAAAAGTGCCATGGCAATACCTGTACCAAATACCAATCCTGAATTATTACCCTTAATGCTGAGTGGGTTAACAGCTTCTATCAGCTTGGATAAGGTAATGTGCTGTACACATATTATTAAAAAGTCTTCTTTGTTGGAGAATGCTAACTGAATTTTATTTGTTGGATGGAAGTTCAATTTTAAAACATTTCCATTTTACAATTCTAAGGTTAACAATATCAGAGAATACACTCATATGATGTTTACTGTTTAATAATATACTGTTGTTTTTTTAGTCATTTTTTTACTCCACATTTTGCACCTGTAATGATATCTGTTTCTAGTTCAATATTTTTTTATCTAATAATTTGTGATCTTGACCTCTCCATCCTAAATTGATTTGGTAACTGACTGTTTGTGGTTCCTTATATGAGCGATGAGAAATAACTTCTCAAGCGAATTACTTTTAATTAGTAAGGTTACATGGTCATTTTCCTCTCAACCAATCGTAACTCTTAAAACATGTTAAATCCCTTTTGAACTTAGACACTGTATACATATGATGGTACTTGTGTGTGTGAGTTAGTTTTATTTAACGTCCGCTTCCACCGAGGTGATATCGCAGATGGTACTTATTTTGTCCCAGTTAATATTTGTAGTTGAAGTAAAGACAGTTTGGCCTAGAGTGATCAAGACTAATAATTGGCACCATTATAGAGGAAAATTAACTACCACATATTTTTCTTTTAGTATGGAGAAATAAAAGCTGGTGAAACTGTTCTAATAACAGGTAAGGATTTCCCTTTTGCAAAATTGACTTAGCATTCTGAATTTGTATGTGAACTTTCCTAACATAAATATATTGTAATCTCATATTGTAACTGTCTTGTTTCAGCTGCAGCAGGTGGTGCTGGACAGTTAGCGGTAAATCTTTTTTGATACTTCAATATAAGTACATTATTTAATAATGGTTTGTGTATTATTTTTCCTGTACTAGAAATAAAATATTATTTAAACCAATGTTGATACCTAAAATGGTTCACATTCTTTTATATTCATATGCGTACATGTATGTGATCTAGTAACGGCAATGTTTATACTCATGTGAAATAGTGTTAGCTGGTTTCAAATGCCTTGCATAATATTGGGGAACCATTGGATAAAATACATTTTTCTCAGTGACTACTTAATCTATTTAGTTTATTATATTTTATGATATCAACATTATTACATCCATTTAAAGATAATTTTGGTGTATGTATACAGTGATCTAGTAACGGCAATGTTTATAATAGGCCCTGGTGTTAGCTGGTTTTAAGATGTCTTGCATAATGATGGGGAAGCTTTGGATAAAAATATATTTTTCTCGGTGATAAATTACTGGTTTTTAGTTCATTATATTTTATGATATCAACATTATTACATAAATTTAAAGATAATTGTTGGTGTAAAATAATGGAGGGTCCAACATATCATGTATTGCGATATTTAGCTTTTGTGTTGCAGGTTCAGTGGGCAAAAAATGCAGGATGTCATGTAATAGGAACATGTTCTAGTGAAGAAAAAGTTCAATTTTTAAAGGTTTGTTATATTTACCAGTAAAACTATAGAAAATGGAAATAAATGTGCCAAAAAATAATTGAAAACTATATGTAGTTTATAATTTGTAGTTTAAATGAAGTAAAATAAAGACATGTTGCTAAATATAATACTTGTTCATTTAAAAAAACAACAAAAAAACCGCTGAACTACAATATTTCGTGCTTTAGACTTGTATATCGTAGGTCTCTGCTTGAAACCTCATATAACCGATTTTTGGCCAAAAACACTTTTTATATGCCCACATTGAAATGTGGTCGTATATTGTCGGGTAGCACGTCATTTCAGTCCCGCGTCATTTCGGACTCAACACAGACGACCTTTCAGATTCAGTTTGACGACGGTTCGGACTTACTTGACGACTTTTCAGACTCGGTCTGGCGACGATGAATAATTAAAAGACTGTAGAAAATTTGTGTGATATATTTCTAAAAGCTGTTTTTTTTTTGTTTTATGTGAATCCAATAGTTGTTTTGTTTTATTTAATTGATCGGCGATTCATGAGACTGCTAATAAAAAGATAACACTGATTTTACACTGCTTGTTCTATTTTGTTTTGTTTCATTGGCGAGTATTGAACTTGACAATACAAGATTGTTGAAAATTTGTGTATATTTAGTAATACTGCTAATGTTTTTATAATTCTGAAAGCCTAAACGTCTTTTACGCGAGTCTCAATAATCGAATCAACATACATCTGCCATTATCACCGATTGACAACTCACATTTTTCCTCGTCCACTAAAGAACTGTAAGGTTTCTTTGCGCATACTATAATAACATAGGGATTATCGGTTAATCAGCTTTAATTATCCCACTTTGATCGTTGCCATTTCTAATATTTTCCCAAAAGAGTTTTCTTTGTACGCACTAATTTATCGATTGGTGCTGCTATCTATGATTCGAAAGTTGTGTTCAACCTTTCCTTCCAACTTATTCCCAAGTTCGAAAACGTCACCTACCGGAGTCCGAAATATCACCTGTCCGAGTCCGAAACGTCAAGGCCATATTTTTTAGTCTGAAATGTCGTAAGTATGAAATGACGCGAGACTGAAATGACATGTAATCTAAGTTAATATCCGATTGACTTTAAATTTATACACAGTGTTTAAGGTCATGAGACCTTATCGATTTACGATAATTACTGCCAGAGTTATGGCCCTTGATCACTTCAAAAAATCTTGTGGATGCTCTGAGGTCAAAGTTAATATCCGATTGACTTTAAATTTATACACAGTGTTTATGAGACGAATAAGCCTATTGATTTTCAGCAATTTCCGATAATTACTGCCAGAGTTATAGCCCTTGATCACTTCAAAATATCTTGTGGATGCTCTAGTGGCGAAAGATAATATTTGATTGACTTTAAATATATACACAGTGTTTAAGGTCACGAGACGAAGAAGTCTATTGATTTTCAGCAATTTCGGATAATTACTGCCAGACTATGAATTTATACGAAGGATCCTATTGATTTTCAACGATTTCCAATAATTACTGCCAAAGTTATGGCCCTTGATCACTTTGAAAAATCTTGTGCTGCTCTAGAGGCTTATGTTATCATCTGGTTGACTTCAGATTGATACACAGAGTTTAAGGTCTTGAAACGAACAAGTATATTGATTTTCAGTAAATTTTGATAACTTGAACAGCTAAATCCATGATATTAAATATTTCGTATACCTTATAAAAACCAAACAAATTCTAATGATTTTCTGATAATTACTTAACAAGTTGTTACTCTTAATCAGATTTTAGTGTATTATAAATGTTTCATTACTGAAAAAGTAAAAATATGTGACAACTCTTGTTGACTGCCCGGACGATTTAGCTGCTGTGGGCGTATGTTTCGTTGCCTGACAACCTATCTTTATAAAATTTCAAAAGCTCAAAACTAATTATTTTGAGATTTTTTTTGTTAAACCTGTATTTAAACTTTCCACGATCAAAAAGAATTGGTCTTCTTTCTAGAATCAAAAACATGTATAACATTTTTCGATTATATTTTAGAATAAATAATCATCAACCACACCAAACGAAGTTAGAGAGGGATATTGAAATGGGGTCCGTCTGTCGCTATTTCGTTTCCGGAGCATATCTCATAAACCGTTCAAGATATCGTTCTGAAACTTTGTACACACATCAACCTATTACAGTAGTTGTGCCTTTTGCTATTTAGGAATTTCTTGGATTTATATTTTTATACGCCCTCATTTTCATGTGGACGTATTATGCCGTCGCCCCTGTCCGTCCGTCCGTCCACAATTGTTTGTGGACTCTCTACAGGTCACAATTCTTATCCGATTTTGACGAAACTTGAAATATAGGTTTATCCCCAAAAGATCTCGGCTGCTTTCGATATTGGCATGTATCGGATCGAAACTTCATGGATTATGGCCCCTCATTGTACGAAAAATCACGTTTTTAGCTTGTGGACCCTATAGAGGTCACAATTTTTATTCGATTTTTTTTAAACTTGAAATGTAAGTTTATAACCCAAAGATCTCGGTTCCTTTCGATATTCGCGCATATCGGACCGTAACTTCCTGAATTATGGCCCCTGATTGTACGAAAATTAGCGTTTTTAGCTTGTGGACCCTATAGAGGTCATAATTTTTATCCGATTTAAAAAACCGTATTATTATATCACCGTTACACCCTAAGGAAGGTTGAGTTCGAATTTTGTGAAAATCGGCCCAACAAAATGGCCACCGTTCGTTCTCAAATAGCGTAAAAATATGGTATATCAAGGTTGTGGACCCTATAGAGGTCACAATTTTTATCCGATTTTTTTGAAACTTGAAATGTAAGTTTATAACCCAAAGATCTCGGTTCCTTTCGATCTTCAAGCATATTGAATTGTAATTTCCTGAATTATGGCCCTTGATAGTAAGAAAAATCACTTTCTTGTTAGCTTGTTCTCTATCCATCTCGTGAAAATGTGAGCGTATCCTGCCTGGCAGCCGCTGGTTTGTGTTTCCATGGAAACAAATTTGACTTAGTTTTTAGTGTACAATTTTGTTTCTGTAGCATATCTCATAAACCATTCAAGATATCTTTCAGAAACTCTGTGCTTTTTACCATTTAGGAATTTCTGGGATTTATATTTTTATACGCCCACATTGAAATGTGGTCGTATATTGTTGTCGCCCCCGTCCGGCCGGCGTCCACAATTGCTTGTGGACGCTCTAGCGGCTAAAGTTAATATCCGATTGACTTTAAATTTATACACAATGTTTATGGTCATGAGACAAAGAAGCCTATTGATTTTCAGCGATTTCCGATAATTACTGCCAGAGTTAAGGCCTTTGATCACTTCAAAAAATATTGTGGAAGCTCTACAGGTCAAAGTTAATATCCGATTGACTTTGAATTTATACACAGTGTTTAAGGTCATGAGACGAAAAATCCTATTGATTTTCAACGATTTCCGATAATTACTGCCAGAATTATTTCCCTTGATCACTTCAAAAAATCTTGTGGACACTCTAAAGGCCAAAGTTAATATCGATTGACTTTAAATTTATACACAGTGTTTAAGGTCATACACAGTGTTTGAGGCCATGAGATAAAGAATCATATTGATTTTCAATGATTTCGGATAATTGTCAGAGTTATGGCCCTTGATCACTTTGAAAAATCTTGTGACGCTCTAGCGGCTAAAGTTATCATCCGATTGACTTCAGATTGATACACAGAGTTTAAGGTCTTGAGACGAACAAGTATATTGATTTTCAATGAATCTTTATGACTTGAACAGCTAAATCCATGATGTTGAAAGTTTCGTATACTAAACGTTAGCATGGGGCAGAACTCTATAAAAACCAAACAAATTCTAATGGTTTTCTGATAATTACTTAATGAGTTGTTACTCTTAATCAGATTTTAATGTATTATAAATGTTTAATTACCGAAAAAAGTAAAAATATGCAACAACTCTTGTTGACTGCCCGGATGATATAGCTGCTGTGGTTGTATGTTTTGTTGCCTGGCAACCTATCTTTTGTGTTTCTATGGAAACAAATTTGACTTAGTTTTTGGTGTATAATTTTGTTTAGGTAGCATATCTCATAAACTGTTCAAGATATCTTTCTGAAACTTTCTACAAACATTAACCTATTATATTAGTGGTGCCTTTTGCTAATTTGTACAGACATCGCAACCCATTACAGTAGTTGTGCCTTTTACTATCAAGACATTTCTGGGATTTATATTTTTTGTGTTTCTATCGTTCAAGATATCTTCTTGGCACTTGTATAAACATCAATCTGTGATGGGTGTGCGTTTTGCTATTTAGGATTTTCTCGGATTTATATTTTTTGTTGTGTTTCCTTGGAAACAAATTTGACTTAGATTTTGGTGTTCAAATTTGTTTACAGAGCATATCTCATAAACCATTCAAGAAATCTTCGTGAAATTTTCTACAAACATTAACCTATTATATTAGTGGTGCCTTTTGCTAATTTGGAATTTCTGGGATTTAATCATTTTTGTGTTTCCATGGAAACAAGTTTTTATGCACAATTTTGTTTCCGGAGCATTTCTCATAAATTGTTCAAAATATCTTTTTGAACACACATCATCCAGCATCATCCTAATACAGTAGGGGAGAGCGGGGTACAGTGGGCATGATTTCTTTTTTTAGTGAATTGACCAGAAGTGAAATCCTACAGAGAATCAAACTATGCACTCAGTTGAAGCCAGTCATGTGTTCGATTTAACAGTGCTGTTAAGAAGTTAATAAATTGAAACCATTTTTGTGTAGATCATTGTAAAACCAAAATTTTTTTGGACCCAATGTGCCCCGTATGTGTGGTACACTGGGTCACACTATGGGACACAGTTGGCCATCAAGTATGTTTCTTTTAAAAAAATGTATAGTAAACACACCGAAACTCATAAGAACTGTAAAAAGTAAACTTTTAGTTCAAAATATGAATTTGTTTCAAGACTTTAACACAGATATCCTGCTGAAAATTTAAAAAAACAGCTTAACATTGAATAAACAATTCTTTAACTGGAGAAAAAAAATCTTTTATGTGAAAAACTCCTATGACTTGTAAGTCAGCAAGGATTCGTAACCTAGGACCAATATTTCCTTAAAAACAGCTCAAATATCCAGATTCTGTCTAAAATGGACAGATGAGATTTAGCTAAACTCGAAATGCTTATGCTCAGTGTGCCCCTCTGAAATGTGCCCCACTGTGCCCCGTCATCAACCATGTCAGAAAATCGAAAATGGCAGGAAGACATGTGATAGTATTATGAAACAAAATATTTCTAATGAGAGTCAAATACTATCTCCTTCACCTGGGATTTCAAGTTTGTGGACTCTTACAAAATCTGTAGTAGCCAAGCAGTTTAACCAGTCCGCCAAAAATTCACTTTTGCGTCAGAAAAACAGTTAATGGCCGATAAATATTAATCAGCTTACGTGAATTTATTGAATTTAGGAGGACAAATGGGGGCCGTATAGGGGAATTCCCCAGTGATGTCACAATTCAATTTTCCCAAAACAGTTAAAAATTACAAAGCCTGGCTTACTGTGCCCCATGGCTTACTGTGCCCCGCTCTCCCCTAGTTGTGCCTTTTGCTAATTAGAAACTTGTCGGATTCAATAATTTTTGCGTTTCCATGGAATATAATTATTATTCTAGAGCATATCTCAGAATCTGTTGAAGATACCTTTATAACACTTTTACATTCATCAGCCTATTATTTTATTTTTTGATGACCTTCCTTCTGTCCCGATTTCATTTCTAGAGCATATTTCATAAGTCAAGAAATCTTTTTAAAACTTTATACAAACATCAAACTATTAAAGTATTTTATTTTGTGATTGATAAGCTTAATGTTGAACATACAGCAGCTGTTTTAGGTAGGCAAAGGTTGTTGTGCAAACCTAGTAAAGGGAGTAGCAACTGCCTTGCAGAGCTACTATGATCAGAGTATGAATCTTATGACTAGTCCCATTGATATTCCAAGAAGTTGTTTTTCCTTATGCCTTCCAAACAAGTTCAAGGGCGGTGATGACTAGTCATCTTGTTTTCACTTGAAAATGTTCATGAATCAAAGCGTAACCATATTTTCACCAAACAGATACCCAATATTATTTTAAAAAATGTGGCAGTCTTATTTAAAACAAATTTTATCAACTAACTTCTTTACTAAGTTTCTTCATTTTTTCATTAGACCAGGTTTCAAGTGGAGATTCACAATATGTACAGGGTTATCTTTAAAATATGAGATGGTGACTTTAAAGATACATTCCCGGGTACAAACTGGGTGATTTGATGATATATTTGGACTAAAAACATATTCAAACTAATTAATTTATCATAATTTTGATTCAAATCCTTCTCAAAACATTGCAATTGTCAGGAATACCCTGGCTATAAAAAATCGATCAAAAGAGGTCATGTTTGTGTCACGTGACTTACCTCTCTCGGTACCGATGCAAAGTAGGAGGAAAATTCATTGCGTACACAATACGATGTTATCTTTAATCGCTGACTATTTATTACAAATATCAAAGCCTAATTAAATTCTCGGATTATCAACCACCCACGTCTCTTTCCGTGAATTTTATCTCAGAAAGTGTTGTACGTCTAATTCTTCATAAAGTTCTTAAAGTTTATCAACATGTACATCAAGCGCTCAATCTCCGCGTGCAACCTTCGACGTCACACGTGCAGACACTTCTAATCGTCGGCTGTCGATTAGGGAAACCCTTACATTTTTGTCCAGTATGCGCTCCATGAATGTTTTTCAGGGAATTCAGTATTTTTCTAGTAAGATTGGATATTTCTACATTCCATATATACCAAAATTGTCATACTTTTATTGGAAATAACCACCCGATAAATACTTTTCTGGGAACGTAGCTTTAAGTGGAAATTGTTTAATTATATTAATTCATACAAATTTATATTTTTAGAGCATTGGTTGTGATCGTGCCATTAACTATAAAACAGAAGTTTTTAAAGAAGTACTTAAATCAGAATATCCTGTAAGTAATTATTCTTATGCACAAATTAATAATCGTTTGTGGTTAAAATTGACATCTTGCCTATGGTGTTTTCCACTATATTTTGTTCTATGCTTTGTTGTACAGTTATCCAGCAATTGACATGCATTCACGCTAATTTCACAATTATGTTGTCTATAAAGTTTGTGTATTTTTAATGGGGGCCGCTGTGGTTGTGTTTTTAGGACACTGGACTAATCACTATATATCCCAAGTCTGAATCCTAGCGCAGGCTGGAAAGAATTTTCAGGGTTTTTCCTGCGTGTAAGGGTAATGCTTGCAGGGCTTGGAAGGAAAGGGTGTCTAGAAATAGGCCAAATAAACAAGGCGAGTAGGTAGAACAGCATATTCCTGAAGCAATGGACCGAGAAATCCCTCTCTGGCCATTTCTGGATTGGCTTCTGATACTTGAGCTTTTTAGGGAATGTGTCTATTCTTCCAGTTCAATCAAATCTATCCCAAATACAGCAACACGACAGCCCTTTGTTTAATCTATTAAAAACGGTGAAAGTATTGTTTGTCTCCAAACAGTGTTGTTTACATTGTATCCGCTTTGATAGCCTCATTTGTCACGCAATTAGTTTTTCTGCAATATTCTGCTATGCACTGGTTAATTGGGCATAATAAAATTGTGAGTCATGACATAATGTAAACATATTTGGTCCAATTTGGAACTCTGTTTAAAGAGTAATGATATTGTTACACAGTTAGCTATTGGTTGTTAATTGGACTATTGACTAGTCATATAATTTGGAACAGATATTTGCTTCTATTACAACAGTGTTAAGTGGGATTAGCTCTAATCAAACGAAACACTGCTAGGAGTATGGTAGAACAGCTGCAATTGGGGCAACTTTCTCTCTTCTTGCATTACCTTGTTAAATAATTATATATGCATTTAAATTATTATATTTTAGAAAGGCATTGATGTTGTTTTTGAATCTGTTGGTGGAGAAATGTTCGATACATGTATTAACAGGTAAGTTTCCCATAGAAAATTGATCATTTACCAATAAAAAATGTTATGCACAAGGCACATGAATATTATTGCCTTAATCGAAGGGGGACCTTTTTAAAAAAAATTGTAATTAGTTAAGTTTAACTTTATTTTTTAATATGATATTACCGTATATGAAATTTACATTTATTTTTGAGAATTAGCTGTGTCTGGGTCATTTTGAATAGGATATTGTATGAAATTAATTAAGAATTTTACATTTTGTAATTTTGTTATATATGTATGTACTCATTTTGTATGATTAAATAAAGAAATCAGATACACATAGTAGAACAGAATATACAAATATTTTAAATAGATATATAATGTTACAGCCTGGCAGTTAAGGGTCGGTTAATAATCATTGGATATATTTCTGGCTATGAAAGTGAAAAGGGTTTTAAACCTTCAAGATTATCTACTCTTCCACAAAAGGTAAGTGAAATGCAGAGGAGAGAGGATGAAATTGCATTCAATTGTTTAAGCTATGTTCAGTTTAATTTCGCAGGGTCTGAAATCCAAAAGTCAGTAATCCTTCATGGTTTTGTTTTATAGTGATATTTTTTTTTTCTCTTTTTTATACCGTGCACTCTGTACCATAAAGTCCGTCATTGAGGGGGGGATGAATGGTTAGCATGTGCGCGCTGTATCATAAAGCCTGCCATTGATTCAACTGGCGTGGTTTTCAATCCCCGGTTGTACGTGACAAGGAGTAGGGTCGCCTGTCCAACCTCGTGGGTTTTCTCCGGGTCCTCAGGTTTCCTCCCACTGCTAAAGACCCCTACGCGCAAGCGAATTATTGAAATAAAATTAAACCATATGTTAGCCCTGAAATGACCTAGTTTGTGTCAAGTGGACGTCAAACCCCATTTCTTTCTCTCTCTCTGTCATTGAGTAGGGTCGCCTGTCCAAGCTCGTGGGTTTTCTCCGGGTCCCTCCGGTTTACTCCCACTGCTAAAGACCCCTTTGCGCATGCGAATTATGGAAATAAAACTGAACCATATGTTAGTCTCGAAATGACCTAGTTTGTGCCGAGTGGACGTTAAACCCCATTTCTCTCTCTCTTTTTTATACGAATCTTGTTGTCGCCTCCGCCCGTCTTGTCGGTCGGTCTGGCATCCACAATTGCTTGTGGACGCTCTAGAGGCTAAAGTTAATAATCGATTTATACACAATGTTTAAGGTCATGAGACAAAGAAGCCAATTGATATTCACCGATTTCCGATAATTACTGCCAGTTTTATGGCCCTTGATTACTTTGAAAAATATTGTTGATGCTCTTGAGACCAAAGTTATCATCCAAGTGATTTTAAATTTATACACAGTGATCATTTGATTGACTTTAGATTGATACACAAAGTTTAAGGTCTTGAAATGAACAAGTATATTGATTTTCAATGATTTTTATACGCCCACATTTTCATGTGGACGTATTATGCCGTCGCCCCTGTCCGTCCGTCCACAATTTGTTTGTGGACACTCTACAGGTCACAATTCTTATCCGATTTTGACGAAACTTGAAATATAGGTTTATCTCCAAAAGATCTCGGTTCCTTTCGATATTGGCATGTATTGGATTGAAACTTCATGGATTATGGCCCCTGTTTGTACGAAAAATCACGTTTTTAGCTTGTGGACACTATAGAGGTCACAATTTTTATCCGATTTTGTTGAAACTTGAAATGTAAGTTTATAACCCAAAGATCTCGGTTCCTTTCGATATTTGCGCATATCGGACCATAACTTCCTGAATTATGGCCCATGATTGTACCAAAAATCGCGTTTTTAGCTTGTGGACCCTATAGATTTTATTCGATTTAAAAAAACGTATTATTATATCACCGTTACACCCTAAGAACGGCTGAGTTCGAATTTCGTGAAAATCGGCCCAAAATTGACTGACAAAATGGCCGCCGTTCGTTATCAAATAGCGTAAAAATATGGTATATCAAGGTTGTGGACACTACAGAGGTCACAATTTTTATCCGATTTTGTTGAAACTTGAAATATAAGTTTATAACCCAAAGATCTCAGTTCCTTTCGCCATTCGCGCATATCGGACCGTAACTTCCTGAATTATGGCCCATGATTGTACCAAAAATCGCGTTTTTAGCTTGTGGACCCTATAGATTTTATTCGATTTAAAAAAACGTATTATTATATCACCGTTACACCCTAAAGATGGCTGAGTTCGAATTTCGTGAAAATCGGCCCAAAATTGACAGACAAAATGGCCGCCGTTCGTTCTCAAATAGCGTAAAAATATGGTATATCAAGGTTGTAGACCCTATAGAGGTCACAATTTTGATCCGATTTTGATGAAACTTGAAATATATATTTATAACCCAAAGATCTTGGTTCCTTTCGATATTCGCACATATTGGATCATAACTTCCTGAATTATGGCCCTTGATTGTACGAAAAGTCGCGTTTTTAGGATGTGATCCCTCTAGATGTCACAATTTTTATCCGATTTTAAAAAACGTTTGAATATATCACTGTTAAACCCTTTTGATGGTTGAGTCCGAATTTCGTACAAATCGGACCAAAACTGCCGGACAAAATGGCTGCCCCTCGTACGCAAATATTTTAAATATATGGTATATCAAGGTTTTGGACCCTCTAGAGAGTGAACACAATTTTGATCCGATTTTGAGGTAACTTGAAATACCTGTTTATAACCCAAAGATCTTGGTTCCTTTCAATATTCATGCATATCGGATTGTAACTTCCTGAATTATGGCCCTTGATTGTACGAAAAAATCACTTCTTTTTTTGAGCTTGTTCTCTGTCCATCTCTTGCAAAATGTGGGCGTATCTTGCATGGCAACCGCTTGTTGATAACTTTAACAGCTAAATCCATGTTATTAAATGTTTTGAATACTAAACGATAGCATGGGGCAGAACTAGAAGCCAAACAAATTTTAATGATTTCTGATCATTACTTAATGAGTTTAATCTTTGAGTTGTATAAATGTTTCATTACAGACAAAGGAAAAAAATATGCGACAACTCTTGTTGACTGCCTGGACGACTAAGCTGCTGTGGGCGTATGTTTTGTTATCTGGCAACCTATCTTTTTGTCTTTTTATTAGCTTTTACCAAAATCAGCCAGTGTTCGTGGATTTTTCGTTACGAATTTTGTAGTAGATTTTAAAGAATATATGACCAAATTAGTTCAACTTTTAATGGAAGGAAAAATAAAAAGCTTTGTTGATGTTGGAGAGACCTCTAAATTTGGACAATTTAAAAAATTGGAAGGTGTATCTAATGCTGTAGATGTGAGTAACAGTTTATATACCTGACAGAATAGTGCCAAAATATTTGGTGGTCTTCTTTAAGGAGGATGTTATGTATTACAGTGCAATAAAGGGAAAAGATTAAAGATACATTAGTTAAGAGTTCAATAAAGAGTTGGCCATTCTTGCTATAATAATTCAAAAATAGATGATGAAAAAAGAAAATAATGAAAATTTCAGTCAAATTACTTCATCCTCAGCGAAGTTATCATTGTTTGTAGTTTTGACAAGATGTGTGCACAGTGGTAACCAGGGCACTGGTATAATCCGGACTTAGCCTCGCTTTCCCATTTTTTATACGCCCACATTGAAATGTGGTCGTATATTGTTGTCGCCCCCGTCCGTCCGTAAGTCGGTCCGTCATCCACAATTGCTTGTGGACGCTCTAGAGGCCAAAGTTAATATCTGATTGACTTTAAATTTATACACAGTGTTTAAGGTCTTGAGACGAAGAAGCCTATTGATTTTCAACGATTTCCGATAATTACTGCCAGAATTATTTCCCTTGATCACTTCAAAAAATCTTGTGGACACTCTAAAGGCCAAAGTTAATATCGATTGACTTTAAATTTATACACAGTGTTTAATGTCATGAGACGAAGAATCCTATTGATTTTCAGCGATTTCCGATAATTACTGTCAGAGTTATGGCCCTTGATCACTTTGAAAAATCTTGTGGACGCTCTATAGGCCAAAGTTAATATCCGATTGACTTTAAATTTATACACAGTGTTTAAGGTCATGAGACGAAAAATCCTATTGATTTTCAACGATTTCCGATAATTACTGCCAGAATTATTTCCCTTGATCACTTCAAAAAATCTTGTGGACACTCTAAAGGCCAAAGTTAATACCGATTGACTTTAAATTTATACACAGCGATTTCCGATAATTATTGCCAGAGTTATGGCCTTTTATCACTTTGAAAAATCTTGTGGACGCTCTAGAGGCCAAAGTTAATATCCGATTGACCTAAAATTTATACACAGTGTTTAAGGTCATGAGACGAAGAAGCCTATTGATTTTCAGAGATTTCCGATTATTACTGCCAGAGTTATGGCCCTTGATCACTTTGAAAAAACTTGTGGACGCTCTAGAGGCCTAAGTTAATATCTGATTGACTTTAAATTTATACACAGTGTTTAATGTCATGAGACGAAGAATCCTATTGATTTTCAGCGATTTCCGATAATTACTGTCAGAGTTATGGCCCTTGATCACTTTGAAAAATCTTGTGGACGCTCTATAGGCCAAAGTTAATATCCGATTGACTTTAAATTTATACACAGTGTTTAAGGTCATGAGACGAAAAATCCTATTGATTTTCAACGATTTCCGATAATTACTGCCAGAATTATTTCCCTTGATCACTTCAAAAAATCTTGTGGACACTCTAAAGGCCAAAGTTAATACCGATTGACTTTAAATTTATACACAGTGTTTAAGGTCATGAGACAAAGAATCCTATTGATTTTCAGCGATTTCCGATAATTACTGTCAGAGTTATTTCCCTTGATCCCTTCAAAAATCTTGTGGACGCTCTATAGGCCAAAGTTAATATCCGATTGACTTTAAATTTATACACAGTGTTTAAGGTCATGAGACGAAAAATCCTATTGATTTTCAACGATTTCCGATAATTACTGCCAGAATTATTTCCCTTGATCACTTCAAAAAATCTTGTGGACACTCTAAAGGCCAAAGTTAATACCGATTGACTTTAAATTTATACACAGTGTTTAAGGTCATGAGACAAAGAATCCTATTGATTTTCAATGATTTCCGATAATTACTGCCAGAGTTATTTCCCTTGATCCCTTCAAAAATCTTGTGGATGCTCTAAAGACCAAAGTTAATATCCAATTGACTTTAAATTTTTACACAGTGTTTAAGGTCATGAGACAAAAAATCCTATTGATTTTCAATGATTTCTGATAATTACTGCCAAAGTTATGGCCCTTGATCACTTTGTGACGCTCTAAAGGCTAAAGTTATCATCCGATTGACTTCAGATTGATACACAGAGTTTAAGATCTTGAGACGAACAAGTATATTGATTTTCAATGAATTTTTATGTCTTGAACAGCTAAATCCATGATATTAAAAGTTTTGTATACAAAACGTTAGCATGGGGCAGAACTTTATAAAAACAAACAAATTCTAATGGTTTTCTGATAATTACTTCATGAGTTGTTGCTCTTAATCAGATTTTAGTGTATTATAAATGTTTCATTACCGAAAAAAGTAAAGATATGCAACAACTCTTGTTGACTGCCCGGATGATTTAGCTGTTGTGGGCGTATGTTTCGTTGCCTGACAACCTATCTTAAATTAAATTTGTAAATGGCGAACCGTTTTAATCCGATGCCATCGAGAGTCGATGTGCATGTGCAATAAATACTATCGGTGTAGACTGGAATAACCAGATGCTAGAAGTTGCCATTCAATAGAGACTTCTGGCGTATTTCGCCGAACATAATTGATTTGAAATTAGAGTAGAAACGGAAATGATTGAATGTAAATCAGTTCATATACATTCATATTACATTATATGCTTTGCAACCCAATTGTGTCAATTATTAGTCCCAAATATTAGCGATTTAGCTCCTTAAAGTTTCATCAAACTCAGATAAAAATTGTGACCTCTAGAGGGTCCACAATCTTCGTATTACATACTTTTACACAATTTGCGTACAAAGAGCAGCCATTTTGTTTGACAATTTCAGTCCGATTTTCCCGAAATTTGAAGTCAACCTTCATTATGGTGGAATGGTGATATATTTAAACGTTTTTTTAAAATTGGATAAAAATTGTGACCTATTAGAGAATCCAAAAGCTAAAAAACACAAATTTTTGGACAATCAAGGGCCATAATCCAGGAAGTTACAGCAAATATCTAAAGGAACCAAGATCTTTGGGTTATAAACATATACATTTCAAGTTTCATTAAAATCAGATAAAATTGTGACTTCTAGAGGGTCCACAAACTTAGAATTACATATACTATTTAAGTGTACAAGGATCAGCATTATGGGGGGTTGTCAACGATATCACCTATGGTGGAAATGGATGTAAAATTTTAGGAACGAATGAAAAGCATTGAGGTGTAATCGTGAAATATTTGAATGCTTCTTTAAATCGAATAAAAATTGGGACCGCAGTGGGACCACAAGCTAATAATGCGATTTTTATACGCCCACATTTTCAAGTGGACGTATTATGCCGTCGATCCTGTCTGTCTGTCTGTCCACAATTTTTATCTGATTTTGACGAAACTTGAAAGATTTTGGTTCCTTTCGATATTTTCATGTGGACGTATTATGCCGTCACTCCTGTCTGTCCGTCCACAATTTTTATCTGATTTTGACGAAACTTGAAAGATCTTGGTTCCTTTCGATATTGGCCTGTATCGGACCATAACTTCATCGATTATGGCCCCTGATTGTACGAAAGACCACGATTTTAGCTTGAGGACACTCTATAGAGGTCACAATTTTCATCTGATTTTGATGAAACTTAAAATGTATGTTTATATCCCAAAGATCTTGGTTCCTTTCGATATTTGCACATATCGGATCTTAACTTATTGAATTATGGTCCCTGATTGTACGACAAATCATGTTTTTAGCTTGTGGTCCCTCTAGAGGTCGCAATTATTATCCGATTTAAGAAAAAACGCTGGAATATATATATATATATCACCATTACACCGTAATGTCGGTTTAGTTTGAATTTTGTGACAATCTGACCAAAACTGCCAGACAAAATGGCTGCCCCTCTTATGCAAATAGTGTAAACATAATAATGGTATATCAAAGTTGTGGGACCTGTAGAGGTCACAATTTTGATCTGATTTTGATGAAACATGAAATGCTTGTTTATAACCCAACGATCTTGGTTCCTGTCAATATTCGCACATATCGGATTGTAACTTCCGGAATAATGGCCCTTGATTGTACGAAAAATCATGTTTTTAGATTGTGGTCCCTTTAGAGGGCACAATTATTAACCAATTTAAAAAATTGTTTGAATATATCACCGTTACACTCTAGTGATGACTGAGTTCGAATTTTGTTAAAATCAAACCAAAACTGCCAGACAAAATGGCCGCCCTTTGTGCGCAAATAGTGTAAATATATGGTATATCAAGGCTGTGGACACAGTTTTGATACGATTTTGATGAAACTTGATATACATGTTTATAACCCAAAGATCTTGGTTCCTGTCGATATTCACGGATATTGGATCGTAACTTGAATTATGGCCCTTGATTGTACAAAAAATTGCATTTTTAGCTTGTGGTCCCTCTGGAGGTAACAATTTTTATCCGATTTAAAAAAACGTTTGAATATATCACAGTTACACCTTAATGATGGTTCAGTACAAATATATATACTCTAGTGATGGCTGAGTTTGAATTTCGTGAAAATCACACCAAAACTGCCAGATAAAATGTCTGCCCTTATTCGCACACAAATAGTGTAAATATATGGTATATCAAGGTTGTGGACCCTCTAGAGGACACAGTTTTGATGAAACTTGAAATACATGTTGATAACCCAAAGATCTTGGTTCCTGTCGATATTCATGGATATCGGATCGCAACTTCGTGAATTATGGCCCTTGATTGTACAAATAATCACATTTTTAGCTTGTGGTCCCTCTAGTGGTAACAAATTTTATCCGATTTAAAAAATGTTTGAATATATCACAGTTACACCCTAATGATGGTTGGGTTTGAATATATCACCGTTACACTCTAGTGATAGCTGAGTTCGAATTTGTGAATATCGCACCAAAACTGCCGGACAAAATGGCCGCCCCTCATATGCAATTAGTGTAAATATATGGTATATCATGGTTGTTGATCCTCTAGAGGCCACAATTTTGATCCGATTTTGATGAATCTGTGTCCTCTACAGTTTCCACAAGCTAAAAACGTGATTTTTTGTACAATCAGGGGTCATAATCCATGAAATTATGGTCCGATACATGCCAATATCGAAAGGAACTGAGATCTTTGGGAAATAGACCTATATTTCAAGTTTTGACAAAACTGGATAAAAACTGTGACCTATAGAGCGTCCACAAACAAAAAGTGGACAGACAGTGGCGACAGGTATAATACATCAGCATGAAAATGTGGGGGTATAAAAACATTTTTACCTGTTAATTTTATCTGTTTCAGTATCTTTACAGTGGACAGAGTAAAGGAAAAGTTATAGTAGAAATAGATGATTCATTTAACAGCAGGTTGTAATATAACAGTGGCCTACAGCTTTAATATTATTATGTGTTGATATTGTATATTATAACATATATAAAGCTCAATGATATATGTTTTATCATCTTTCATTTATATAAAAAAAAGATTGTACTAAAAAATATATACAAAATTTGTATAATAAATATTATTAAAATAGTTGTACCAAAAAATTTAAGGAACTTTGTATCATAAATATAGAGAATATATTTTTAATATAAAAACCCCAAAAACAACAGTCATTTACTGATTTATATCTTTTAAAATTGGATAATTCATTCAGAAAAGAATATTCAATAGTTATTCCCTTGTGGCATAATTTCAACATCCAGCATGAAACATAAATTATTGTATTACATACATACTTACCCTCCCACAATTACTCATTGGAAAAGAGACATTCAGTCTACCTTTCTCATTACTAATCATTAACTTGTTGAAAATAATGATTGATCAAGTAACATGTATTCCTAAATTTTCTGAGCAGGTCAGCCAGACTGCCTGTGTAGGCATGCCAGGAACACCTCCTTTGGGGCCCAAGTAGGTGGCCTCATAACTTAACCTTGTGCGTATACAAAGGGTATTTCGGGACTCCACCACCATATCCTTAACGTTTGTGAGAAACTGGTTCATAATTGTCTAGCGAGAATTTTATACATTGTCAGCTACTTAATGTCGAGTATAATGCTGCAAATAGAACGGGAGAGAGAGAGAAATGGGGTTTAACGTCCACTCGACACAAACTAGGGCATTTCGGGACTAACATATGGTTTAATTTTATTTCAATAATTCGCTTGCGCGTAGGGGTCTTTTAGCAGTGGGAGGAAACCGGAGGACCCGGAGAAAACCCACGAGGTTGGACAGGCGACCCTACTCCTTGTCACGTACAACCGTGCAAATAGAACGGAAGTGAGGCAGTGGCAACATTCATCATTTGACATGTATGAAATTTATATGCATTATTTGAATTCGTAAAACGAAAAAGCCTGTCGAATTTCAAAAATTTGTGTAGATTACTTCCAAAGTTACGGCCCTTGTTTTAGTTTTTAGAACCTTGTCAACCCTCAAACTACGAAAATTATAATGTCATCTGTATGAAATTTCCATTAATTACATCTAGAGTTATGGGCTATGGCCCTTGTTTAACTTTGTTGAATCTTGTGAACGCTTGAACGACAAATAAGTTATGACTCAATCTATATGAAATTCATATGCATCATTTAAATTAGTGAAATGAAGAAGTCTATTGAATGTCAGCAATTTCTGTCAATTACTTCTAGAGTTATGGCCCTTGTTTTACTTTCTTGAACCTTGTGAACGTTCGAACGACAAAAGTTATCATCCGATATGTATGAAATTTATATGCATTATTTGAATTCGTAAAACGAAAAAGCCTGTCGAATTTCAAAAATTTGTGTAGATTACTTCCAAAGTTACGGCCCTTGTTTTAGTTTTTAGAACCTTGTCAACCCTCAAACTACGAAAATTATAATGTCATCTGTATGAAATTGTCTATTAAATTCCCCTAATTACCTACAAAAGAATAAATATGCGACAACCCTTGTCTACTGACAATTTAGCTGGTGGGCGTATGTTTTGTTGCCTGGCAACGTATCTTTGTTTATAAGTACACTTCTATTCCATAAGCATTTTTGTGTGCACGAAAATACAATTTTTATACGCCAACATGGAAATGTGGTCGTATATTGCCGTCGCCCCCGTTCGTCCGTCTGTCGGTCCTTCTGTCGGTCCGTCCATCGTCCACAATTTCTTGTGAACATTCTATAGACTACATTTATCATCTGATTGTTTTGAAATTGATATATGTTGTTTGCATTAGTGAGATGAAGAAGCCTATTTAACGCTCTAACGACAAAAGTTATCAACCGATCTGTATGAAATGTATATGCATCATTTAAATTAGTAAAACAAAGAAGCCTATTGAATTTCAGCAATTTCCGTTAATTACCTCTAGAGTTATGGCCCTTGTTTCACTTTGTTAAATGTTCTGAAGGCTCTAATGACAACAGTTATCATCCGATCTGTTTGAAATTGATATGCATCATTTAAATTAGTGAAATGAAGAAGCCTATTGAATTTGAGCAATTTCCGTTAATTACATCTCGAGATATAGCCCTTGTTTCACTTTGTTGCTTCTTGTGAACGCTCTAACAACAAAAGTTATCAACCGATCTGTATGAAATTTATATGCATCATTTAAATTAGTAAAACAAAGAAGCCTATTGTATTTCAGCAATTTCCGTTAATTACATCTAGAGTTATGGCCCTTGTTTCACTTTGTTGAATCTTTTGAACGCTCTAATGACAACTTCCGTTAATTTCGTCTGGAGTTATGGCCCTTGTTTCACTTTGTTGCACCTTGTGAACACTCTAACGACAAAAGTTATCAACCGATCTGTATGAAATGTATATGCATCATTTAAATTAGTAAAACAAAGAAGCCTATTGAATTTGAGCAATTTCCGTTAATTACCTCTAGAGTTATGGCCGTTGTTTCACTTTGTTGAATGTTGTGAACGCTCTAATGACAACAGTTATCATCCGATCTGTTTGAAATTGATATGCATCATTTCAATTAGTGAAATAAAGAAGCCTATTGAATTTGAGCAATTTCCGTTAATTACGCCGTGAGTTATGGCCCTTGTTTCACTTTGTTGTACCTTGTTTATGCTCTAACGACAAAAGTTATTATCCGATCTGTATGAAATTTATATGCATCATTTAGATTAGTAAAACAAAGAAGCTTATTAAATTTCAGCAATTTCCGTAATTACGTCTAGAGTTATGGCCCTTGTTTCACTTTGTTGAATCTTTTGAACGCTCTAATGACAACATTCATCATCCGATCTGTTTGAAATTGATATGCATCATTTAAATTAGTTTAAGGAAGATGCCTATTGAATTTCAACAATTTCCGTTAATTGCACCAAGAGTAGTGGCCCTTTTTTCACTTTGTTGTACCTTGTGAATGCTTTAATGACAAAAGTTAATATCCGATCTGTATGAAATTTATAGGTATCGTTTAAATTAGTAAATCGAACAAGCCTATTGAGTTTCAGCAAATTTCCATTAATTACATCTAGAGTTATGGCCCTTGTTGCACATTGTTGAATGTTGTCAGCAATTTCTGTCAATTACTTCTAGAGTTATGGCCCTTGTTTTACATTGTTGAACCTTGTGAACGTTCGAACGACAAAAGTTATCATCCGATCTGTATGAAATTAATATGTATTATTTGAATTAGTAAAACGAAAAAGTCTGTCGAATTTCAACAATTTCTGTAGATTACTTCCAGAGTTACCGCCCTTGTTTTAGTTTTTAGAACCTTGTGAACCCTCAAACGACGAAAATTATAATGTCATCTGTATGAAATTGTCTATTAAATGCCCCCTAATTAAAAACAAAAGAACAAATATACGACAACTCGATTGTCGACCGCTCGGATGATTTAGCTGCTGTGGGCGTATGTTTAGTTGCCTGGCAACCTATCTTTTAATTAAAAATCCGACCGACGTTTGGGCCAATTTTTTTAGGCCAAAAAACCTTAAACACTGTTTTTGGTTTTTTTTTTAGTCTTCCTAATAAAATTTATCTTATCTATATTAGGGCCTACGAAATATCAGATGATTGCCAAGTACATTATTACACATGCTTATTTAACAATTTATTTAAATTCCTCCATTTATAATTAATTAACTGATTTTATCATCATTATCGGTAAATCAATACTATTTTACGGCAATAGTGAGAAACACGTGGATGTACAGGCGTGCAGGATTCCAAATATGGTAACACAAATATCTTGTAGAAGATGCTGGAAGCAGACGAAATATGATCGGCTTAAAGGGGGATAATTCTTTAAATTGAGAATATTGACCTAGTTTATTTATCCAGTAACTTTGTTGTAGAAAGGACATAGGGAAGTTGTCTTGGATAACCCCGACTATTCTACATAGAGAAGTCGAAGGTCTTTGCAGACAAATTCCACTGGTAAGTGAAGAACAATTCAGTTTTCTTTCCTTGTAAATACTCGCTATGTCTTTTAAAAGTTATTCAATAATATAAAGCCATTGCCTGTATTATAAGCTTGATGATATAAAACGTATTTAAATAGTTATTTTATTGCATAGCATAGATTATGTAATATAAAACACAATCTGTGTGATATTACAATATTAATAGTTAAATACTTTATAGTTCACGGGTTGTTATTGAAGATAGTGACAATCTTAGGATAATATTTCACCAACGCAACGAACACAATGTCGAAGAGGTGATAAATTATAGTGAAATCTTTTTATTAAAATAAAGGATATCATGTGGATGGTATAGGTTCAATAATTATTGATAATTCAGGAGTTATTATTGAAGACAATGTCGATAATTAGGATACATGTTAAAATTGGGGATATATATGTGAAATACATATTAAAAAAGGATGGATGTTGCCCATTGTAATCAGCATTACTACTTTCCAATCTATTCTTAATTTTCTCGTATGGTATACAGACATGTATGTCAAATGGTAAAATTTTGTGCTCGTATTTTCATTGATAGTCTGAACCAGATAGCTAACAAAAATGAAAATCTTTTGAATATTACAAATGTAAATAGAGTGAAATAAATTTGTATTTAGGTTGAAATAAGGTATTAAATTTAGCTTATGATCAGGACCTGTATTCAGTTTACATGTACTTGAAAGTAATTAATCACATTAAGGTACATGTACAATTTCATCTTAAATCTAACATACTCTCTTAATCTTAACGTGACAGTATTTAATTTTAAAAAGTTAAAAGAGAAAATGTCATCAAAATTGAGAAGACTTACCTTTATATTTAAAGGAAATCTTTGAAATTAGTATTCAATTGATAACTTCAAAGTTGGTTCAATAGTCACCATGGTTAGCAATAACTCATGCTACACATCAGTAGTAATAACTGATATTTCCTCAGCATTTCAAAGACATAGACTATGTCATCCCACTCTCCACAATTCAAGAAATTCAATCAGAAATATTGATGTAGTAGCAGAGAATAATTGATTGTTTAGAACTTTTCTTTTTTTTTTTTTACTTTGCCTCACTCCATCCTCTCTCTAAACATCACAGAAAAGACAATTTGTCTAATTCAGTTTACAGATATTTAGTAAAAAAAACCAAAATTTTATTCTTGTTTTAAGTTAAATTATTTTTATTTTTAAATAAAAAAAAAAATTGTATCCTCCCATGGAAATCTATGAAGTACATTGCCGAATTCAAGTACACTGTATGGCTACACATAGCTGAAATGTTCACTGCTTTGGCACTCCATAACATGACAAAATATTTATCCTCCTGCTTTCTTTTTAGGTGTTATTTAGTTGGCAAACTTTGAAGTGAAATGGAAACTCCCGCAACTTCTCTAAATGGTGTGGAATCAAATCCATCAAAAACAGTTGAGGAAGAAAAGGTCTGCCCTGTTGTAGAAAGAATTAGTCTTCCAGAGGAAAAGGGAGAAAATGAAGAACCTGAAGAAAAAGAAGACATTAAGAAGGATGTGAGCAAACAACAAAATGAAATTGATGAAAGTGAGTTAGAATTTCCAAAAGTTGATGTGGTGGAGGCTGTCAAGGTCGCTATTCAACAATATGATAATGTTGATAATGTCAATGCAGTATTTTCAGCATGTAAAACTGATTTAGAAAGATTCAGAGTTTTATATTCCAACCCTGTCATTTACGATGCAGTTGAAATAAAAGAAGATTTCATAATTAAAGATTTAGAAATGGCTAAAAAACTTAGAACTGATGGCAATGAGAAGTTTAAAGCCAAACAAAATACTGCTGCTCTTGCACTTTATTCAAGAAGCATAATAATGGCTCCTCTTCCAAAAGACGACAATTCACCAGAACTCTCTTTAGCATTTGCAAACAGATCGGCAGTTTTGTATCATTTAGAAAAATACATTCTTTGTCTACAAGATATCAAAATGGCCCTGAAGTACCAATATCCAGAAAAGTTGAAATACAAATTATATGAAAGGAAAGGCAAATGTTACTACTATCTGAGACAAAAGGAAGAAGCCATTACAGCTTTCGAGGATAGCATGGAACATTTAGAAAATTCAGGATTCGATCAAAATAAAAGTGAAGCAATAGAAAATGACATTATCAAACAAGTAATGAAAGCTAGAAAAATAAAGAATTCTGTTCCCTTGACAAAAAAGGTTCAAGATTTTAACCACAGCCATGGTACAGTGCCCAGAATTTGTAATCCCAGTCATGAAATACCTTGTACATCTGACTCGTTAGTATTGAAATATTCTCCAGATCGCGGGCGAGGTATATACACAACAAAAGATGTTGAGGTCGGTGAACTTCTTATTTTTGAACAACCGTATGCCTCAGTTGTCTTGGAAAGTTATGATCTAAGTCATTGTTGTAACTGCTCTAATCGTGTTTTTGCTCCCATTCCTTGTGAGTACTGTAGTGGCATTATTTTCTGTAGTGAAGAGTGTCAGATTGAAGGTTGGAAGCTATACCATTTTGCAGAATGCAAAGTTCTTCAAACAATGCATAATACCGAATTGGGTCTTGGACATTTAGCTTTGAGAATGGTGCTGAAGGCAGGTTTACAGAACATACTTCAAAACAGCAAAAATTATCCAGAGAAAATCAAATCTGATGTGCTGAGAATGGGCTTTAACAAAGATGGCATTTACAGCTCAGATGATTATGATACTGTATATACCCTAGTGAAACACAGTGAGAAACGCTCTTTGGGTGACTTGTTTAAGAGAACAGTGATGGCCATTTTCTTGGTAAAGTGTCTTGAAAAAAGTCTGACAGCACAACCTCTTGCATCAAAATCTCATCTTCCTGAAAAGTGCATTATTGGCAGCCACATTCTGCGTCACATTCAAATGTTGCCATGTAATGCCCACGAGGTATCGGAATTAGATTATCGTCAATTTGACCTACCCAATTCACAAACTGTTGAAATTGGACCGGCTATTTATGCAACGCTCAGTTTGATTAATCATTCATGTGATCCAAATGTTGTGCGTCATTCATATGGGAATAATTGTGCTGTGCGTGCGATAAGAAATATTCCGAAAGGCACTGAAATATTTGATAATTATGGAGCGCTATCACCTCTGTGTTCGAAAAAGGACAGGCAAGAGAAGTTGATGTATCAGTATTATTTTAAATGTTCTTGCAAGGCATGCATAGAAAATTGGCCACTATACTTTAATATTCCCAGTGAAGTGCCTTTCTTCTATTGCGAAAAGTGTTCTGGTCCTTTGGTGGTACCCGAAGATGGCAAAACCCAACGCACCATGTGCGAAAAATGTAGATATGTACAGGATATGACACCGAAAATAGATGTTTTCATGCGGTCTGATGAAATCTTTACAAAAAAGTTAAAGGAAATAGTTAAGGGTGAAGTTACATCAGATGCTTTGGATGTTTTAACTGATCATTTACGAACCCTTGATAGACTGATTGTCAGACCATTTGCTGATTATAATGATTGTCAAGAGGCTATTAAACAATGTTTAAATCTTCAGGCCAATTGTAAGAAACGTGACATTTTTAATTGATTATGTGTTCCACCATATTTTCTAGTCAGAACTCAGAAAAAAAACTACTGTGGTCAATTATTTGGGTTTAGAGAGATTAACAATTAACAATGAATAATGACAAATATTCACGTTTTCATATAAATTACAGTGCACAATATCCCTCAACCTACTGTAATTGTAATGTATGTCAAAATTTTTTATAATAGTATTTATATTATTTATTCTTTTGAATTGTTGTCCCCCGCCTTTCGAAGAAAGCAGGGGACTATTAAAATGGGTTCGTCCGTCCGTCTGTCTGTCCGTCACACTTTTTGGGACACAATAACTCTCTTCCTAATTGAGCTAGAATGTTCAAACTTGGTGTATGTGTTTATTAGGTCAATGCCTTGATGGAGTTCGAAGATGAGCATTTTCCGCTTAGGGTAAGCAGAGATAAGCAATTTGATTGGTTGATGCTTTGGGACACGATAACTCTCTTCCTAATTGGGCTAGAATGTTCAAACTTGGTGTATGTGTTGATTAGGTCAATGCCTTGATGGAGTTCGAAGATGAGCATTTTCCGCTTAGGGTAAGCAGAGATAAGCAATTTGATTGGTTGATGCTTTGGGACACGATAACTTTTAATTGAGCTAGAATGTTCAAACTTGGTGTATGTGTTTATTAGGTCAATGCCTTGATGGAGTTCGAAGATGAGCATTTTCCGCTTAGGGTAAGCAGAGATAAGCAATTTGATTGGTTGATACTTTGGGGCACGATAACTCTCTTCCTAATTGAGCTAGAATGTTCAAACTTGGTGTATGTGTTGATTAGGTCAATGCCTTGATGGAGTTCGAAGATGAGCATTTTCCGCTTAGGGTAAGCAGAGATAAGCAATTTGATTGGTTGATGCTTTGGGAAACGATAACTTTAGTTCTAATTAAGTGAGATTGATGAAACTTGGTGTATAGATTTATTATATGAATACCTTAACTAAGTTCGATAATGAACATTTTTTGCTGAGGGTAAGCAGAGTGATAAGCAATTTGATTGGTAGAAACTTTGGAACACAATAACTCTCCTTCTAATTGAGGTAGAATGTTCAAACTTGGCATAGGTGTCTATTAGGTGAATGTTTAAACTTGATGTATATGTAGATGTTCATTAGGTGAATGTCTTGACTGAGTTCAATAATTAACATTTCGAGCTGAAGCTAAGCAGAGCTAATCGATTTCATTTGTCGATGGTTTGGGACAAGATAATCTTGATTCTATCTGATAGAGAGTGATGAAACTTAGTGAAAAAAATAAATGTGCGATTAATTAATATGTGTCATCTATTTATTTTGCAATTTCGGCGGGGGACATCAGCCTCACTGTTGGCTTGTGTAATTTACTTCTGGTTTACCATTTTACAAAGGAATTGGGTCACTTTTTTTTTGGATTAAAACAACTAAAACATCTGGTGTACAAAGATCCAAAATATGAATCTGAAAAACTAAGAAGGGTGTGTCAAAGGTCATTGGCATTTAGTAATGAGCTAGAATTACCCAGGGCACATGGTTGTGTCTTCTAAGCTCAAAGAAAGCATGCCACATGCTTTCATCTGTGAGAGGAATGGTGCTGTTTATATTTATCTCACAAATTGTCCAGATGCCCAGTCATCCTTCAAAATGTATTCTATGACTAACTGTTCACTTAAAATTACTACCTTTGATGCAGATTATTGACATTCTATTCTTTCATCTATTAAAATGCATAATCTGAAGTGCAAATCATTTTAATAACTTTAATAGGACATGAAGGAGGACCACACAGTATGCAAACAAATCCAATAAGACAAACCTACATACATTGCAAGGAATAAACAATAACATTACAATTTAAAGCACTGGCGTGAGGTTATTAAGGATCTGCAAGGGTTGAATTACTCCTTCAACTTGTCATTGGCTCGGCATCTGACACACTTCTAGGTTGACAAACTAGCTGCAAACCAGAATATCTGCCTATATTTGAACTTTACACACAGGATATTTCGCTCACTATCGTGTTTATTATTTCGCAACACTGACCAACTATTAAAAAAGTTTACAGCCCACTGATTTCCGCTCAAAGTATTTATGGGCACAGCATTGTTGGCACATCCACCGACGTTTTGTCACTCGAAATTGAAAAGCGTTATCATTTGTATCTTCCTCACAATCCGAAATATCCCAGTACATTAAATCCTTGTTAAACATTTTCTGCATAAATTCTGAACTTTGACTAGCTTTAATTAATTCTTTGTCAGAATCTTTTTCAACCGTATTTTCTACAAACTGACATGCTCGGATCAGTTCGTCGTTTGTCTTATCAACATTGCACATGCCAGTTTGTGAACACATGATTACTGAATATGCATTTCCAACTTACTTGTTTTCTTAAATTTGTCCTATGATAGATTTAACATTGATGTCGGTATGTAAAACAAATATTACCCTAATACCCTCGGTCGATATGTGAAATAACTTCCGGTCTTCAGATTGGTTATTTCACATTTCAAACCGCGATTTGGGTAATATTTATCTCATGTCTGCACACCAGGATATTTGTCTATTTTTGAACCATGTCTGTACACCAGGTTATTTGCCTGTATTTGCACCATGTCTAGTAATAATTATGTTATGGATAGATATTTTGTACCTAAATTTAATTTGTAAATGTAATATGTAAAAAAGTGTGTAGTCCTTAAAATTTGAGATGCGTTGAAACCTTCAAATGTGTGATGCTTTCTTTAGATTTGTTTTGTGTACAATTCTATTTTGTATAAAATTACTAACTGTTAAAAAGTTATAAACGATTTTCTTCCGTTATTTTTGTCCACAGCCCTTTGAAGAAACCAGGGGACTATAAATAATGGGTTTGTCTGTCACACTTTAGGAGATACAATAAATCAGTTGAAGGTAGAATGTTCATTAGGTGAAGCTCAATTATGACCATTTCCCTCAAATTCCCTGCGCAGGCTAACCAGTAAACCAGATATAAGCGGTTTCTTTTGTTATACTCTAATCGGGGAATGGCACCTAGCCTGGGTGAATATGTATTGAATTGGCACCTAGCAAATATCCACATAAGTTTTACAACTGGATATAAGTGCTCAAGCCCTAGTGATTTCATTTGAAAGCACTAATTTTGTTTCGGCGGACACTTGAATTCCAGACCACTTATTTACTGTGGAAAAGGAAGGGACATCATCACCTCCCTGGCAATAATGTGCTCAATCTTCTCACGAGAGATGCCCACAACACTTCTAATTTGTCAAGTCATCACCATGTCATGCACCCAGGTAATGTATTCTTTAATGGTTGCTGTTTATGGCCTTACAGGACGTGGGTCATAGTCAAGACTATCTCTGCCACACTATACTTCTATAGGAAATGGAAGGGACATCATCCCTTAAAGTCGAGACCATGTCGGCAAGTATCCGTTTTGGGGTTAGACCTTTCAGCTGCAGGTACTTGATGGCTGCATTATAGCCAGTTTGTCAATTTCTGGTGATTTCAATGGGAAGGTTCACAAGATGGTTTGGTACGAAGACAGTAATAACACTACAGTTGCAGTTCTTATGTCTATGATTCATTCAACGATTGTACTTGTTGGTAGCAAAAGTTTGTTTCAACCAATCGATTTATCCTTTTCATACTTAGAACTTTTCAGCCAGCACTTGTATGTATGCTTTTCATGAAAACATAGCACTTATTCAAAAGTTTCAGAGTAGTCCGCCACAACCTCAGCTGGGGTGGCGACACAGAGGTTGGGAACCCAGGGTTTAAGAGAAGAAAGAGAAATGGGATTGTTAAATCCCCTCTCCACAAACTAGGTCATTTCGGGACTAAGATTTGGTTCAATTTAATTTCAATAACTTGCATGAGTGTAGGGGTCTTTAGCAATGGGAGGAAACCAGAGGACCTGGAAAAAATCGATGATGTTGGAGAGGCATTCCTACTACTTTTCATGTACAGGCAGAGAATCAAATACATGCCACTTAATTCAATGACAGAACATATGATCCAAAACACTTGTGTTAAACCATTTGCCCACCACTCCACCTCATTTGTTTTAAGAACAGAAATAAAATTACGAGGATGCATTGGATATTTTTCAAATTAAAAATATTTCATTTAAAACTTTATTAAGTATGAGAAATGACCAATTTACATAAAATATACCAATTTTATATGTATATATGATAAAATGAAATTAAATTTTGCATACTGATTGATTATTTTCAGTTCTATATATACAAAAATTCTGATATAAAGGAATACTCTATATCAATAGAGAAAGCTAAAAGACTTATTTTATTTTAATTAAAAAGCTTTATATAATCTGGCTTTCTGCTCTTTTTCACCTTTTGATCTTCCAGGTTTTCAATTTTTAGACACTGATCTAGATCTGCAAAAAAAAAAAAATGATTTTTTTAAATTAAAACTTTTGGTGGCAATTGTCACCTTTATTACAATACAATAATCAATACCAATAAGTTGAGAGATATAAATACATGAAGTAGAACTTAGAAGGGCTTTTCCACCCTTTTTTTGAAGCACTTGACCAAAACAGTATCACATTATAAAATCTGTCTTTTCATGTCATTAATTTGCCGATACACAAAAGGAGAAGATAATAAATGTAGTGTTCACAAGGAATATGGCTGAGTTTACAAAACGAAATCTGAATTGTACTTAAGAATTAAAAGTAGTTTTCTGCTGTATTTGCATTAAATGGTGTTAATTTGAATTTTGAATAATTTCTCCAATAAACAGGAAAGTGATAAAATGATGAAAAATCAGCAGTTGCCAGGCAAGATACGCCCACATTTTGATAGAGATGAAAAAACCTCCCAAAAAACCACGATTTTTCGTACAATCAGGGGCCATAATCCAAGAAGTTATGGTCTGATGCACTAATATTGAAAGCAATCTGATCAAAGTATACATCTATGTTTCGTTTCGTTTTTTTTTTTATACTTTCGATGACCCAGATCTGAATGGTTGTCGTGGAAGTTCGCCTCAGGTTGTACAAGCAGCTTTTGACCCTATGACGTCAGATATTGATTAATCAATCGGCGTTAGACGTTTCTAGTGGTTTACCCACAGATCCGTGCACATATAGTTTCATTGGCTAATCCCTCACGCCATCCAAAACGCAGGTTATATAACAACTCTTCAAGATCCTAGTGTAGTACAGACAAATAAACCGAAATTTTGAACTATAAATAAACGAAACGAAATAATATCTGGGTTTTAATCAGATTGAATCAAAAGAGACCGAGATCTTTGGAATATAAAGATATATTTTAATTCTTATCAAAATCAGAGAGAGAGAAATGGGTTTTAAAGTCCACTCGACACAAACTAGGTGATTTCGGGACAAACATATGGTTTTAATTTTATTTCAAAAATTTGCTTGCGCATAGGGGTCTTTAGCAGTGGGAGGAAACCAGAGGACCCTGAGAAAACCCACGAGGTTGGACAGGCGACCCTACTCCTTTTATCAAAATCAGACAAACATTGTGACCTGACTTCTAGAGATCATCCTTGTACACAATTTGTTGATGCAATTTTGTTTCAATTTAAACGGTTTTAAAATCTGATAAAAATTGTGTCCTCTAGAGCTAGTAGAGGATCAACAAGCTAAAAAATTGATTATTCGTACGATCAGGGGCCATAATCCAGGAAGTTATGGTCTGTTATGTGCAAATATCCAAAGGAACTGAGATCTCTGAGATATAATCATATATTTTAAGTTTCATCAAAATCGTACAAAAATTGTGACCTCTAGCAGGTCCACAATCTTAGTATTACATACTTTTACACAATTTGCGTTCAAGAGAGCGGCCTTTTTGGCGGGCAGTTATGGTCCGATTATTACGAAATTCGACCACAATCACCGTCCAGGTGTAACGATGATGTTGATGATATACTTAACCGATTCTAAAAATTGTGACCTGTCGAGGGTCAACAAGCCAAATGAAAATTGTGATTTTTTCGTACAATCTGGGGCCATAATCCAGGAAGTTACAGTCCATATGTGCTAATATCAAAAAGAACCAAGATCTTTGGGATATAAACATATGTTTTAAGTTTCATCAAAACTGGATAAGAATTGTAACCTCTAGATGGTCCACAACCTTGATATTACATACTTTAACACTATTTGTGTGCATGGAGCGGTCATTTTGTCCGGCAGTTTCGGTCAGATTTTCACGAAATTCAAACTCAGCCATCATACTGGCGTATCGGTGATATATTTAAAGGTTAATTTAAATCGGATAAAAATTGTGACCTCTAGAGGGACCACAAGCTAAAAATGTGATTTTTCGTTCAATTAGGGGCCATAATCCAGGACGTTTCTGTCTGTCTGATATGCGCGAATATCGAAAGGAACCAAGATCGTTGGATTATAATATATATTTCAAGTTTCATCAAACTCGGATTAAAATTGTAATCTCTAAGAATGTCCACAAGCTAAAAACGTGATCTTTCATACAATCAAGTTTCGTCAAAATCCGATAAAAATTGTGACCTGTAGAGTGTTCACAAACAAATTGTGGACTGACAGACAGGGGCGATGACAATATACATCCACATAAAAATGTGTGCATATAAATATAAACATTACCTGCTTCTACTTCTGCTAGCACTAGGAGTTCTTGAGCGACGACTGTATTTTCGTCTGTCATTACTTCGGCTTCGGCTTCGACTTCTAGACCTACTTCGAGATCGGTTTCTGTAAATGGTAAAAGAAATTCAGTTACAACATTCACAAAATAAATATAATTAACTGTCGACTCCTGTGTAAAATAAATTCATTTAATCTGTCTTCACTGATATCAATACAGTAAAATGGTGTTCTAATCAAAAGAATAATATTAATTACTGTAATTTAATTTGGTATAAGAATAATATTGGCACCGAGTTTTAGATTACAGGTTTTAGATTACAGAGGCTTACTTTAACTTATTTGTACAATGTAGCGGACAGACACAACAAACTACTGTATGAGGTCTACTTCTGATTTATTTGTACAATGTAGCAGACAGACAAAACTAACTACTGTATGTAATATTTAAAGGGACATTTTGTGGAAAAATTGTACAACCATTTAATCTTTGGATACAGTACTTACACTCATAAAGGAATTTTGAAATAGTATACCGGTAGCTTGATTTAACTTTTTTTTGCAAATCGAAATCAGTTTTGGGTTTGTAGAATTAAGCTTATATTTTAAATAAACAAATGAAAAAAATTTCATGGAGAACAATCCCAAAGTAATGTACGCATAGAAAAAAATGTAAATAGGGTTGTTCAAAAAGTCATATTCTTGTAAAACAAAATGTACATGAACCAAAGTTTATTTTCCTATCTAAATGAACTAGACAATATTCCTCCCAATTATTTCCTTATTCAACACCAATCTCCACATATTCCTTAAATTTTGTTGGAACACTCTAGCAATTTATTGGCAAAAACTGGTATATTTAACAGCAGATATGCAGATAAAAAGAAAAATACTGAAATTACAATTTAATTGGATTTGTACTTCACCAAGTTTATTAGCTACATATAATACACTAACATGATCTACATATCCAGATAGATCTCAAGCATTACTCATTGTTAGCTTATTTCTGTAAGCTTATTCTCTACTTGCCAAGATATAAACGAACCCTTGATTAATTCTGTAATCGAGAAATACCAATGAATGCATCAGAGGAAAAGATCTACCTATCCTCCTAAATCGGCTTACCAATATTCACATTAAATTAGAATTAGAAATTCTAACAATTTAAGCTCATACTTATAATAATATCGTTGAATAATGACCATTGTTTATTTCTCAGCAATGTCACTTAGTGTAAACAAACGTTATTTTGGTTGCCAACTAATTTAAGAAATAGAGCTTTCAAACATTTTATTTGAAAATTGTGGAATTCAGTTGGTTATAAGATGATCATAAGAGTATTCTACGCAAAAACAGGAATAATTTTAATTAGATCGAACTCGCATTATAACAATAATGCCAGAAAATGACTTATCGGAACAAGAAATGACCAGTGTGCACTATACTGCTGAGGGCCTTTATTCACAATAAACTTAAATCTCTTAAAAGCAAGTGTATAAATGGAATGAAAGGGGTTTAACTTTTGTGCACCGACTGGGTTAATGAAGACAGGAGCAAGTCTATAACTTTTATTTGGATTTTAACAATAATACAATGTAGTAGAAGCTCACAAAGTACTGACTGATCATTACAAATGATTTTAAGAGTTTAAAGTCTCTATGAACAAATGCCCTGACGTCATCAATCAACATGATAATGAGCCACAAGCGAAAACAAAATAATGGTTCAAAAGAGAAATTTACTTAATGTATTGATTTCTTTTAAAACACACAAAATATTTTTACTTTACCATATTTCTAATTCACTGTAGAAGCTTTTATACAGAATGATGCCGTTATATGCACGAAGCTGACATATCTTTTGTTTACTGAGACGAAAGATGGCTGGCTTCACATCTCAGGAAATTTAGATGTGCTCAGTTTGCTCTGTTCCATAGGGATGATTTTGTTTCCAAAAGTAATGATGGCTGGCAACATTTGTTGCTTTAATTCTACAGTGGGGATGATATAATCGAGGTGTTGCTATCTTAAGGGACGAATCAAAGATGGCTGAACATGTGACGAACAACTTAAATGTTGATTGGCCAGTGATGGTTGACAATAAACTCGTGCAGGAATGCAAGGTTTCACATATCCTCATATCAAGGGTTGACATTTTTAGTCTGCAATGCAGGGATGAAATATGTAAATTCCTCAAGAATATCTCACTAAAATTCATACATGTGTGTACTTTAAATAACAGAAAATTTAAATCAGCAGAAATAAGCTTATAATAATTAAGTTTTTGCAAGGCCTGGAGCTATAGAAACTTTTTTTTATTTAAAGGCTTACGAAACACAATTTTCTAAAAAATACTTTCTTCTTAAATTATTTCACTATCAAGTTAATAAATTATACAATTAAAAAAAACTAAACAATTCATCTCTTGAGCACTTACCCTTTCCGTTGTTTACAATCATATGCATAATGACCACGACCATTACATTCATAACATCTATCATCTGGATTGAAGTTTTTACGAGGGCCTCTACTTGATTGACTCCCATCCCTTCCACCATCCCTTCCACCACCTCTGCCGCCGCCTCCTCCACCCCGATATCCTCCTCGAAGCCATGGTTTAGGTCGTACTTTTCCGCTTGAATGTTCAACTCGTACCCTCACCCCACACATAGTTCTACAAATATATGTTAATACACTTAAATTCTGTCTGTACCGTATCATGAGTTCCATCACCATGACGGTTGTAAGCTTACATGCCGGTCAAGACTGATGGCTACAGAAAATGACTGACTAGCGTATTTTTCGAAACCTGATTTTCAAACATGCCTACCATCGACCTCCGCTAGGTTACCATAAAATTCTACAGTCTGCACAGAACAATGCACACATATAGAAGCCATATAATCTCATGATTGGTGTTATAGAGTTGTATATATAGTTGTCATCATATTATACCTAGTGTTGTATTGATAATTAATGACGAGTGTCAGGTGAGAATCTTAAATCCTCAACAATGTGTTGGGAGAAAAATGTGTTTGAATTTTTTTTTTACAGCTGTATTATGGCTAGATTAGTAAACTTGATTAAAGAAAGATAGGTTGCCAGGCAACAAAACATACGCCCATACGCTAAGTTGTCCAAGCATTCAACCAGGGTTGTCACGACGCATATTTTTTCTTTTGTCAGTAATAAAATATCTACAATATAGTCAAATCTGATTTAGAGTAACAACTCATTAAGTAATTATCAGAAATCATTAGAATTGGTTTGGTATTTAGTTCTGCCCAATTCTAATGATTTAGTATACAAAACATTGTATATCTTGGATTTAGCCTTTCGAGTTATCGGAAATCATTGAAAATCAATACTTGTTTGTCTCAAGACATTAAACTATGTGTATAAAATTAAAGTCAATCGAATGATAACATCCACAATATTTTTCAAATTAATCAAGGGCCATAATTCGGACAATATTTATCGAAAACCATTAGAAATCAATAGGATTCGTCATCTTATGACCTTATACAGAGTGTACAAATTCAAAATCAGTTAGATGATAACTTTGGTCTCTTAGAGCATGGGTTCCATGTTGGCCACATGCTTGTCAGGACCGAGGGCTATTTTGCATGCTGGAAAAGTAGTGCATTTTTGAAAGATAGGTTGCCAGGCAACAAAACATACGTCCACAGCAGCAAAATCGTCCAGGCAGTAAACACGAGTTGTCGTATATTTTTACTTTTGTCAGTAATGAAACATTTATAATACACTAAAATCTGAATAAGAGTAACAACTCATTAAGTAATTATCAGAAAATCATGGGAATCATTACTAACGTTTAGTACACAAAACATTTAATATCATGAATTTAGTTGTTCAAGTTATCAAAAATCATTGAAAATCAATATACTTGTTCGTCTCAAGACCTTAAACTCTGTGTATCAATCTAAAGTCAATCGAAATGATTCTATATAGGCGTAAACACAGTGTATAAATATAAAATTATGACCTGATGACCTTAAACACAGTGTATAAATTTAAAGTCAATCGGATATTAACTTTAGCCCCTAGAGCGTCCACAAGATTGTTCAAAGTGATCAAGGGCCATAACTCTGGCAGTAATTATCGGACATTGTTGAAAATCAATAAGATTCTTCGTCTCATGACCTTAACCACAGTGTATAAATTTTAAGTCAATGGTCAATCGGATATTTACTTTAGCCTCTAGAGTGACGCCCACAAACTTTTTCAAAGTGATCAAAGGCCATAACTTTGGCAGTAAATATTGGAAATCGCTGAAAATCAAAAAGTTTTTTCACCTCATGACCTTAAACACTGTGTATAAACTCTGTATATCAATCGGATATTAACTTTGACAAAACCGATGACTATAGTATATACAACAAGATTTCAATGTGGGCGTATAAAAATGACAACTTACGTCCCATCTAATCCACGAACAGCATCTTCAGCATCTCTGTGATCTTCATATTCAACAAAAGCAAAGCCAGCTGGATTCCTTGCCACCCAAACATTCCTCAATCTACCGTAATAACTAAAATGCCTTTCTAACTCTTTTTCTGAAGCATCTCTGGGCAAATCACCAACGTAGATCTTATTTGCAACATCTCGATGCCGAGACATTCTGTTTTAACTAAAATGAAGAAATTTGACAAAATCTGTGAGATAATAGTACAAGGAAAGATTAATCATTGTGAACAATAGCTCAATTAATCCAGAAATAGGGTGTGACTGAAAGTGACAGGGTAAAATAAATGCTCCACCACAGCTGTGTCAAAGACATGCAATGAAACAAAATTTAAAGTCAAGACTTTTCTGTACCAACCAGGCTAACAACAACAGACATATGTCATACAATGTGCAACGAGGGAAATTGTGCCACATATTCTGGTTTCGGATCCCACCAATATGAACTGGGGAAATCATGCCGGAATATCCTGAGGAACTTTCTCTGCCAACAACTGGAGCGAAACCAGGAATTCTGCATTGCTAAACCACTGGGGTTCCTAAGACTATGTTGAAGACATATTCAATGAGTCAGGCCAAGTCCACACACAGAGGTATCTTCCATTTTCAAATGAAACTGGAACTCGAGAGGAGTATGGACGTTTTTCGTTACGCCAGGTCACGCATTGTCACATCAACAATCAAATTACACCATGAACTATTCAGTATAGTAAAATCCAATACCTATATAAGTGGAAAAACCTGTTATTTAGAATTCTTAATAAAACTGAAAGTTATACTTCAAGACTAAATTTTTTGATATTAGTTTTTAGTCAATGTCAGGTTCATCCTGTATGCAAAGGCTAAGGGACATTGAACGGTTAGGTCACCAGACAGTTGGTTAAAACTTAAAAGTCCAAAAAATTTCAAAGTTAAACCAGAAGTAAACGAAATTGAAATTAAAAAATTGGCTCCCTAAGAATTGCTGCTATTTGTTGTAAGTTCAAAACAAATTTTTTTTTTGAAAATTGGAATCAAAATGGTGGCTGAATATCATTTGAAGGTTTTTTGTAAAATTCAATATGGTTGAGAAAGGGTTGAAAATGTTATGGAACAAGGTCTCAGAAAATGAAAGATAATATCTGGGGCCAACACCACCATATTTCACTTTTTGTCTATTTTGAAAACTGAGAGAACTATTCATGTTTGGGGACAATTGGAAGGCCTCGGTAATTTCCGAAAGTCCACGCACATGCACATGCACTGAATATAATTAAAGTTTTCATAGAATTGTCCTCAAATGGGCTGGTTTGTGCTTAGTCAAACTCAACACTACTTTATTTGATATCAGTGATCGAATAAGGGTTATTTCACATTCGCAATAGGTTAAAGACACATCTTACTCAGTATTTTACGGTTGGCAGTCTAAACAACAGCTAATAGCAGACTGTAAGTTGAAACAGACAATGGGGTGTGGGATGATCAAGCGCTCTACAGAGTTGTGTATCAGAAATTGATAGCCTTAAACACTGTCAACTGTGTATAAATTTTAAGTCAATTGGATATTAACTTTAGCCTCTAGAGTGCCCACAAGCAATTGTGGACGCCGGCCGGATGGGGGTGATGACAATATATGTGGTCGTATGAAAATGAAAACCCAAAGAAGATCTGTTGAGAAATAACCGAGATATGGGCAATCTAAGAGTATTTTTCGTCTCATCCATAAAACACATTATCCTGTTTGTCAAAAATGACCCCATTTTATATTTCATAAATAGAGCTACGGAAGCCAACCACATCTACGTCGGCGGAATATTTTCACCATGTACAGTTTTGGCAGCAAACTCTGACAAAAGATCATAGAGAGATGCAAATGCCTTCCTCAATGACAATATATATCACCAATATTGTATCACTTTGATTAAGTTGATTAACAGAGGCAAGTCTCTAAGTCAATTTCCGTTATCATTCAGTCTTTGACTTGTTGGTCAATTTAAATCAACATTGATGTTGTTATCTTAGCGTGAAAAGTTGGACATCTGATATCCAATCTTTAAGACAAAATGAAAATTTTAAAATTGGCACACGAATGGCGTGACACAATGCTTTCGAGCACCATTTGTAATGAAGCAACTTGATGAACGAGGCTAATAATATCCAACAGGAGACGAGAAAGCTAGATCAGAGACAGTCCTGTACATTTTAGCAGATATGACGTCATATGGGTTTGGTTAAGGGTTAGCACCTACAGATTTCATCAGTCTCGAGATGTAAACAGGACTAGCGCTAACCCTAACCCAGGACCAAGCCTAACCCTTACCCTAACCTACAATCCAGATACATATATGACGTCATACACTCAAGAACAGTCTCCAATCTAGCGTTCTCCACAGGAGACTACTACTGCCAGCGGTGTACACAGGAATAACCAGACGCCAAAGACTCATTCAGTTGGAACACTTTGTGTATTTTGTCAAAAATAACTGATTAGGAATTACAGTAAAAACAGAAACGATTGAATGTAAATCAGTATACATTCAATAGGGTTGGGCGATAAAAATCATTGACAATTTTATTATATCGGATTTATTTAAAAATATCGAAAAACCGGTATATCGTGATAACCAAAATTATTGCGATATGATAATTATCATGTCCCAATATTGATGATAATATGCTACATCATACGAAGTTGAAATTGCAATGTGAGAGGTCATGATTGATGCATCATGCAAGGATTCGTAATCGAGGAACAGTTGTTTGGCAAGGTCAAGGTTGGACAGTAACGTATTTCTTGGGGTATAAGTCAAAAAAAAAAAAAATGAGATCAAAAAATGTTTTTTCTCTGTAACCGTCACCCTACAAAGTACGATGTTGAGTGACATCATTTGCTAAATATCAAAATAATAGCACTCTCACGACAAAGTCAACGCACAATGTTCCGACTTTTGCTATTGTTATTCCAATACAAATACTTGTCGGAGTTTCTAATTATAGTTAGTTTAATTTTTTTAAAAATACAACCAACTTTCAATAAAGGCTAGAAAATGTCATTAAGATAGAATCTTTCTGCCGACAAGAAACATATCTCTCGTAATTTCTCGCAAGAATTCTACTTCGGTTTTCAATAAAAATTCTACTTTGAAAGCCCGTAATTATTTTTTTCATTGTCCAATCAATCAATAGACGCCTTCTATTTTATTTGATTCTATTGTTAGTAACACTGTGTGATCATCAGTCACGTGCGAATAGAAACCATGTATTGTCTTTGTATTTATCGGAGATATTGGAATAAAAAGAGGTTCAAATGAATCAAGAACAAAACTTACAATACTGCTCAGTTAGTCCTGCATTTAGCAACTAATTATTTTACATTATTTGACTTTTTTAGGTACATCGGTACAGTATTAGTAGACTAAGATAATAACACTACCGTAACTCGATAACAGATTACTGCCCGAAATGAATGAAAAAACATTTGTCTTGCACTTCACCGCTTCGACTTTTTATGGACGGAGGTCGGAAAAAAACAGTAAAATATGACGATTCAACTTATACCCCTCATCGACTTATACGGTATTTACCTCAGTTGCAACTGTCTTATAAATATCAAAAAGTAGATTTTCGAACCCTTCCAGTTATGTTTACGTGTTATTATTAATATTTTACTTTGACTAATATACAACATTCTATTGATAGAAATAAATTCATCCGTAAAAATAGCATTATTCAGTAGTACCAGCTGGTCTGACTCTAAGATTATAACTATAAGATAAAACTCCATCACAAACGTTACCAACAAAAATGTGGCATCAAGCGACGATTCTCAGACCAAGTATCCAAAATTTGACTTCTTAAGACACGTATAAATTATCACAATAATATAGTTTATCATGATATTTGTTAAATTATTATCATCATGCATCATGATATTTTTTTTTTCATTATGATATGATACCAACCCTAACATTCATATTACAAATACAATATTTCATGCACTGCGACCCATTTATGTCCATTTCTAGGTGCCAAAGAATAGAGATTTAGCTCCTTTAAAGAAAGACACTTTCAAGCCCAAGTGAAGAAAGAATGACTTTATTTTATCTAGGCCTATCTGAGATCTCCCGATAGCTACAACTGTAGTCTGTACAAGAAGTGAAGAACGTAAAAACGTTGAGATTCGGAGGGTTGAGAAATGAGAGATGAGGTTTGTTATCTAATCTCCCGAATATTTAATATATAAAATTAACAAGAGAGACTGAGGGCAATGTACAATTTTTTTTTCAAAACTAAAATTCATACACGTTGTCTTTGTATAAGCGGTATCTTCCTTTGATCTCTACAGCAAAAATAAGACTTCGATCAAAACTTTTATCTTTTCTTCTAATAATGGCTGTCTCTTCCCAGACTGCCACAAATTATGGCGCTAAGATCTTCCGGTGTAGCGTTTGCAGGGGTCAGATCTAAAGGCCGCCTGCAGATTTCGTCAATGTCACGAGATGTAAACAGGGCTTGGGCACAATCATAGAACTGTACTGACCATCTATGGGCACAATCATGATTGTTGTCGATGATTGTGTATTACTAGTATTAGGGTTAGAGATAGGTTATGTAAGCGCTACCCTGTTCACATCTCGTGACCATGACCAAATCTGGAGGTAGCCTTAATAATATTCAGACCTGGCCGTTTAGAGAGGTCGTCCCGGTGGTCTAAAAGCCAAGACCGATAGCAGCAGATTTCGTCGCTCATTTTATTATACGCCCACATTTTCATGTGGACGTATATTGTCGTCGCCCCCGTTGGACCGTCCGTCCGTCCACAATTTGTTTGTGGACACTCTACAGGTCACAATTTTTATCCGATTTCAACGAAACTTGAAATATAGCTTTATCTCCCTAAGATATACCATATTCTTATTTGCGTACGAGGAGCGGCCATTTTGTCTGGTAGTTTTAGTCCGATTTTCACGAAATTCTAACTCAACCGTTTTTAAGGTGTAACAGTGACATATTCAACCGTTTTTTTTTTAAATTGGATAATAATTGTGACCTCTAGCGGGACAACAAGCTCTAATCTCGATTTTTCGTACAATTGGGGGCCATAATTCAGGAAATTACGATCCGATATGCGCAAATATCGACGAACGGAACCAAGTTCTTTGGGTTATAAACATGCATTTCAAGTTTCATCTAAATCAGATGAAAATTGTGACCTCTACTCTAGAGTTTCCACAAGCTAAAAAAGTGATTTTTCGTACAAACAGAGGCATAATCCATGAATTGTTATGATCCGATACAAGCCATATATCGAAAGGAACCGAGATCTTTGGGAGATAAACCTATATTTTAAGTTTTGTCAAAATCGGATATATATTGTGACCTGTAGACGGATGGACAGGGGCGACGACAATACACGTCCACGTAAAAATGTTGGCTTATAAAAATGCCTATCAGTCCGCAATCGTGGTTTGAATAAGGTTTCCATAGCCCTATTCTTATCATTTGTTTCACTTCTGTTCCTATACACTTTTGCGACTGCGAAAATGTCAGATGCTGCCAGGTACAATCAATGTCGCCATGCATGAAATGGGGTTTGGCGTCCTGCTTTGCTGCACCAACTGGGATAATGAAGACAAGCATACTCCATATAGTGTGCTATGAGTTCAGTAAAACCTTGCAAAGTAAATCTATGGTTTGAATAAGCTTTCCATATTCTTATTATCATGTGAGATGAAAGAGAGAGGGAGAGAAATGAAGTTTAACGTCCACTCCACAACACACTAGCTTATTTCTGGACTAACACATGGTGCAATTTTATTTCAATAATTCGCTTGCACATAGGGGTCTTTAGCGGTGGAAGGAAACCGGAGAACCCAGAGAAAATGCACCAGGTTGGACAGGCAACCCTACTCCTTGTCACTACAGCCAGTTAACTCAATGATACCTAATGATACCAATTGGCCACCCAAGCCCCTTATTATCTTGTCTTTCACCTATGTATACACATTTGCCACCACGAAAATATCAGATGCTTTACCTAATTTTTTAATCAATATGTCGTTCTTGGTTTTCACTGTGGTGAATGTAAATTAAATGGGGTTTGACGTTGTACATTTCTGCATCAACCGGGATAGTGAAAACGGTGTGTTACTGTTATGGGGGGAATTTTGTCTGCCATGGGAGGCTTTTGGAACTTTGCAGTCACCAAATATTAACAAAAAGTGGTTGTGGCACCGTCCAAGAGGGGCAGATCATGCACAAAAACAAAAATCAATAGTTGCCGTCCTCAGGGTATAAGGAATAAGTATAGGCCTACCAAGTTCCAAGATAATACATTCAGAATTGTAGCCTTCAGACGCTAAACACAAAAAGTGGGCGTTGCACCGCCCCTGGGGTTGGGACATGCACCAAAATCAATAGTTGCTGTCCTTGGCTATAAGGAATACACATACCAAGTTCAAAGACGATCCATTAAAAATTGTGGCCTGCAGGCCATAAGGAATACACATACAAGGTTCGAAGACGGTACATTAAAAATTCTGGCCTGTAGGCACACACAGCCATAAAACAAATGGATGTGGCTCAGCCTCTGGGGGGCGGGCATTCACCAAAATTATAAGGATCATCCTTAGGGTATAAGGAATAGGTATGCAAAGTTTGAAAAGGATCTGTTAAGAATTGCGGCCTCTGGTGTAATAATGTTGATAATTCATTATATTTTTCTGGACATTTTCATTTCAAGATTTTAACTTCAAGACTTTTTGAAACGTAGAAAATATTTTCATAAGAGTTCAAATTCCAGATTTTTTTTAGATGCTTTCAGAAACCAATGAATTGATTTCTTTGTCGTGTAAAATTAAGAAATTATTTTTTAATTTTAATATTTAATGATATATAAAAGTTACCGATAAAACGCCGAAAATGAAACATAAAGTCAATTTTTTGTTTAAAATGTTGATTTTGTGCATGAAATGTTGACACAAGAATGTAGAAACAAGAATCATTAGTTTAGAATGTTGCGTTCGTGTCTAAAATGTTCAAACTGGAATGTAGAAACAAGAATCATGAATATTGTCCCATTTGGTCTTCCATAGGCGACACATAAAAAGAAAATGAGCGTAGCTCTGACCCTGGGTGTTGGGAATACACCAAAAACAATAAGGGTGGTCCTTATGGTATAAGGAATAAGTATGCAAAGGATCTGTTAAGAATAGCGGCCTGTCGACGACAAGCAAATACAAAAAATGGGCGGGGCTGTCCCTGGGGGTCGGGCATGCACCAAAAACAACAGGGATTATCCTTAGGGTATACGGAATAAGTATACAAAGTTTCAAGACAATCCATTGAGAATTGCTCCCTGTAGGCAACCCACAGACGGGCGGTCCACATTATGAAATTCGATGTATAAAAAGTAAGTTACCGCTTATTTTGGAGAAGTTAGGAATCTTAATTGGGGAGCTAAGAACTTTATTTTCCGTAGATCATAAATATAATCTTAGTCTGGGGTTAAGAAATATGGTTATTTCCTAAAACGTTGGCAGCAACTTTATTTTCCGTAGATCATAAATATAATCTTAGTCTGGGGTTAAGAAATATGGTTATTTCCTAAAACGTTGGCAGCAAATCTTCATATCTATTTATTACAAAATCTATTTCAAAATGTCTTTAAAAATACCAATGTTTTATTTAGTTTAAACCAAAATAGCAACAGAAACATGTAATTGACAGTACACATGAAATATTTATATAAAAGAGAACTTACATATTATATAATTAATACTTACTAGTTTTCATGACCAGCAGCCCATGAGTTAGCCATTATCCCACCCTATTCCAAATCAAATTTAAAATTGTAGTATTTTGTTTCACAACTCAAGAGGAATAGAAGTAGGCTTGTAGGAGAAGTCTAATTCATATTATTTAATTTACAGGTGATAAGACAAATGCTGAATGGTAGATAATTTTTGGATGTTGATGGAAGTGGAAAGAAATTTGTTTGGAATTTTGGTTCCAGATACATCATGTATATATAGATTAACATTATTTGATAACCCAGAATTGAATTTAAATTTTTTTTTAAAATCAGCAGATATTTGGGAATACAGTTGTGTTTCAAAATTTCAACAATCAAAATAAAAATTTACATTATTTTTCAAACATTAGTAATTTCCTAAATGATACAGATCAATATGTGAACCAATACATATAACAAAAAATAAGATTTTCTTGCATGAAATTAATCTGAACAGATGAACTGATATCTATAATTGGCTATCTTTTATATTGTTCTTTCAAAAATATAACTGAAGAATTAGAGTACAATTAATAAAATTTTTATGAAGATTCGTTATGACTAATTCAGACAGATATGACAATATTAACATTAAAAAACTTCTTGAATTGAACACTAACTTCCAGCATGGCATATAATCTTATACAATTAATAAGACAAGACAGTTATACAAACATGAATTGAAAGGATTAAATTAATAATCAATCTTGCTACTTAAGTACATAAAATGCTGATGATCGAATGCTATAAATTATCAATTAATGATGTTCACAATTAAAATGTGAAGCATGTCAGTGTATATACATAATTTGAATTAAATAATAGTTTGTTTTTTTGTCTGAATGATTTTGACTAAGGAAAAAATAGTCTATAAAGCAAGTAAAATAAGGTTACAATAAAATGAATGACTTGTTTTATTCACATAAAATCTTTCTGAAATACATCTTTTCTAGTTATGGATTTCTAGGTGTCTGTTGCTCCTTTGTATGGACTCCTACTTCTGCTGGAGGATCTGGACCTGAAGATAAACATATAATAGATTATATGATGACTGATCAAAGCTTACAAAAAGTTTAAAAGACAGGTTGTTGCATATTTATTCTTTTGTAGAAAGGGGAGCATTCTCAAGACATTAAAAACTGATCAAGGGTAACAACCCATGAAGTAATTATCAAAAATAATTAAACTTTGATGGACTTCTAGTTCTTCCAAGTGCAAACATTTAGTAGACACTGTAACCGTGTGTACAATCTTAAGTCAATGGGATAATAAGCAAATGTCAATGACGGGAGACCAAAATATATGTCCACATTGAAATGTGGACATAAATTAATGTTAAGATATGGATGAGGTAATACTATTACACCTACTAAACTTTAGTGCGAAATTCAGCAAGTGTGGTTTAGAGAAAAGGTAAATGAAAATGTCTAAACACTCAAATAGGGAACAACATTCTAGACTAAACAGTAAAATATCCTGGACTCTTAGACTAACTGGTTGGTTCATTTATGCCTTTCAGAAAATGTTTATCTTTTACAAACAGTAAAATATAATCATTGTAGAGATTTATATCATCTGTATATAAATGATTATTCCTATCACAGTGAGATAACAGAAAACAGCAGATCATAAACCAGCTCTCGCAAAATTTGGTATTGAAGTCACTGTTGTTATTACAGAATGTCCAGTTCTAGAGGTATGTTGAAACCAAATAAGACAGGCATCACAAAAACTGCATGGAGGTCATTGCAGATCAAATATTCATGCTTTCATGATACACTTGGCAAAAAAAGAAATGCAAGAACTTTGGGTTGGTACATTTTTTATTGTAAACTGATATAGTCAACATATTTAGTCATAGGGCATGAGAAGACACTGTAATGCCAGTATAGATACACAGGATGGACATACACGTTATTAATTGTGAAATATTAATTGAAATGTTCTATTATATAACAGGGTATTAAATGATTTCAATATAAACTTCCGTTCCTGTTTGAGGGTTTAGAACATAATTGTGATAAGTCAATATATTAAGCATTGTGACTTATCACAATTATGTTCTAAACCCTCAATATAATGATGGAATATCAGTTGTAATTACCTTCGAGGTGAATGAGTCCTACTCCTTGTTCTACTGCGTCGTGATTTACTTCCTCTATCATTGTATCTTCTAGGACTTCTGCTCTTTGATCGACTTCGACTTCTGGAATAAGACCTGAAAAACGTCAGTTCATAATTTCTACAATACTCAATAACAGTAACATTTAAAATTATTACATTAAGCTTTATTGTGTTTTATTTCTGTATTTACTCAAAGCAATAGTTTTGAGTAATTGGAGATCAGTTTCAAGTAATTTATCTGAGTTTAATGTATCATTTCATCCAAATATCAATAACTTTTCTGACACTATAATCTAATAACAATCAATAAAATAAAGATATGCTTTTATAACCATTTTATGACCACCATCTTATCTTTAAAGGGGCAGTGCCAGATTTCACAGGAGAGCAGTTGATTAAAGTAGTTTAAAGTATACAAATTAAATGACACAATAGCTTGTCTAATAATTTTAGCTGAAACAAGTGAGCTGTCGGAAAGTTACCGCCAGATTTGCATAACCATATATCTAATTTTATGAGTGACTTGGTAATTGTGATGACCACTTACCCCTATTACTTATGCAAGTATATAAGTCTATCCAGGTACTTGCGAAAGTGTGATATTTGGGGACTTATAAAAAATACATTAGGAAACAGAATGTGTATACTTCTGCAAAAAAGTACAACAGAGTTTCTTCATATAGTTGTACAGGATGATAAATAAGATTTCTAGGAGTCTCCCACACAGAATTAACCCATTTAAAGTTTAAATACATATGTCCAAGGTAAAGTGGTAAGTCCAACTGCCATACAAAATGAACAATAAATATTTTGATAATAAAAATATAGAGTATTAATACAATACAGTACATAATCTTTCCTCAAGTACTGTGATGGATAACAATTGTTATTAAAATGTACACAGAAAAATAGTTCTACTTTACCAAAACAAGACCCGTAGTTGTAGATCTCTCCATTTTTTATGTTTAACTCAGGGACGTTTCATTTAGTTCAACAGAAGAGATGATTGCGCATTTGTAGTTTAGTTCTGAGAAGTGCAGATAGGAAAGAGATTGGAATCCATTCTAAATCAGGATAGACGCCAATGAGGTGTCTGAGAAGATCTTTTTCTAAAGCTCAAATAATGTCGACTCTATATCATGGAGGTAGTTACACGTGACACAGTAACTCTGATGATCTTAGTGTAGTCTTATTGATCTCATTGACAGTAGTATCAATCGTTTACTCTTTACGAAGACTCAATTTCCTCATATCAATTGTCTGCAATGCATGGGTTATGATAAATCATAAAAACTCTTATATAAATGTTTTGTCTCTTAAATGTTTGAATACTTAAATCTTTTGTACATGTATATCATTAAAATTAAAAATACTAATGTAAAACGACCTAATTATTAAAGCATTGTCGTAATATTGGTAAGTACCGGTATTATATTACAATACATGTACACACATAATTTATATTATAAAAACACTACAATGTCAAAAAGTTCACGAAATGTAAAGAAAAATAGCATCAATTTTTATTCAAGGTATTGAGTTAGGGCTCTCATTTCAGGATAAGTGCAAGATTGCATCATTTTTATTTAGTTACATTAAGTACTAGAAATACAATTGATCACACTAAATTAAATAACAGATTTTTCTGGCATACATTTGATTTTCAGTGCATGTCAGATTGACTGGTAAAGACAGTCCAAATGAGTGCCCTACTTCAGATCCTAAGACTACAAGGAGAGTATCAAGGAAGTATCCTATTGGCATCTGTGCTTTTGTTCAGTAGAGCTCTTCTAATATTTGTAGCATTGCTGAATACGCAATACAAATTACAAATTAATAAGTATTAAAGATTTCACTTACAATGTATTACCACATTTCAATATTGACTTATAAATGATGGAAACTGAAGTATGGTCACTGTAACGTTAAATTTTGTTCTAGTATGATCTTGTACTGCTTTTAGTGTGATCTTGAACAGGTTACCACAGACATTTTTATAACTGTATTTCAGTTCCAGTCTTAATTATTGCTCATCTATTTTTCTGATAAGATATTGTCATGGCCAAATAGATTAAATTTATTTTGTATTACATAAATATCTAACATATTTTCTTGGAAGACAGCGTTCATATAACTTGATCTTAATGACTATCAAATTGTCTGTATTAGTATACTAGGCTTCATTTGTGGTGAATTATGAGAGTTGTAAGACCAAAGCCTATGATCCATGAGTTTATGGTTATAGTTTGATTGGTTGATTTAAATAGAACTGTCACTGGTATGCAGATTGCAATGTAGTGTACAAATCAGGAAAGAAAAGAGAAAACATGCTGAAACGAAATTGTAATCTAATTTCAATTATCTCTATTTGTACAGAGACACATAACATTCTTTTCTGCACCATCTAGGCTAACTGAGACAGGCATATGCCATATAGTGTGCTATGAGGGAAATTGTTCCTAAACAGCAGCTCTATAGTCTACTCTGATTTCAAATTACAACTGTCCAGACTTCTTTGACATGCACAACAACAATTTCCATCTCATTCGATCAACTAGATACAGTTCTTTGCTAATGCTAGGCCTTCTGTCCTAGACAACTGACGAGGAAACTGGTGGAAAATCCTGAGGAACTTCCTAGGCTAACACCCGAGTCTGAACCAGGGACCTCCAGGTTAGTGAACTAGACCCTAAACGAATTATCGCAACTATTACAAATATGATTCGAAGTGAAATGGTTGGTTGGATATTTCTAAAACCATATATTATTCCTACTTTCATAGTAATAATATAGATTATCAATCTACATGATAAACAGTAAAAGAAATCTAACTTTAAACAAATTAAATCTTAAGGTTTCTTATAAAACTGTTGTAAATAACAATAAAATTAAACAACTAAGGTGTTTGGGTTTTTTTTAGAAACAGTAACCATACCCTACCTCATGCACAACACCTATCACCACTTGTGACTAAATAAGATTATTGTTTCATGTTAGATTCCAGTAGTCAAAGCTACTGGGTAGATGTGTCACCAGTGCAGTAGATTAAATACAAAAGTATTGACTATGTTTGAATTTGAATATTTTTCAGACTTAACAAAACAATTAAATAAATGCCCCATTTCCATTGGCACTGTTGTACTGAAAATAACTATGATTAAAAAGAAGCTTCAAAATGTGTTTTAATTTTAAATTAGTTAATAAAAATGTTAGTACAACTAAATTTCAATATCAAGGAACATAATCTATTTGATTACTACAAAAACAAGCGTTTGCGAGGCAAGATACGCCCACATTTTGCAAGAGATGGTTATAGACCACATAAAAAAGAAGAAGCGATTTTTCGTACAATCAGGGGACATAATCCAGGAAGATATAGTCTGAAATGCACGGATATTGAAAGGAACCAAGATCTTTGGATTATAATCATACATGTCAAGTTTCATCAAAATCGGATAAAAATGTTGACTTCTAGAGTGTCCACAACTCTGGTATTACATACTTTTACGTTTTTTCAAATTTAATACAAATTGTAATTTATAGCATGTCCACGAATATGCGCCATTATCGAGAGGAGTTGAGATCTTTGTGATATAAACATAAATTTAAAGTTTCAACAAAATCGGATCAAAACTGTGACCTCTAGAGGATCCACAACCTTGATACACCATATTGTAACACTATTTGCGTACGAGGCACAGCCATTTTGTCTGGCAGTTTGGGTCCGATTTTCAGGAAATTCGAACTCAACTGGGGATATATATTTGAAGTTTTTTTTAAAAAATCGTCTGGATGTTTCGGTCAGATTTTTACGAAATTCAAACTCAACCTTCATTGATGTGGAACGGTGATGTATATAAACAATTTTTAAAATTGAATACAAATTGTGACCTCTAGAGGCACCACAAGCTAAATACGCGATTTTTTATACAATCAGGGGCCATAATTCAGGAAGCTGTGATCCGATATGCACAAATATCTAAAGGAACTAAGATCTTTGGGTAATAAACATGCATTTCAAGTTTCATCAAAATCAGACTCCAGAGTGTCCACAAGCTAAAAATGTGATTTTTCGAACAATCAGGGGCCAATATCAAAAGGAACCAAGATCTTTGGACGATAGTCTTATATTTCAACTTTTGTCAAAATCGGATAAATGTGACCTGTAGAGTGTCCACAAACAAAATGTGGACGGATGGACAGACGGACAGGGGCGACGACATAATACGTCCACATGAAAATGTGGGCGTATAAAAAGAGAAGACAATTGTCTTCAATTAATAAATTGAAACATCTTTGAATTAAAATTCAATTTGCAATTTATAAGAGACCTTAATATATATAACAAGTCAACTGTATCAATCACAAAATAAATAGATGACACTCATTCATTACTTCTATAGTATAAGGCATCGAACAATCAAGTAGTTTATAACTCTGCCATGATCTTTAGCATAAATTGCTTATTATCGAACTTAGTCAAGGTACTGATGTAATGAAAGGATACACCAAGTTCTATCAGAGTATGGATAATAAGGTTTTGAAGTCTTGGTCAATCAAATTGCCTATCTCTATACCAAGTTTGAAAATTCTATCTTGCCTAGAAACAGAGTGATTGTATTTCATAAGGTGTGACAATTAAACAGACAGCTGCTTAGCAAAGTATACTCATCATTAAACTCAGTCAAGATGTTCACCTAATGAACATCTATACAGAACTAAAACATACCACCAAATTAAAAGGAGAAATTTGGAGATTCAAAGTGTGTCAGAATGACTGACAGCTTCTTAGAATAGGCAGAAAAAGTTCAACACTGAATTTAGTCAAGACATTTACATTATGAACATTCTGCCTAAGTTAGAAGCAGAGTTATTTTGTCCCAAAATGATCAACAAACTCAGTCACGATATTCACTTCATGAACAACTGTACCAAGCTTGAACATTCCAGCTCGGTGTGACGGACGGACGAACAAACACATTTTAGTAGTCCTCAATTTTCTTTGAAATGCAGGGAACAATAAACAGCTTTTTTGCACCAATCAAATAGTATTTATCCTTTTAAAAAAAAAAATAATAATGTAGAATTAACTTTATTCAAAGAAGTAGCTCTACATACCTCTTTCGTTTTTTGCTGTATTTGTAACAGTCATAGGCATAATGCCCTCTTTGATCACACTTATAGCATCTATCGTCTGGGTTATAGGGCTTTCCTCTTCCACGACTGCTTGCTCCAAATCCCCTTCCTCGTCCTCTATAACCACCACCGCCTCCCCCTCTAGAAGATCCTGCCCAGGGCTTTGGTCGAATTCGTCCGCTGCAGTGTTCAACTCTAATTCTTTGCCCTAATATAGAGCTGAATAAAATCAAACATAATTAGAGCTAAATAATTAAATTCTCAGGTATCTTCAAACATGATCTATGCTTTTAAGGCCATATATTTGGCTAATTATCATGAAGGCTATTCTATATTTGTTCAGAGCTAAGGTCACCCACACCTATTTGTATTTCAAATGGTTTCTCATTTCTTGGGCAGAGCTGAGATGGGGGTAGAGGTATGAAAAACAATATGTACTTGGTTGCTCTTCTCGAAAGATCTTAAATCCAAATATTAAGGGTCTATTTATTCATTAAACATATACATTATGCAAGAGCTAAATCTGCCTATTGCAGGTCTTTCTTTAGGTCTGAAATGTTATTTAAACTATTAATCAGACATTTATTAACAAAACAAGACCATAATCAACTCTCGATGGCATTGGATACTCGAGATTTTAACTAGATTAAAACAATTCTCCATTTAAAAATTTAATTTAAAAACGGGAAAGCGAGACTAAGTCGCGAATATACCAGTGCGCTAGTTACCACTATGCACACATCTTGTCAAAACAATAAACAGTGATAATTTGGCTCAGAATGAAGTAATTTGGCTGAAATTTTCAATTTTTCTTTTTTTATCATCTATTTTTGAATTATTATAGCAAGAATGATCAACTCTTTATTAAACTCTTAACTAATGTATCTTTAAGCCTTGGAAAAACACAATGTACTTGACCTGATCTTCTCAAAAGATCTTAATTCCAAAATTTTAACTTTAAAATTAATCAAAATAAAACATCGCTCACAAGACTTAAGGGGCTATTCAAAAATTTCATTGGTTTGGCTGGCACATAGCAATGCATACAAAATGTTCATTTAATACCTGGTACCAATACTGATATTGGCCAAATGTAAATAACATTTGTAATATTCTGCTTAAAGATTTTAATTACTTACGCTCCATCTAATCCCCTGATAGCATCATCAGCATCTCTAGCATCTTCAAACTCAATGAAAGCAAAACCTGGTGGATTTCTAGCTACCCAAACACTTCTCAATGTTCCATAATAACTGAACTGTTTGTCAAGATCCTTTTCTGTGGCATCCTTGGCCAAATCACCTATGTACACTTTACAATCCATATCTTTAGTACTGTCTCGTCGTTGAGGATCATCATAATCTCTTCGTCTCGATGAATCGTCATAATCTCTCCGTTTCGATGAGTCATCATAATCTCTACTGCGTCTTGAGTCATCATAATCCCTGCTGCGTCTTGAGTCATCATCATCCCTTCGTCTACTGGAGTAATCATCATCATAGTCTCTTCTAGACATTGTTACTAGAAAGATATATGAGATTAATTAAGAATGAGGTATGTATGTCATTTATTACAAATAAAAAAGCATTCAATTATTTGATTTAATAACATGGGCATCAAGAAAAGCACTGGTTTATAAATTATTTATACCAGCGGCTGCCAGGCAGGATACGCCCACATTTTCGAGAGATGGATAGAGAACAAGCTAAAAAGAAAGTGATTTTTCCTACAATCAGGGGCCATAATTCAGGAAATTACAATTCGATATGCGCTAATATCGAAAGGAACAGAGATCTTTGGGTTATAAACTTACATTTCAAGTTTCACCAAAATCAGAAGAAAATTGTGACCTCTAGAGGGTCTACAACATTGATATACCTACCATATTTTTACGGTATTTGAGTACGCGGGGCGGCCATTTTGTTTTAGTCCGATTTTTATGAAGTTCGAACTCAACCACCCTTAGGGTGTAACGGTGATGTATTCAAACATTTTTTTTAAATCGGATAAAAATTATGACAGCTATAGGGTCCACAAGCTAAAAACGCGATTTTTCGTACAATAAGGGGCCATAATTCAGGAAGTTACGATCCGATATGCTTGAATATCGAAAGGAACCAAGATCTTTGGGTTATAAACTTACATTTCATGTTTCATCAAAATCAGAAGAAAATTGTAACCTCTAGAGGGTCTACAACCTTGATATACCATATTTTTATGCTATTTGCGAATGAGGGGCGGCCATTTTGTCTGTCAGTTTTGGGTCGATTGCTGAGGGCAAGATCTTTGGGATATAAACATGCATTTCAATTTTCATCTAAATCAGATGAAAATTGTGACCTCTAAGAGTGTCTACAAGCTAAAAACGTGATTTTTTGTACAATCAGGTGCCATAATCCATGAAGTTTCGATCCGATACATGCCAATATCGAAAGGGACAGAGATCTTTTGGAGATAAACCTATATTTCAAATTTGGTCAAAATCGGATAAGAATTGTGACCTGTATAGAGTCCACAAACAATTAAGATTGTCTGCATGATTTGTCTTTTAGAAATCGTACATGTATTTGAAAAACAACTAGCCCGATTTGAAATTTAATCATATATTTTTATCTCGTCCAGTGTATGAATTATAGGCCTACTGGAAAGTAATAGAACTTAGGATCTAATCAACTTGGATAAATATGTTGTAGAAAGGTCCGAGATGCTGAATCTTTAAAGGAGCTAAGTCGCTAATATTTGGAACCTAGAAATTGACACAAATGGGTCGCAACGCATAGGCTAGAATAATGTAATAGCCTACGAATTTATATAAATTGATTTACATTCAATAGTTTCTGTTTTTACTGTAATTTCCAATTAGTTAGGTTCGGCGAGATACGCCAGTATTCTCAATCTAATTTCAATCTCTAGCGTCTGGTTATTCCAGTCTACGCCGATAGTATTTATTTGGCATGCTCTCCAGATAAGAATATAGCTTCACCGTTTGACATGACTTGTGGAATATGCCTCGCCTCGTTTTTCAAGTCCATGATTACAAATAGCACTGAAACGCATTATGGTACATGATTCGTGTACCAATTGTAAAATGTTTATTTTGTCTTAAATATTGGATATTAGAAGGCCATCTTTTCCCGGTAAGATCACAACATCAATGTTGATTTAAATCGACAAATAATTCGCGTTTTCAATGTCGAAGATTTTGGATGATACTGAGTTAGAGACTTAGCTACTTTAAGACAGGTAAAAGGTTTGGCTTTCGAATGGCGTTTCAAATTCTTAGGTTTCCGGCTTACCTGCCTAGAGACAAGCGACAACGCTACAATTGATACGTTCTCAGAGTTACAGACTACCTAGTTCAGCTCTGAACGTAGTCTTATTACATTCATAGTGTACGTTCAAGAATGGCCGTATTTGCCGATTATCAGAAATTTTTGTGTCCTGTGTAAATTTTACTGGTCGTGTGTCAGTCTCTGTGAACGCCTGTACAATGTAAAGGAACATTCAAAGACTTCAAATTTGGGATAGGCAAAGCAATAAATGACTGAAGATTCTAGTTTATTCAAGGAAAACAATTTTTTTCCCCTGGTGACCTACATTTTGTTTCGTATCACGGACGTTCTTAAGTTTGTGCGTTGCGATACACATTACAACTTAGGGCAACTATATTACAATGGCGACTGCCAAGCGTGTTGTGTCGCAAAAACTATATTTTTCTTTTCAATAAGAACTGTTTAGTGTTACTTATTTAATTTTTCTGACACCCAACTACCAGATACGTGTATTAAAATCTACCAGATATGGGTCCAAACTCTTTTAAATCATAGCGGTTGCTAATGCTATATGCAGACATTTTTAATCCAAGAGAAAAATATGGAAGACCTGCAGAGATTTCTGAAATCAGTAAAATACTAATAGGCCTACACATACAACACTGCTTCATTAGCATTTATTTGAAAAATGTGAAGAAATAAAGAAGAAAGCAGTTTTGCAACCATCGTTACCGGTACATGAATATGATTAAATTTGATTGTTGGGTAATATATTTACATCTTATAATTAGTCAAAATTGTATAAAATTATCTTATTATTGAGCAAATTGAGTTTGAATGGTGAAACTAAGTCATACTCGTAACTCAATGTTTTTAGCGACGTTCTCTTAGCTACCGGCGTGGTGCAGGCGGCCATGCCCATGCTTGCGCCATTGCGGGACTCCGTGGATGACCAAACATTATATTCATTGAATTTGTTGAAACGAAACATTTCAATCAAAACAAACTCCACAAAGAGTCTTATTCGAAGGAAACGGTTATCATCGAATTAGCTTTCGGAATTTGGAAATCTTTTGAGTTCCAACGACTTGACTTGGTGTTCTTTGTGGGGGCACTTGCCTTGTTTTCCTCACTGCAAACATGGAAATCAACAACAAAAAATAAAATTACATTCTATAATTATCTCCCCTGTAATTTGAGTATTTTAGTATTTTATGAACAGGAGACTGGACGATCGAATAGATAGCCAAATCGACCTGAAGTTTCCTGACGTTAAATCGGACTGATTTTGATTCTTAATTCGACCTAATAAAGCAATCTTGGTTTGTTAAATCAGAGACACACCAAAAGAAAAAAAATACTTTCGCGCAATTTAATCCAAGGGTGATGAATATCAAAACTGAATTACGCCGCATTCCAGAAAATAACATTGTCACCATTTACCCCATACACATCCCTCACCCCCTTTGTTCTACTGTTCTAGCTAGCTGTTGTAATTTGTATTCGATATTAATTTAAAGATACATTATGGGAGATTCGGTAACGAGTTGCCAGTTCTCACTATAATAGTTAAAAACTAGATAATGTAAAGGCAATTTGGTGAAAATTTCATTCAAATTGATCCACTATGAACCGAGAACTAAGCGACTGAAATTCCCATAAGCCTCGGTCATCATTACTAAAGTCAGTACGGTAAACAGCATAGTCTCGATTATCCATTTAATCGTTTAATCGAGAAGGAAAGTTATGCAGTAAATCGGCTTACAATCCACTAAAGATCGCAGGCTAGCTCTGCCATCTAGGGTTGATTATGGCCTGGATAGGTTAATTAATGTCTAATTAATAATTTAGATAACATTTCAGGCCTAAAGAAAGACCTGAAATAGGCAGATTTAGCTCTTGCATAATGTATGTTTAAATAAAAAAAAAAGTTAATTGGATTTCACAGAAAAAATTAAAGATGCCTTCCGTACGTGTAGGCCTACACTGTTATTTGATGTGGACTAAAACATTCAAATTGATTTTTCTATCAATAGTTGCTTCTAATCCCTCTCAAAACATTTTGATCGAAAGAAAATATCACGGGCTGTAAAATAGTATTCAAGGCATCCTTGTTTGTCATGTGACTTGATTGGGGGAGATCTATTTTCAGTTTGTGAAGTTTCTCGTTGTTCGCTGCCCATATGCCATAAATATCGAAGTCTAATAGAGAGAGAGAGAGAGAAATGGGGTTTAACGTCCACTCGACACAAACTAGGTCATTTCGGGACTAACATATGGTTTAATTTTATTTCAATAATTCGCTTGAGCGTAGGGGTCTTTAGCAGTGGGAGCGAAGTCTAATAGTTTAGCGTCCACTCGGCACATAGGTCATTTCAGGATCACATAACATAATATGCTTTAATTTTATTTCAATAGTTCGCTTCCGCGTATAGGGGTATTTAGCAGTCGAAGGAAACTCCCACGTAAAGCCATACATTATTGTTCTACTGTTAGGAGATTCGGTATTTTTTTTGTAAGATTGAGTGTCTCTACTTCCATATACAGGCTATATCAAATTTGCCATACATTTTTGGGGAAACAGCTACCTTTCGTGGAAATGCATCTGCATGCATGATATGCGACAACTTTACTTTCTCGGCATCATTTAACAAAACCTCGAAATGGTTCCACTATTATACTGATCATCTTCCGCCTTGCTCCAGAGTCATTTCATGACAAAATCAGAAGTTGCCATGCAAGATACGCCCACATTTTGCAAGAGATGGCTAGAGAAAAAGCTTACCCCCCCCCCCCCGTAATTTTTCGTACAATCAGGGGCCATAATTCAGGAAGTTATGGTCTGAAATGCGCGAATATATAAAGAAATGAACGGGGGTCTTTTGGAAATAAACCTATATTCGTCAAAATCGGACGAAAATATTGTGACCTGTAGAGTGTCCAAAAACAAATTGTGGTCTGACGGACAGGGGCGACGACAATATACGCCCACATGAATGTGAGCGTATATAAAAAGTATACTGGCCTATAACCCTCTTAATTTCCAATTTAACTGACCCCAAACTGTACTCATAGCCTAACATAAATAAACCAATTCCCATTGAAATAAAGGTGAAACCTAACCACATAAATTCATAAATTTTGAAATGGCCGCCAGACCAGAATTCGAACACGCACGTCGTGATTAAACATCACTTCGAAAATGTAGAAGAAATGTTTCGGTAACTATTTCAGTGTTCCGCTCTTCACCATTTGTAACATAATTACTTATTTCCATGCAAACTGTGATGCTATGTGTTGAGAATTTTGCATTAAAGCTATTTTTACTTGCGGAAAGCTTCAAAGAGTGTATCAATTATAGCGGCGAACAATGTTACATTAAATATCTGTATATTGTGTATTTTACCTTTTTAGGCCTAGGCCTACTTGTAAAACTGCGATAGGCCTAGCCTACTGAGGTCGCTTGTTTTTGCTGTAATCAAGCATCCGTTAGGCGTGATCGCCAATTACAACTTGTAAACATGCACTGGTGACCTATAAAACAATGATCATATAACAAAAAAAAGGATCATGTTAAGCTACGTGAATAATAGTTGGACTAAATTGTATTTGGCGAGTTAGTCAGTTAGTATTTTTAGTATTTGGGCGATATATCCCACAGGGGGCGCTTATCTTGGGAAGGCGGAAGTGGGTGGAATTTGCTGATAAGACTCCATTACTTTGTGCAGCAAAACGAGATACAGTAGAGGAACGAGGTAGCGCACGAAACCACAAACGTGGTGAAGTAATTCATTGTTTTAACAGTACGTTTTGTTATTACCTTTTTTGTGTATTTACTGGCAGTGCGGCCCCACTGACTGACCTAGTTCAATTGATAGTAAATTACTTCCGTCTTGAACTGGTTACAGATTACAGAATCAATCTGAATCTAGGCCAAACATACGCATCACCAGCATGATGGCCTATCCAACCAAATCTTGACAAATGTGTAATTTTTTATTTATGGTCGCAGAGCCATTATTGGCTGGTTTCATCATTTAGGATTTTAATGATGTGAAGCAGCACCATTTTCATTTTAAATTAGCCTACCGACCCTGTAATTTGTAATTCTTCCGACGCCTTGACTGGCTTCAGTCTTCAGAATAACTTCAATAACTAAGTGAAAAAGCAAGTTTATGATACCGGTCGGTATATTTCCTGAAATTCAGTCAGAAACATTGCTTTTAAGTTCATGTGTGGTTTTTTATTGGCCAAGAAAATCTTGTAAATTTTATTTTTAGATGATTAATTAATCTGTGAATGTCTTTTAACTGTATTAGGCTATTAATGTCTTTATAATTTATTCCGAATTTAAAAAGAAAATATCTTATTTAATATTCGAGATTTGAACATTAAATCATTAAAGGAATTATCTTTTTCAGATATTTGTAAATTAATATGGGTCGTTCGAGGAGTCGTTCAAGAAGTAGAGGAAGACATAATTACAACAGAAGCTATAGCCGAAGTCGAAGTCGTAGTCGAAGTTACAGTCCTTATGAAGAAGGTCACAGAGTCCACGTTGCTGATCTTGGGTTAAATCCATCTAAACCAGATGTAATTGAAGTATTCGAAAAATTTGGACCAATTACGGAAGTGTGGGTTGCTAGAAATCCGCCTTGTTTTGCATTTGTTGTATTTAGACATCGAGAAGACGCTGAAAAATCTGTAAGAGAAGTTGATGGAAAGTATATGTAAGTATTTTATTTTAAGTCTTTCCATTTTTTGCAGATTCTACCTCAATGTCCTGAAAAAAAAATCTAAATCACTAGCCTAAAAGTTGAAATGGAAATAAGACACTTGTTTATTGATAAAAGATTTACATACGAATATGTGCAATTTTCTTTTTAAGAGCTGTATTTGGAAGCAGAATAAGGGCATCTTTTGCCAGACCAAGAACAAGGGGTAAAAGGAGAAAAGGAGGTTTTGATCCAAACCTGCGTTGTTATCAATGTGGTGAGAGAGGTCATTTTTCAAGAGATTGCGCAGAAGTTTGGAGGCAAAGACGAAGAGAGAGAAGTCGGTAGGTCAAGATTGAAGCATTTATTTTACTGGGATTATAGCTCCAAATATGAAATGCATAATATTTGTCAAGTCTGAATAAAGGGTCAACAAACCAGAATAAAATAAAACATTCTAAAAATATCATTCTGCAAAGCTTTTCATTCAACTTTCAAGCTAAGGAATTTTTTATCATTTTTGATTACTTGATTTATATAACATCAAAGAATTGCTGAATTAGTGAAAACAAAAGAAACCTGTTTACTGTTCATTGACCCAAATCTGCAGAAAACCATGCAAGACAGATTTTTAGGAAATGGGTAATAGAATAAGTGAGGGTTAGAGATTTTGGTTCTGTGGTACAGTTGGCGGTTGAGTTACCATGTAGTCGTATCTTAGTCTACATATTTTCAATCATTTATGTACCATCTGGTTTGTTGCTCCTTTAAAAGAACCAATGAAAATCTATTTTATGAACTGACCTGTGTTTTTGACTGTTTCCTAAAGTCAACGTTCATAAAAAGCATGTTTCATCAGAGTACACAGTAAACTATTTATGTATTTCTATTTGTTTTTGCATTGTAAGCCCACCAATATTCTTCTACTTCATTTTCATTATCATTCTGATAATTTTGGAAAAAATTCTACTAAAATAGTAATCTAATACTTAGCTGTTGATGAGTATTTAATTTATCATTTTATCTTATTCTCGATAGTAATTGCTTATCTAAGTTGAATAGGAAATTTCTCTATTTCTCTCTGAATATTTATAATATGTAAGCTTACATGTATTTCAATTTTAAAATATCTTGCTTCTTCAAATAATAGACTTACAATTTTTATGTTCAATTAGAAAAGTAGCAGCGTAAGTTTAAAGTAATCAATTCATCCTCCCCTTACCCCTGTATTTAAAAAGAAACCAGGAGTATAAAATTATACCGAATTTGACCATATAGTTGTAGTGTTGGATAAATCGCAATCCAATTTACATGTAGCCTTATGTTTGAATGATTTTGAGGTACTGGCAATCCTGATATATTTTGTATGGTTTAATGGGTGTCTAAAAATATATCAGATACAGGAATTGGGATGAAAATATTCCTCAGAGGTTTTTTGTTACATCAATGAATTGATATAATTTTGTAGTTAGCTATCCTTTACTTTACTACCATTCTTCTCTTACACATTCCTAACTATGAAAAAGTATTCTTGTCTATGTAGATTTCAGGTTAAATTAATTGCTTTAAAGTAATTTTTTAAAAATTAATCTGATCTAGAACATTGTATTTTAATTTTCAAAAAATATATATGGAAAATTAAGACATGAAATTAAAAGAATTTTTTTTCCAGACTGCATGTGCATGTTTTTCAATTTCCTTTTGGTTTATTTTTTACTGAAACAATAAAGAAAAGTATGGAAATAGACTTTTTCAAATTGGCAATGAAGCTATCTGTAGATATTGATTTTAAGATCACTGAAATACTCTCCATTTGGTTATATAGTATTCATTTCTAGACTAACCATGTAGTCAGTAACATCTGTCAAATTTCCAAGCTGTTGACTAAATAAAGTAGATACATTTGATATATTTAGCTATATTATATTTAAGGAAGCAATAATTATTTTCCAAATCACCCATAGAGTATAGACCTGAAAATAACTTTGTTACACATAAAATCAAAATCAAAATATCAATTAAGAACTGTGAAAAACTGTCCACTATCTTTTGATTAGGTAAAATGGTTTGGTTTGTTGAGTGGAAAGTGGTGAAGGGATTAGGTAATGGTTAGTATGGTCTGGTGCCATCTAATTGGTAAACAGATGGAGTTCCATGGCCATGGGTCTCTGTGTGCAGACCCCATGGAAACAAAATGGTCCCATGGGAATTAAAGTGGTGGACTGTTGTGAGATATTGGATGTGTATGTTCTGATTGGTCGTCATGTTTTGTTTGATTTATGATAAATGATCAGAGAAGGGCTGTCAAGGTATGTATTCTCTCTGTGTGCCGATTCAAGCGAGGAGCTCAAGGAAACACATACCAGTCCACATAATTGACCATCTTGAATATAGTCTTTTGAGTTAATTAACTTTTTTTTTTTCAGATCCCAAAATTCAGACATGTATATAATTTCAGATCGATAAATATCTTGCAGTGTACGTGATATATGATGATTTATCTCACTGCTAGCTACTATACAATCATTTTTTGCAGATAACAGACAATCCATTTATACCTGTAATATATTAAGTCATATATTAGACCTACTGGTATAAAGAAGTATAACAGGAGTATTAATAATATATTAGTAATTCAACTCCTTGAACCGTGTATTTTCAACTTAATTAAGCCTAAATCTTTTGTGAATTCTGTTTAACAGACCTGCCACAAATCTGCTAACCATCAATAAGACAATTCAAGTAAATGTACAACCAGAAAAGTAGAATAGTTTTTGTTATTCTAACAGAAATTTCATTGAAATATTGTTTTGGATTTCCGGGTCCTTATTATCTGACACAAAAGAAAGTTGAGGATGGATACTGAAATTGGCTGTGACCCTCTTGATTTTGTTTTTGGAGCATCTCTCATAAAACTGGTCAAGATTTATTTATACTTTGTACACACATAAGCCTATTTTAATAGTTGTGCATTTTACCCATTAGAAATTCCTTGATTTAAAAAATCTTGTGTTTCCATTGAAACAAATTCATGTGCAGTTTTTATGCTGGAGCATATTTCATCAACCTTAAAAATATGCACACTCATCAAACTAGACGTGGGTATGCCATTTGCTATTTTCATCTTTTTTTTTGTCCACCCTGCAGAGACAAGCAATTTGTAAGCAGTTTGAGCTCTTATATGGTTACAAAAAGATACATGAGCAAGTAATTACTGAATGTCCTCTATTTATTTCAAAATTGAGGCCAGGACAATAACGGTTGGCTTGTTATTTCAGTTAAATGACCACTGTTTCCAAATTTCCATAGAAAAAAGTTTTTGGTAAACAATTATTATTCTGGAGCATATCTCAATAAACTTTCCAATGCATGTAACTTTATCAGCCTAATAGTATTATAATAGTTGGGTCATTTGCTAATTTAAAAATCTTCAGTTGAATAATTTATGTGTTTGTATGGTAACACATTTAACATTGTGTTTGGTATTGTTTACTATTCTGGAGCATACAATATCTCTGAAATTATGAAATTTTGTCTTCAACATATCTATAATTGAATTGAACCTATATCTTTACGCAGTCTTTTGATATTTTGATAGGATACAAATGATGGTGATAGTTTGTAATTAAACTTCATTACATTATGTATATCCACTAGAACCAGGTAGCATAATAAAGATGCCTGATACTATTTGTTATACCTCTTTCAACTAGTACTGCACATGATTGTTTATTACCAATAACAGAGGTTGTTTATCCTTGTACCTACATGTACCAAAACATTCCAAGTCTTCTTGATACAATAGTCTTCGTGCTATATTGCCGTTTCCCCGTATTTACGTCCGTCGTCCACAATATCTTGTGAACACTTGATATACTACATTTATCATCTGATTGTTTTGAAATTGATATGTCGTTTACATCAGTGGGATGAAGAAGCCTATTTAATTTCAATAAAATCCTTTAATTTCTTCTGGAGCTGTGGCCTTATTTCACTTTGTTGAACCTTGTGAATACTCTGACAACAAAGGGTATCATCCGATCTATATGAAATATATATGATGTATCATTTATTTTAGTGAAACAAATAAGCCTATTGAATTTTATCAATTAGATTAGTGAATATCATCAATTTCCATTAATTTTTTTCTAGAGTTATGGGCCTTATTTCACTTTGTTATCCTCTGATCTGTATGAAATTTATATATATGCATCATATATGCATCATAGTAAAACAAAGAATCATATTGTATTTCAGCAATTTCTGTTAGTTTCTTCTTGAGTTATGGCCCTTTTTTTCACTTTGTTGCACCTTGTGAATGCCACAACGACAAAATTTATCATCTGATCTGTTTGATATTGATATATCTTGTTTACATCAGTGACACGAAGCAGCATATTGAATTTCAGCTATTTCCCATAATTACTTCTGGAGTTTTGGCCCTTGTTTCACAAACGTTATCATCTGATCTGTATGAAATTTATACGCATCATTTAAATTACTACTGACCTGAAGAATTTCAGCAATTTCCAATAATTATATCTAGATTTATCGCCCTTGTTTAACTTTTGTTGAAGCTTGTGAACATTCGAATGATAAGTTATCATCTGATTTGTATGTAATTTATATGCATTATTTAAATTTGTGAAACGAAGAATCCTATTGAATTCCAGCTATTTCCAAATATTACTTGTAGAGTATGGTCCTTGCTTCACTTTGTTGAACCTTGTGAAGGCTTGAATGATGAAAGTTATTATCCGATCTGTATGAAATTTATATATATTTAGATTAGTGAAATAAAGAAGCCTAAATAATCTCAGCAATTTTCGTTATTTACTTCTAAATTTATGGCCCTTGTTTTATTTTGTTGAACTTGAGAACTCAAATGACAAAATTTATCATCGTATCTGTATGAAATTTGCATCATTTGAATTAGTTAAACGAAAAAGCCTGTTGAATTTCAACAATTTCAGTAAATTACTTCCAATTTGTGGAACCCTCAAGTCAAATGATGAAAATTATAATCTGTATGAAATTGTCCTGTAAATGTCCCCAATTATTTACAAAAGAATAAATATCTGACAACCCTTGTCAACCGCTCGGACGATGTAGCTACTGTGGGTGTATATGCGAACGGTCAAAATTAACGGCGTCGTTTGCGTCTGCTTAATCCATTCTAGCATAGTAAGCTAAACGTATTAAGTCAAAACGGGTAATATATATTGCTTAAGTCATACTGAAAGTGTTAAATTAGGACCTATACTACAAAATATGTGACCTCCGCTTTTGGTTAATTTTACTGCACAGCGTTAATATTTCAGTTCATTTCTAATGGTTATTTTAGTTATCATCAGGTGTTTGATTTCAAGAATGTTAATAAGTGACATGGGGAGTTTCCAGACGGACAAAATTGAATTTGAATGATTTGAGTATACATTCCCGGGTGATTTGATGATATATTTGGACTAAAAACATATTCAAACTAATTAATTTATCATAATTTTGCTTCAAATCCTTCTCAGCGATCAAAAGGGGGCATGTTTGTGTCACGGCACCTAGCAATGGGTGCGAAGTCGGAGGAGAATTCATTGCATACACAAGATGATGTTATTAGTCGCTGACTATTTATTACAAATATCGAAGCCTAATTAAATTCTCGGATTATTCACTCTGCCCGCGTCTTTTTCCATGATTTTTATCTCTGAAAGTGCTGTGCGTCTAACTCTTCATGAATTTTATCCACATGCACATCAAGCGCTCCATCTCCGCGTGCAACCTTTGACGTCATGCATGCAGACACTCCTAATCGTTGACCTTGATTAGTCCTGTATGAGCTCCACAAGTGTTTTTCAGGGAATCCATTATTTTTCCATCAAAATTGGATATTTCTACTTTCCATGTATACCAAAATTGCCATTCTTTTGTTGGAAGTATCTTTAACAGAAATGAAGATCATACAAAATATAATAAGTCTTGCACTATTTGATATCCTCTGTTACACATATATCTCCTCTTGTCACTTTATATTGAAGGAGCCATCCAAGATTTCACAGGCATGAATACAACTACAGTGTACTAGTAGTTTTATGTGTGGGTAAATTGAACACTTAAAGCTTCCACACAGAATTAACCAGTTTTATTCACTAAAATATTTTTGGGGTGGCTACTTTATGGATAAATTTTGCAATATTTTTGTTTGTTTTGAGACAGGCTTTTTTTTGGCCCCGCCTTTCCAAGAAAGCAGGGGACTATTAAAATGGGTTTGTCAGTCTGTCCGTCCATCTGTCTGTCCATCCATCTGTCTGTCCGTCATACTTTTTGGGACAAAATAACTCGTTCTAATTGAGCTAGAATGTTCAAACTTGGTGTAGGTGTTGATTAGGTCAATGCCTTGATGGAGTTCGAAGATGAGCATTTTCTGCCTAGGGTAAGCAGAGATAAGCAATTTGATTGGTTGATGCTTTGGGACAAGATAACTTTAGTTCTAATTATGTGAAAGTGAGGACACTAATTGGTGTATAGCTTTTTTTACCTCAATACCTTGACTAAGTTCGATAATGAACATTTTCTGCTCGTGGTAAGCAGAGCGATAAGCAATTTGATTGGTCGAGACTTTGGAACACAATAACTCTCATTCTAATTGAGCTAGAATGTTCACACTTGGCGTAAGTGTTTATTAGGTGAATGCCTTGATGGAGTTAGATGAGAATTGTCTGCTTAGAGTAATCAGAGATAAGCAGTTTGATTGGTTGATGCTTTGGGACATGATAACTTTAGTTCTAATTAAGTGAGAGTGGGGACACTTGGTGTAAGCAGAGCGATAAGCAATTTGATTGGTCGAGACTTTGGAACACAATAACTCTCCTAATTGAGCTAGAACATTTTCTGCTCAGGGTAAGCAGAGCGATAAGCAATTTGATTGGTCGAGACTTTGGAACACAATAACTCTCTTAATTGAGCTAGAATGTTCCGACTTGGTGTAGGTGTTTATTAGATGAATGCCTTGGAGTTCAAAGATGAGAATTTTCTGCTTAGGGTAAGCAGAGATAAGCAATTTGATTGGTTGATGCCTTTGGGACAAGATAACTTTAGTTCTAATTAAGTGAGAGTGAGGACACTAATTGGTGTATAGCTTTTTTTACCTCAATACTTTGACTAAGTTCGATAATGAACATTTTCTGCTCGTGGTAAGCAGAGCGATAAGCAATTTGATTGGTCGAGACTTTGGAACACAATAACTCTCATTCTAATTGAGCTAGAATGTTCACACTTGGCGTAAGTGTTTATTAGGTGAATGCCTTGATGGAGTTAGATGAGAATTGTCTGCTTAGAGTAAGCAGAGATAAGCAATTTGAATGGTTGATGCTTTGGGACATGATAACTTTAGTTCTAATTAAGTGAGAGTGGGGACACTTGGTGTATGTAGTTTTATCACATCAATACCTTCACTAAGTTCCATAATAAGCATTTTCTGCTTAGGGTAAGCAGAGCGATAAGCAATTTGATTGGTCGAAACTTTGGAACACAATAACTCTCCCTGGTTGATGTAAAAAGTTCAAACTTGGTGTAGGCGTTCATTAGGTGAATGCCTTGATGGAGTTTGATGATAAACATTGTCTGCTTAGGGTAAGCAGAGATAAGCAATCTGATTGGTTGATGCTTTGGGGCCAATAACTTTGTTTTTAATTAAGTGAGAGTTGATGAAACTCTGAGTATAGATTCATTATATCATTACCATGACTAGGTTTGATGATAATTTTCTGCTTAAGCTAAGGATCGATAAGCAGTTTTATTGGTCAAGACTTTGGAACATAACAACTCTGCTTTTAATTGAAGTAGACTGTTTGAACTTGATGTTCATTAGGTGAATGTCTTGACTGAGTTCAATGATTAACATTTTGAGCTAAAGCTAAACAATTTTATTGGCCGATGCTTTGTTACCAGATAACTTTGATTCTGTCTGATAGAGAGTGATGAAACTTGGTGTATAGTTGATAATCGGATTGATTGCTTGATACATTTGAAAAAAAATAAATGTGTGATTAATTAATGTGTCATCTATTTATTTTGGGATTTCGGCGAGGGACATCAGCCTCACTGTTGGCTTTTTTTTTTTTTTAAATCATGCTTTTATTTTATTGCAGTTAAATGTTGAATTGTGTAAATACTAAATTTTCCTAAACCAAGCTATCATATATTTTCAGCTCTCGATCAAGGTCAAGATCTCGTTCAAGGTCAAGAGGAAGAAGAGATAGAGATCGACGAAGACCTGGTCGTAAATCCAGAAGCCGTAGTCGCAGCAAGAGTCGTAGTAGAAGCAGGAGCAGGTAAGAGTGAGTTTGATTCAATAGCATTAAACTTATTTCCTTCCATTAGACATATTTTTGTAAATTTTGCTTTAGATCCTGAATTAGTATGTACAGTATAGAGTTACAGAATTATTAAGCATTATTTAGGAATTAGTTTTAATTTTTGTATCTTTTATTTTAGGAGCAGAGATAAGCGACGACAAAGTGACGACAAATCAAGGAAACGGAAATATTCAAATTCCAAGTCACGATCTAGATCAAAATCAAAGTCACCAAGGAGAGAAAAAAGTGGAGAGAAAGATGTAAAGGAAAATCCAAGTGACAAAGAGGATATACCTATGGATGATACAGAAGGAAAATGGAAGACGGTTGATGCAGATGAAATTGGAATTGGAATTAAAAATGATCAAGCATCGGATAATGATAGAAGTCCATCTGCAGCACAGGACGAGTCATTTGATTAACTTTAACATACAGACTAGTTGTGGCATAATTAGAAACTAGCAAGTCCTCATTTCATATTAAAATCAAACTCGCATCATCATTGATATAAAAATCATATCCATTATACATTTATATATCCCATTTTATGTTTTTCAGACAATGATAACTTTGAAATTGCTTACATACATGTAGCTTGCAGTTTATCAATGATGATTTTAAGTTGATAAAGGCAACCTTATTATTTCATTTTCAAAGGTTTTCAGCATCCTACCATTCCAAGATGATCTTTTATCACCCATAAAATGGTTTAAGACATGCCTATACGGTGCCCTATAATTCTACAAAAAGGAAATCTACAAAAAGGAAAGGAAAATTGAGAATAATTCTGAAGCCTTTTTCAAATCAAATCATGTTCTCAAAATAACAGGAGAAATAGTATGTGGTGATGTCCATTGTTGATATTTACCCATTAGATTTTATAAGTCCGGTGACTTATTTCCGTCAAGAAAGTGCAAGTTTGTTTCAGGTTATCATAGCTTTTTATTTGCCTTCTCTTTAAAATTTGGTGTCCAAGTATTAAAGATGGTTACAATTTGAAATTGTAAATTAAATATCATTTTACTTTTCAAATTTTATTTTTTAAAACACATTCTGGGAAAACTCTATGAATTTTAGAGCATAGTTAGTAACAAATACTCTCCTTCATTAATTTTATTTGACCATATTGAGGACCAAACTAGTGTACAACAGTGTAATCATTTAGTTTTGAATATAACAGCTATATATTTGAAAAACATGGGTAAATAAAACTAAGTGAAGGTAAATCTGACAACATTCATAAACTGTATATGGATGAATTGAATAAGTGGTGGATTTTATTGCATGATGAAATGAAGTGTGCTTATTTGGTTAAAGAAGGTGAAATTCAGAGAAATTTTTTACAGAGTGATACTTTGCTTATAATGGTTCAATTATTTTAATATGATCGTCATGTTTTTGTCTTGTATTATAACTGCTCTGAATGATATTAAATATTATGGTTGATGTATGTTACATTTAAATGTTAAAATTCAGTGACAGCTACTAATTAATCCTTAAAAGAAATACATTCATGTAATTTAATGAAGTTACTGTCAAAATTAACAAATTACTGAAACTATGGGAAATCCTAGAATAACACTATTCCTGAAGCAATCACTGACCATGGCTACATCAGATGGCAATCATGTGGGATCGCTCTATTATAGAATTTACGTCACTGGATAAATGTTATTGCAGTTGTGTTTGTGGTGTATTTAAAAAGTTTTGTTAACATCTGAATATTATGATTATAAAAACATGATTTGAAATAAAAGCCTGTGTTATTATTTAAACATACATTATGCAAGAGCTAAATCTGCCTATTGCAGGTTTTTCTTTAGGCCTGAAATGTTATCTAAATTATTAATTAGACATTAATTAACTTATCCAGACCATAATCAACTCTCGATGTCAATGCCAGCCTGCGATATTTACTGGATTACGATCAAATTTGCTGCGCAACTTTCATTCATAGGCTTGGCCGAAAATTCAATCTCTAAAATCTCAGTTCAGAGTGGATCAATTTGACCGAAATTTTCAGCAAATTCCCTTTACATTATCTTGTTTTTAACTAAGTGAGAACTGCCAGCTCTTTATCTAATCTCCCATAATTTATCTTTAATCTTCCTAATGTAGAATGAGGTTATGGATTCATCTTGCTGTACAAGTAGAAGTTGTAAATTACAACTTTACATGATCTAATTAATATGGAATGCAATGTTGGATAAACCTGTGGTTCATTTTACCACACTGTAAGACATCTTATAAATTATTACACACTATGCATATATGACAAATTATACAGATCGGGGGTAGTTCAACCATGGCACATGCAACATAAAATCACTTGCATGGGAAGTCTTCAGATCCCGGGTAGTTAGTTCAACCATGCCAACAGACGATGCAAGTGTGATCTCTATAGGGTCCACAACCTTGATATACCATATTTTTACGCTAGTTGAGAACGAACGGCGGCCATTTTGTCTGTCAATTTTGGGCCGATTTTCACAAAATTCAAACTCAGTCGTCCTTATGGTGTAACGGTGATATCTTTATTCGATTTTGTTGAAACTTGAAATGTAAGTTTATAACCCAAAGATCTCGGCTCCTTTCGATATTCGCGCATATCAGACCGTAACTTCCTGAATTATGGCCCCTGATTTTACGGAAAATCGCGTTTTTAGCTTGTGGACCCTATAGAGGTCATACTTTTTATCCGATTTAAAAAAACGTACTATTATATTACCGTTACACCCTAAGGACGACTGAGTTCGAATTTCGTGAAAATCGGCCCAAAATTGACAGACAAAATGGCCGCCGTTCGTTCTCAACTAGCGTTAAAATATGGTATATCAAGGTTGTGGACCCTATAGAGGTCACAATGTTTATCCGATTTTGTTGAAACTTGAAATGTAAGTTTATTACCCAAAGATCTCGGTTCCTTTCGATATTCTTGCATATCGGACCGTAACTTCCTGAATTATGGCCCCTGATTGTACGAAAAATCGCGTTTTTATCTTGTGGAGCCGTAGGGTGACCCACCATAAATAAATATCTCCATATATCTCCATATATCTCGACAATTACGCCACAATATTTATATATATGCCAAGCCTCAAATCAGTTTCACACAATTATAGTCACTAAATAAACGATCATGTTGTACTTAATAAGCTATGACCATTAATCATCTATAAATAATAGACTGAAAACTGGTTCCAAGTGTCGTTCATAACATCCAGACACTTTTGAGTAAAAGATAGGTTACGTGCCCTTGTTTTGAAATTAGTCTCGCTTAACCAGGCTATCGACCATTCTACGTCTGATTGACAGGTCGGGATAATCAAGACTACTTTTTTACGAAACATAACAGAAAGCTAGAACAAGAAATTGAATTTAGAAATAAGCACGTTAGGTAGCTCAACAATCGTTTTAAGAATCTTGTAAAAGTAAAATGAAACTACTGCTAGTATCATGTTCCTGTCTAACCCGAGTGATTCAGAGATATTATTTGTACTAAACCAAAAGATGCCGCTCTTAACGGTACAATTAATGATAAATCGATTTAAAAAATGAAACGAACGTAATTTCTAAATCTGCTGTAATAACCAAGAAGCTTTATTTCACTGCTATTCAAAATCGTCAACAATAATTTTTTTACGGCTGTAATAGTTGATAGATTTGTAGAGAATTGCACGTGCCATGGCTATTTATAGTATCATACTGTCAGAAAGTTGGTCTCGGCACGGCGAATGTGCACGCTTCAGTGGTAGTCTCGAACTATCAGCGGTGGACTGTATTTCTGTAGAGTACATGGGTCACCCTACGGACGACTGGGTTCGTATTTCGTGAAAATCGGCCCAAAATTGACAGACAAAATGGCCGCCGTTCGTTTTCAAATAGCGTAAAAAATATGGTATATCAAGGTTGTTGACACTATAGAGGTCACAATTTTTATCCGATTTTGTTGAAACTTGAAATGTAAGTTTATAACCCAAAGATCTCAGTTCCTTTCGATATTCGCGCATATCGAATATCAGCGGTGGACTGTATTTCTGTAGAGTACATGGGTCACCCTAATAGAGGTCATAATTTTTATCCGATTTAAAAAAAACGTATTATTATATCACCGTTACACCCTAAGGACGACTGAGTTCGTATTTCGTGAAAATCGGCCCAAAATTGACAGACAAAATTGCCGCCGTTCGTTTTCAAATAGCGTAAAAATATGGTATATCAAGGTTGTGGACCCTATAGAGGTCACAATTTTTATCCGATTTTGTTGAAACTTGAAATGTAAGTTTATAACACAAAGATCTCAGTTCCTTTCGATATTCGCGCATATCGAATTGTAATTTCCTGAATTATGGCCCTTGATTGTAGGAAAAATCACTTTCTTGTTAGCTTGTTCTCTATCCATCTGTCGAAAATGTGGGCGTATCCTGCCTGGCAGCCGCTGGTTAGTTACGTTCTCGTAGCTAAATTAACCAGTGCATAGCAGAATATTGTAAACAATACTGTTTGGAGAAGAATATACTTTCACTGTTTTAAACACCTTGAATCAATATCCAAAGTTTTAGGGAAGACACCAGATTAAACAAAGGGCTGTCAAGTTGCTGTACTTGGGATAGATTTGATTGAACACGAAGAATAGACACACTCCCTCAAAAGCTCAAGTATCAGAAGCCAATCCAGCAATTGCCAAAGAGGGAATTCTCGGGCCACTGCTTCAGGAATATGCTGTATTTTTTTTAGAACAGGTGGGAATAAGAGCTGTATGCTATATGTGCAAGTGATTAATGAGTCGTTTACTTATTTTGGGATTAGGGCAGGGGGTCTTTCCTGTGGGAGGAAACCGGAGTACGGCGAGTAAACCCACGAGGTTGAGAAGGCACCCGTATCTCCATGTGACATTTGCTCTCATCAGCGATTGAAATTGCGACCACAAGCCAGAGGTGACCAGCCAGCTAGAGCTCCAAGCACAACAGTCTAGAACAATCCCATCCCCCCCAGAAGTGATTAATGACATCAACCTCACTGTAGGCTTGTTAGAAAACAAATTATAAAACACATCTTTAATTTTTATTATTAAAAATCAATATATTCTAACATTTATGTAATTTTGTCCCTTGATGCTGGTACCCTCTTAAAGGGGCAATAACACTCTTGCTGGCTTGAAAGCTCCAGAAAATAAATAATATCTCTATCTAAGTACTAGATGTTTAAGTGTCCTACCTGTTGTGTAAATTATCCATTACATTCTATTTTACTTGTCCAGAGGGTTCGAAAATATTTTTAAATCGAAGTTTCATTTGAAAAGGTTTACGTTAGACGTTTCAAACCATTATGTTGAATTTTTCAAAATTTTTAAATAAGGTGTGTTAAGATGAAATTTGTATCATCAATTAATTGAAATATTCTAAAATAGTACAATTTGTTGACCAGAATAAAGATTGGGACATATTATTCAGTTACAACAAGAGTGGTATTGAGCCTTTAACTGATAACATCACACTTGATGTGATCAGACCACTGATGAAAATGATTTCACTTACTTACAATCAAGAAATTACGTAAAAGCTTTTCAGTTATATTACCATTTTTAAATATTATAAACCTTGAATATTCAAATGAATACCTTTTAACTATTTGATAGAAAGAATGGGGAACAAAATGAGTGGAAATATAAAGAGTTGAAAACAAATATAAACTAAGGTGCTGATTGTTCTTGTGCATGGGAGGAAGAAGAATCTTGAGGCTTCATTACATCTGGTAGTTCTGGTGGATTAGATAATGGTGTTATATCCAAATTATCAAATTCTCCATCTGAAAGAAAGAAAAAAAACTTTTCACAATTAAAAGGAATATTTTGAACAGAATCTTTGATAAATGTTGCAGAGGAAGTTCCTAAATGAGCAAGTAGCTTAGACATGTATTTAGCAACATTATAAAAAAACTGAATCTCGTGAACAGACTAATAATCTGGCCTTAATCGTGTTTTTGTGATTTTTGATAGTGGCTCGGGCGTATGTGTGGGTAGCTTTCAACTAACAGTGATATATTCGCACGTTTTTTTGTAAATCGGATAATAATTGTGACCTCTAGAGGGACCACAAGCTAAAAACGCGAAATTCGAACTCAACCGTCATAATGGTGATATATTCAAACGTTTCTGTTTTACATCACAATTTATTGTGACCTCTTGAGGGACCACAAGCTAAAAACGTGATTTTTTGTACAATCAGGGGCGATAATTCTGGAAGTTATGATCCGTTATGCACAAATATCGAAAGGAAACAAGACCTTTGGGCTTAAACGTGCATTTTAAGTTTCATCAAAATCGGATGAAAATTGTGACCTCTTAAGTGTCCACAAGCTAAAAACATGATTTTTCGTACAATCAGGGACCATAATCCATTTAGTTTCATCCTGATAGGCCTACATGCCAATATTGAATGGAACCGAGAACTTTCTTCAAAATCTAATAAAATTTGTGACCTGTAGAGTGTCCACAAACAAATTGTGGATGGACAGACGTCAATATACTTCCACATGAAAATGTGGGCGTATAAAAAACAAAAATTATGTGTATATATTGGCATGCACATTTTTTAATGAACACTTGACAGTTGAAATTCAATGAAAACTAGGACTAGGTGTTGTTTTTTTTATTATTTATTATTTAAAGATAGGTTGCCAGGCAACGAAACATACGCCCACAGCAGCTAAATCGTCCGGGCAGTCAACAAGAGTTGTCGCATATTTTTACTTTTTTCGGTAATGAAACATTTATAATACACTAAAATCTGATTAAGAGCAACAAATCAGAAAACCATTAGAATTTGTTTGGTTTTTATAAAGTTCTGCCCCATGCTAACGTTTTGTATACAAAACTTTTAATACTGTATCATGGATTTAGCTGTTCCAAGTCATAAAAATTCATTGAAAATCAATATACTTGTTCGTCTCAAGATCTTAAACTCTGTGTATCAATCTGAAGTCAATCGGATATTAACTTTGTCCTCTAGAGCGTCCACAAGATTTTTCAAAGTGATCAAGGGCAATAACTTTGGCAGTAATTATCAGAAATCTTTGAAAATCAATAGGATTCTTCGCCTCGTGACCTCAAACAGTGTGTATAAATTTAAAGTCAATCAGATATTAACTTTAGCCTTTAGAGCATCCACAAGGTTTTTTGAAGTGATCAAGGGCTATAACTCTGGCAGTAATTATCGAAAATCACTGAAAATGAATAGGCTTCTTCGTCTCATGACCTTAAACACTGTGTATAAATTTAAAGTCAATCAAATATTAACTTTAGACTCTAGAGCGTCCACAAGATTTTTCAAAGTGATCAAGAGCCATAACTCTGGCAGTAATTACCGTAAATTGCTGAAAATCAATAGGATTCTTCGTCTCATGACCTTAAGCACTGTGTATAAATTTAAAATCAAAAGGATATAATAACTTTGGCCTCTAGAGAGTCCACAAGATTTTTTTGAACTGATCAAGAGCCATAACTCTGGCAGTAATTATCAGAAATCGCTGAAAATCAATAGGCTTCTTCGTCTCATGACCTTAAACACTGTGTATAAATTTAAAGTCAATCGGATATTGACTTTCGCCTATAGAGCGTCCACAAGATTTTTTGAAGTGATCAAGGGCCATAACTCTGGCAGTAATTATCAGAAATCGCTGAAAATCAATAGGCGTCTTCGTCTCATGACCTTAAACACTGTGTATAAATTTTAAAGTCAATCGGATATAAACTTTGGCCTCTAGAGCGTCCACAAGATCTTTTGAAGTGATCAAGGGCCATAACTCTGGCAGTAATTATCAGAAATCGCTGACAATCAATAGGCTTCTTCGTCTCATGACCTTAAACACTGTGTATAAATTTAAAGTCAATCAGATATTAACTTTGGCTTCTAGAGCGTCCACAAGATTTTTTGAAGTGATCAAGGGCCATAACTCTGGCAGTAATTATTGGAAATCGCTGAAAATCAATAGGCTTCTTCGTCTCATGACCTTAAACACTGTGTATAAATTTAAAGTCAATCGGATATTGACTTTGGCCTCTAGAGCGTCCACAAGATCTTTTGAAGTGATCAAGGGCCATAACTCTAGCAGTAATTATCGGAAATCGCTGAAAATCAATAGGCTTCTTCGTCTCATGGCCTTAAACACTGTATATAAATTTAAAGTCAATCGGATATTAACTTTAGCCTATAGAGCGTCCACAAGCAATTGTGGACGCCGGACGGACGGACGGACGGGGGCGACGACAATATACGACCACATTTCAATGTGGGCGTATAAAAATGCCTTCCCGCAAACAAGCCGTGTAATTTGATTACATGACTAAAGATATTCAAACTAATTCATCTGTCAAAAGTTTGTTTGAAATCTCTCTCAAAATATTTCAATTCAAAGAAACTACCCTAGCTTGTATTTGTCGCTAGTTGATTACCATTTACCATAAATAGCGACGCCTAAATTAATTGCCGGATCATCCCCTTTCACAACTGTTAGCCATTTGATCAACACATAAGTGTTCCTTGCGTCATGCCTCACATATCTGTCTTCTGCGCGTCCCATGAGTGTATTTCAGGGAATCAAGTTTTTTTCTGGTAAGATTGGTTGTCTCTACTTTCCATATACCAAAATTGCTTGTCTTTTATTGGAAATAACTACCCGGTAATAGATACTTTCGTGGGAATTTATCTTTAAATATTCAGACATAAAGGTAGTTTTAAAACAATGGATCATTGCTAATAAAATACAACCCAAAACCAAATACAAAACTCTTTCAGCTGAGCAGAAAATCAATAAAGTTGATCAGCAGTTGTTCATTTTATGTGGCCTAATCAAAATTACCTTCTTTTCTAGTGGCAAGTCCAATTGTAGCAGGAGCCTGCGCTCTTGCTGTAGCACTTGTAAAACCACAATCACTAAGAGTTTTATTATCATCTCCTAACAGCTGAAATACACAAAAAATTTCCCATTATACTAATACATAATATAAAAACCTGATAATTTTTTTTAAAATAGCTATCTCAACATTGACTTTTTATTAATGAAGACATATTTTTTTATCTGCTGTAACAAAAGTAATTTGATCAAATTGACATACATTTGTAATTTGAAATATAAAGAGATTGTGTTCTTTTCATCAACTAGCTATAATTTAATGAGTTAGTTTCAAACTTAACCAACCTACTGGTACTTGTTATTGTATCTAGAATTTTTGACAACATTTTACACTATAAATTACTGCTTACTAGCTGGATACCCGGCTTAGCCCAGGACCCAAGATCTGTAACATTGACCTTCATGGTCTAAAACATTCACAGGGTCATGCTGGTTAATTTGATACCACAATTATGTGGAGGTTGATCGCAGTGTGTGTTGGGCGAACATACAGAAATCTTTGATTTTATTTATAATAGAATAATGGGAGTTTCAAGCAAACTGGGGGTTAGTTAAGAAGAGACTATCAAAGAGTGATGTCTGTGCTTTTTTTTTAGACATAATTAATATAACAAGCTGATCTTAACAATTCTCAATAAACCTCTTAATCTTGCAGACAATAATATGATGAAAGACAAATCAATACCGTATCATCTTTGTATAATCTTTGATTTTCAGGACTGACTTTTAAAATACCCTCAACTATTCGTTTCACATCATTCACTGTTGTAGATTCCTTGGCATCTGTAAAAATTGTTGTCTTTTTCTGCCTAATCATTAAAAATACATCCTGAAATACAAATCAATAATCAGTCTTAAGATTACTCATCTTCACTAGGACGATTCTTGCAATAATTACACATCAAGGCACAGCAGCTAAATCGCCTGGAGGTCGGGTGTTCGATCGCTGCATTGGCCGACAGAAGGCCTGTCAAGGACAGCTGTCTAGTCATTTGGATGGGACGAAAAACTGAGGTCCTGTGTACACGCTGGCATGCACGTAAAAGATCCCTTGACAGTTGGAATTCAATATACATGTAAGAGCAGGCCGTAGTGCCGCTGTCCGGGCAAAATTTCCCTCATAGCACACTGTATGGCGTATCTTGGTCTCTATTAGCCCAGTTCGGAGCAAAACAGTAGGACGTTAAACCCCAGTTTATTTCATTTCAATCAATTTCATGTCATTCGAACGTTCACAAGATTCACTAAGTCAACAAGGGCCATCACTCTAGAAATCATTGATGGAAATTACTGAAATTCAATTGACCTCCGTTTAACAAATTTAAATGATGCATATTAATTTCATACATATCGAATGATAAGATAACTTTCATCATTCGAGCATTAACAAGGTTGAATAAAGTGAAACAAGGGCCATAACTCTAGAAGTAATAATTGTAAATGTAAAATGCGGAAATTCAATAGGCCTTGTCATTTCACTAATCTTAATGATACATATAAATTTTATACAGATCGTATGACAAGGTTCAACAAGGGTCACAACTCTAGACACAATAAATGGAAATTGCTGAAATTCAATAGGTTTCTTCGTTTTACTAATTTAATTAATCCATATAAATTTCACAAATAACTTAAACATGCATTATGCAAGAGCTAAATCTGATTATTGCAAGTCTTAATTTAGGCTTCAAATGTTATAGAAATTATAAATTAGATCTTTATTTAAACAACAAGACCAAAATCAACTCTGTAGACCCACGGATGGCTCGGCTACAGCTCGGATTTAAATAGGATTTCACTAATTGATTAAATCAAATAAGGGGTAACCTGATGAAAATATGTCAGTTAGATCAAGGCTAAATGATAGAGTGTACTTAGCGAGGCCGCTGTAAAGCGTTTCGGTATGCCATTGAAAACTTTACTTGATAATCAAGATATGTAGGTGGAGTTAACGCCTGTCAATCAAACGATCAGCGAAGGTGAAGACACAATTCGCTACCCTTTCTAGGCAAATATTACAACGATGATAACTATGTTCAGAATAAAGTATTTTGACTGAATTTTTCAATATATTCTTCTTTCATCATCTACTTTTGAACTGTTATAGCAAGAATGGCCAACTCTCTATAAAAATCTCCCATAATGTATCTTTAAATGATTAGAAAATACAATAAAAAGTTTAAAGATAGGTTACCAGGCTATGAAACCTACGCCTACAGCAGCTTAATCGTCCGAGTGGTCGACAAGGGTTGTCACATATTTAATTGGAGGCATTTACAAGACAATTTCATAACGATCATATAACTTTTGACGTTTACAAGGTTCAACAGAAATTGCTGAAATTCAATAGGATTTTTCTTTTTACTAATTTAAATGACACATATAAATATCATACAGATCAGCAGATAATTTTTATGTCAGAGCATTCATAAGGTGCAACAAAGTGTAGCAAGGTCCATAACTCTAGAAGTAATTAACAGAATTTGCTGAAATTCAATAGCCGTCTTCGTTTCACTAATCTAAATAATGCATATAAATTACATAAAAATCGGATGATAACTTATGGCGTTTAGAGCATTCACAAGGTTCAACAAAGTGAAACAAGGACAATAACTATAGATGTAATTAATGGAAATTGATGAAATTCAATAGGATTCTTCATTTTACTAATCTAAATAACACACATAAATTTCATACCGATCAGCAGATGACTTTTGATGTTAGAGCATTCACAATGTGCAACAAAGTGAAACAAAGGCCATAACACTGGAAGTGGGCGATTCCACGGTAACGGACGTACATTTTGAACTCGCCATATTTTTCTTACTTCCAATATTTTCTAACCATGAATAATTAACTGTTTGAGTTTTATATAGCATTAAAGACATATGATTTAAGTATCAATTGACATATAATTTAATTTGTTCATGAACACTGGGAATAAATATTGGTTCCTCAAAGTATAGGTAACGGACGTACAGAAATGAACACCATGATTTGCCTGCATGAACAGTTTCAAAACTCTGTGAATTGTCTTGAGGAATTTAAAAGTTTTAATCCTTTTAAGAAAGGGCACTAATACTACATGGGTACTGCATAATTACTTCTCACATTTGGATTCTTGTAACCCAGTAAATTAGAAATTATTGTGGTAACGGACGTACATATATTCTGGTAACAGACGTACGAGTGCAAATTGCTAACCCATTACATGAGATATGTAAACTTTCAAATAATCGGACTTATAGATAATAATAATACTTAACTCATTTGAATTAATGGAGCAGTTACTTTCCTAAAAACATTATTCCTTGAATGAAATATTGTGACCCTAAAATTTTGGTAACTGACGTACATTTTTACCCTAAAATTTTGGTAATGGACGTACATACATCTATGAAACCCTAAGTAATTCAGAGAATTTTGGCAAATGATTTCTTTTTATGGTCATAGTAACAAGAATGGGTGATGTTAGCTTTAAATATGAGTTTTTGAACAGTTCCATAAATAAATATGAATGATAGAGATAAAATGGAAATATTTGGTAACAGGAAATACTGTGAAAAGTAACGGACGTACATCTATGTAAATTATTCTGAGAATTTTTGCAAATCTTTTCTTTTTACGGTCATTATAGTAAGAATGGGTTATTCTAGCTTTAGATATGAAGTTTTAAATAATTCTATATAAAAATATGAATGAGAGAGAAAAAAATGTAAATATTTGGTAAGGGAGAGAGAGAGAAATGGGATTTAACGTCCACTCGACACAAACTAGGTCATTTCGGGACTAACATATGGTTTAATTTTATTTACATAATTCGCTTGTGCATAGGGGTCTTTAGCAGTGGGAGGAAACCGGAGGACCCGGAGAAAACCCACGAGGTTGGACAGGCGAATTTGGTAACGGACGTACATTCTCATAAAGATATTTTTCAATGTTGGTTAACTTCACAAAAATATGTTATTTTTATATTTTAATGTTTAAATATTATGTTTATATACATTGTCAGATAACTAATGCCAAATCATTCATTATGAGTCAGAATAATCAAACAAACACAAAGTAAGAAAATACAATAAAATTATAAATTTGACATTTACAACGTAAACCTTGACACAAGACCAAATAAAAAAAAAATCGGAAGAGTTTCCACCCAAATTGACATTTTTCTTCAAAATATGGATTATTTCCCACCATAAGACACTATTTTTGTCCACTTGTCGACTAATTAAATTTTTCACCTAATTGTATACTTTAGCGTGGAATTGCCCAAGTAATTAACGGAAATTAAATATGCTTCAATTTTTTAAGAATCAGATAATAACTTTTTGAGTTAGAGTGTTCACACGAAATTGTGGACGATGGACGGACAAAACATATAAAAATGGTCCTATTTTATGAATTTCATTAAAATTTTGCGGTATTTACTGGATTTCTTCTTAGTTTATGTACATCGATGTACACTGAAAAAATTTTCACCGATAAACATCTCATTATTTCATTTGTTTATGGATGAAAAATAAATACTGCCTAAAGTAAAAAATAGAGGTGAAATTGATGTTGAAATATTACTCAGTGTATAAATATTAAATCAAGAAAATCTGTCAAGTATCAAGCCTTTACTCTACACCTTGTGTTAAATTAGCTTATTATCATGTGTAACGTATGTAACAAAATGGATTATACTTGTTTTAATCAAGTTAACCATTCTTTATCTAAAATCACTATTACTTTAAATCTTCTAAATTTAGTGCCAGTATATTCAGTAAAATATAAAACACCCAATTAAAAATTGTTTTTTAGTAACATATGTAACGTTACGTTTACCAATTGGGACCTAGAGTGGAGTCTTTGGAACTAATTGTATGCCATGAGTCCTTTTGATTAAAAGACTATTTATTGGTGAAAGTGTAGATCAAAAGCTCATTAGAAAAAATTGTTTTTAAGTACTTTTATAACTTTTTCCACTTTAAAAATCATTGCTGAAGTGGGTTAACACAAAAGGTTCAGAAAAGAATTCTTGTAAAAAATTGATTGTTTTTAAGTCAAATATCTTGTGAAACTCTTGTTGTAAAAAACAACAAAGACTGTAAAACACTATCAAAGTTGTTCTAAATCGAAAATCTTATTAAAAAAATTTAGTCAAACTTCTGTCATTTTTTTGTACAAGTCTTATATCTTGTAAAACTCTTTTTGTAAAAAATTGATTGTTTTTAAGTCAAATATCTTGTGAAACTCTTGTTGTAAAAAACAACAAAGACTGTAAAACACTATCAAAGTTGTTCTAAATCGAAAATCTTATTAAAAAAATTTAGTCAAACTTCTGTCATTTTTTTGTACAAGTCTTATATCTTGTAAAACTCTTGTGGTGAAAACTTCCACACAAAAGCCCCTAAACTAGTGGTGTTTGTGACCTATCGGTAGAAATCGGTATTGGCCAATATACAACCATTTTGCCAACACTTGCATAGCCGATATATGTTTTAAAAAGACGCGGCAAATACCTTTAAAATATTATTCAAATTGTCAACAAATCATTCCCTCTTGTTTGGTACTCAACCCCTTTACTATAGTTGCTGTATGTGTGTACTATTTAGACATAATATACGACTCAACATAGACATAATACAAGATATAATAGACATTATACAAGAATTGACAATTAGAGGCGGTAAGAGATGGTTGTATTTATATTCAACTCTATAAGTATAAATAGAAAAATCAGATGGTGTCACCAGACGTTGGCAAAGACAGAAGCTATTACCATTAGCTATGAACCATTCTACCTGTGCCGACAGCGGCAGATTAACTATGGGGTACGGTGGG